ACAAGTTCCTTGATGAAAATCTCTCCACCAGCCATATCCAAGCCTCGAAATCACCCATGGTGTCACCCTTTTTTTTCATTAAGAAAAAGGATGAAAAGCTTCGCCCGGTACAGGATTATCAGAAGCTTAATGAGATGACGGTCAAAAATTGCTATCCCTTACCACTTATCGGAGAACTAATGGACAGGCTGAAGAAGGCGAAGTACTTTACCAAGCTGGACGTACGATGGGGTTACAATAACGTCAGGATCAAACAGGGGGATGAGTGGAAGGCCGCGTTTCGAACAAATCGTGGCCTCTACGAACCGCTGGTGATGTTCTTGGGACTCACCAATTCACCCGCCACCTTTCAATGGATGATGAACGACCTCTTCAAGGATCTCATATCTGCTGGAGAGGTGTCTGTCTATCTAGACAACATTCTCATCACATCCAAGACAAAGGCAGATCATAAACACATTGTGCGAAAAGTGCTCCAAATACTTCGCGACAATAACTTGTTCCTAAAAGCTGAAAAGTGCGAGTTCGAGGTGGAGGAGACGGAATACCTGGGGGTGATTATCAGTGAAGGGAAAATCCAAATGGACCTGGTGAAGATTGCTGGTCTACTAGACTGGCTGATCCCCCGCAAGAAACAAGAACTACAGTCGTTTTTAGGCTTCTGCAATTTTTACTGACGTTTCATCTGTGATTATAGCAAACACGTCAAACCACTGACTTCCCTTACCGGCAAAGGAGAATGGCAATGGGGGCAGGCACAGCAGAAAGCCTTTGAAAAGTTAAAAGAATTGTTCCAAGAAGATGTGGTCCTAGCGATTCCGCTTGATGAAGGGAAATTCAGGGTAGAAGCCGACTCGAGTGAAGGAGCAGTGGGGGCGGTGCTGTCCCAACTACAAGACGATAAATGGTGACCGGTAGCATTCCTCTCTAAGGCCCTGACGACAATGGAGCATAATTATGAAATATACGACAAGGAGCTCCTCGCCATCATGATTGCCTTGGAAGAATGGCGTCAATACCTTATGGGCACTCAAGAAGATTTTGAGATTTGGACGGATCACTCCAATCTCCAATATTTCTGTAAACCCCAGAAGCTCAATCGGAGACAAGCTCGGTGGGTAACAGAGTTGGCAGAATACCAATTCACCCTGCATCACAAACCGGGAGCCCAAAATCGCAAGGCAGATCTCTTGTCCAGAAGAGCAGACCATGATCAGGGCAAGGGGGACAACAAGGACATAGTAGTTCTAAAGACGGAACACTTCTGGGCATTAATCATGCCCACGCAAGAGGAGCTACATGAAAAGGTCAAACTGGCAACTCATGACCCCAGGAGATGGGATCGAGGTATCTCTGACTCCCTTAATCACGAAAAGGGGGTCTCTCGAGACCAAGAACTACTCTGGTATGATGGGCGCATTTATGTTCCTAGAAATCAATGACTGCGAGGAGAAATCATAGCACTACGACACGACCATGCAATGGCAGGACACCCCGGCATAGAGAAAACCAAAGAGCTCGTTCTACGAGACTATTGGTGGCCTCAAATGCATCGGGAGGTGGAAGCATACGTCAAAGGATGCGAAGTCTGTCAACGAACCAAGGCAGATTGTCGCCCAAAAAAGGCACCTCTCCATCCAAATGAAGTACCAACGAGACCGTGGACTCACATCTCTGTCGACATGATCACTAAGCTTCCCACCTCAAAGGGGTTCAACTCTATTTTAGTCATAGTCGACAGGTTTTCCAAAACGGTCATCCCAATCGCATGCACCAAGGAATTAACTTCCCTCGGTTTTGCTAAAATCTTGCGAGATCATGTTTACATGCCGTACGGAGTAATGCCCGAGAAAGTCATCTCGGATAGGGGGGCCATCTTTGTATCCAAATTCATGAAGGCATTCTACGATCTTATTCAGGTCACAGGAAATCCCTCCACAGCCTATCATCCTCAAACGGACGGGCAGATGGAGCGGGTTAACCAAGAAATTGAAAAGTACCTCAAAATGTTCGTGAACTACAGACAGGATGACTGGAGCAAGTGGTTACCGTTAGCCGCATTCACTCATAACAATCGAAAGCATTCGGTGACAGGCTTTTCTCCCTATAAAGTAGTCTTTGGGAGAGATGGGCAAGTCATCAAGACAGCCCGAAACCCCGATGTTGTCCCAGCCACCTCGAAGTTGGTACAGGGTATTCAGGAGGTGCAGGAGAAGGCAAGAGAATCTTTGGAACGGGCGGCCAAATCAATGAAGAAGGCCTATGACAAGCATAAGGACAAAGCTGTAGAATATCAAGTCGGTGACAAGGTATGGTTGGATTCTACCAACCTAAACCTACCTCGACCCACCAAGAAACTTGGAGATCGACATGTAGGACCTTTCGCTATCATTGCCAAAAAGGGGACCTCCGCCTATGAACTCAAACTACCGGTAGGCTGGAAAATTCACAACCGGTGATACGCCGTCTACGCGTTCACACCTAGATTTTGCGATTTTATAACAATACTGTTGCAGGTCTATCCTATACTAGTCGTATATCAAGGGCTATAGTTGAGACTTCGGACTGATAGTCAAGTTAGCATGCTACTAGTCGAGTCAGGACTTAGGAATGATACCACTAGTGGGTCAGCCCTACCAGCCGACCGGACTAGCACCTCCAAAGCTAGTATGACTTAGTAAAATACGGTCACTAGTAAAGAATACAGCTGCTAGCGCCCAAACAAGAAGTAAGAACCCACACAGATCTCGACTATTCAGTCGCTAGTGGACTGATCTGGGCATGAACACCTAAGTCAGGATGACTAGTCACACGAGCACTTCTGAAAGGACTTAGAAATGAACCAGTAAAGGCATAACCCTTAGCCCAGATCCAGCTAGTGTGATACAGATCTCATACGATCGGCACTAGTATAGCCAGGCTGTGCCCCGATCATGATCGAGCAGTTGCTACAGGCACGGTTACCCGACTATTCATATAGCCGTGTCACTAGTGGAGCACCACTGGGCAAAGGGTGTGGAAACGACCCAATAGCGGAGTCCCTCGACCCGCTATCTGACAGAAAGAACAGGCTAGGCCGACTATTGCGTGATTATTCACCATAATTCATGACTAGCCAAGATATCCTTACCAATATTACCCCTAAAGAATCTATTTATATTTATTCTGTACCTGTCTCTGTAGTATATAAGTAGTAGAAGGGGCAGCCTCGCAGGCAGGCAAGCCATCCCCGCGATTGTGACCTACTAGTCCGTGTTCTAGTGCCCCAATTAAAGGCTTTTGTGCTTAACCTCGACAAAGTGTCTACTAGTCACTTAGTCACCTATAGTATTGAACGAATTGAAGTGTCTTAAAGTTACTATTCCATCTTGGAGTGACTCAGAGCATTTCGAAGTTAGTTAAAGTATTTTCCCGGAGTTAAAGTATTTGTTCTTAGGCCAAGAGTGTCACTAGTCGAGCCTAGGGTGCTGCTAGTCAAGTGTAGACCGCTTGTGAGACCCAGTATTTGGCCCAGAGTGCCACTAGTTTCGAAGTATCAGAGTTAGACCGAGCGCAGTTGCTCAACACAAGTCACTATTCATCCAATCGTGTCTTAAAACCCTGCTAGCACGAGTATTACATCTTGTGTAGCTCACTAGTACCAAATATACGTCTTTAAACAACCTTTCCCTGATTTGTTGAAGTCTGCAGAGTGCTTCTATCGTACTCAAACACCCGAACTCAATAATATTGGTGATTAGTGTAGAGTAGTAGAGGGTTTTGGTGTTGTGGTGTTCATATCCATTCACTAGCCTTTTGTCACTCGCCGTTACTGAGCACATCACCGGTTCAATGAATCTCTCTTAACTCCATACTGTCCTCCTGGGTTCCCTAATCAACCGTGACCCGAGAGACCACCTCCTGAGCTAATCGATGACGAGGAGGAATATGAGATTGAGGAAATCGTAGAGCAAAGGGACAAGGTCGTCGGACGAGGACAAACCCGTCGCACGATAACCGAATACTTAGTAAAGTGGAAAGGATATCCGATGGAAGAGAACTCCTGGGTGAAACGCTCAAACATGGCCAACGCAGAGGCACTAGTCAACGAGTACGAAGTGAAGGTTCGGCGGATAAAGGGAAAGATCGAACGCACCGATAAGGGACTATCATATAACGGTAGTACTCAACAAGACTCTTATCCCTCTTCCCGGTCTTTGCACTCGATCTACTTGGAAGCCCAAAATTGGCACCCGACATTCAATCCAGAATTAGAACCTGACTTCCTATGAAACAAATGGCCTATAGTCACTACGGACGAAGCAGACGGAGTACCGGTAGTGGAGGAGGGGAACGACGAAGAAGAAGAAGTCAACCTCCAAAACCTCCAACGAATTCACGAAAATTGGAATTCAGACGAGGAAGATGATGACAACGTACCATCTTTCTACTCTGAATCTAAACACACTACTTCGGACAATGACGAGTGGGAGTCTGAGGACTCATTCGGGACGAACGAGTCTTAAAGAGGGGGTAATGTTATGGTTTATTCACTTTTTTTCATTTTTCTTTGTTTTACTCAGCCTGATTACTCATATGCGATCGTCACGGACAGTCTCTCATGGTACTATTATTAGCGTATCCAAGTGTATTTGAGTAGAGCCTCAGCTGGATCAAACCCCAGCTTTGGCTAAGGTTTATTCTACCCAACATCGAACTCCGTGTTTTGTGACTATCTAAGTCCTCGATCGACTTCATTCGTCGCCTTTGACTTGCTAGAGCATCGTCCACCGAAGTGCGAGTGGCAATCCTGGTTCGATCTAAGTCGATAATAGTTGGTTGTTGACACCCGACAATCTAATCCAAGAAACACTGTTTGGTGTGAAACCTGCCAGAAACACACTTCCCGGCAACATGAGCATGAGCATCGAAGCTCTCGCTATGTCCCCTATCCTGCTACATCCCCAAAGTCATGACATCAGCAGCCAGTGATTGATAGTGGGGGTGAGGAGCATTCCACTATGAGCGAGGACGATTCAGATATGGATGCGACGTCAAGCAACCAATTTTCAGACGCCATGGGCTTGGGCAAAGATGTCCCAGATACCAGTAGTGATGTTGAAACTATTCTTGGGAGAGAAATAGAGAGTGTGGCCAGTTCACAGCCTGAGCACATCGCTGATGGGGGTTCCGAGGGCTACAGTGATTATGCGGTGGATGCAGTAGATGATTTTGGAACCGGGCTTGACCTGGACTTTGAATCACTCGGGTTTCTGGACAAAGATAGGCTGGCACACTTACACGAAGCTGCATGGGATGTACCCAATGACCTTGATGGTAGTGATACCAATGCCGATCCAACTGAAGCTGAAGAGGTTCTTCCTGATGAGGACGAACATGTCATTGATGAAAATGACGACTTCGAGGATTTTGGCAAGATTGATTGGGAAAAGTTTCGTGGTTTTGGCAAGGACAGGAGGTTATCTGCATGGGATGAGCTTAGTGCAGGCTATTACCAGCAGTTTTCCAGTATTGGTGTGTAAACTGTTAATGCTGATATACTGTATCTCACATACTTTTAGCTGAGAAACTTGATGCATATGATCTTGCTATCTGTCGAGCATTCTCCTACAAGGTTCAGACAAGTACCACCGACTGAAACTTTGCAAAGCTGCCTTTCGCTTTCCCCTCAGACCCACCACTTCCCAAGCTTGATCACCTGTAAAAAGCCTAGTAATCTATTATTGCCTGTAGCTGTAATTAACCTGTAATGTAATAATCCCTTGTACTTGCAGCCAGGCGTAATCTATTACTCCTTGCCCTTGCAACCGGTTTTTGGCAGAGGAATCAGAGCCATCAGAGCCAGGTATGGGATCAGGTGATGCTCCAGCATGCGTCTAGATGCTTGCTCGTCGTTGTCGATGTGCTTGAGCCCATAGCACCGCCTCATTTTGGGCGCACCTGCCTTGCCCTCCAAATCGGAAAGAATTTCCGTTGATTCTTAAACGTGCCGAAGTTCTTTTTAATTTCCTAGGTACGAGGTCAGCAAATTCGTGTTCTTTGATGGGGTTTTTGATGTCGACGTTGATGTCACTGTCATTCACCCTTGTTGTCATCATCCTTCCTCCGGAGATGAATATGTCAGTATGTTATTCGACATGCCCTTCTACGTCTTATGTTACCCGATCATATGTTTTTTTTTGGTTTTTTTTTCTGGATTATTATTGCTTCAGAGTGCTCTTCGTCATGTTTTTTTCCCCTTTTTTTCATTTCTGGCAGGTATCTAATGTCTCGTGTTATTCCAAGTTCAACAAACTAATTCTATTGTGCAAGATCTACATTCGCTATATCTACAGGTCTATCCACTGGTTTCAGGCGCTTGGGACGTCCACGATTTGACTTCGGCACCGTACCTGATGCCAACCACAATGGGACATCCTTCCAGACTTCAATGCAGTGCTGCCTCATACGAGCCCGAATATCCGCCTGGCACAGTGCATAAGCGCATTCGCCCTCCGATATATCCTCTCGTGCTGCTCGTAACAGCCATTTTTGGCCCTCCCAGGCGAAGAAAGCTTTGACGCGCTTCATCTCCTCCAAAACCAAGATCACCTCTTCTCGCCAGCGATGGGCTCGAGCCTGGGTCTTGCACCACTCTATCCTTAAAGCTAGGACTATGTCAGCTCCTGTGACAGCTCCTGAAGTACACGCTCACCTTCCACAGTCTCCTCCACATCAGTCTCATGACGGTGAACACGCCATATCCAACTCATAGTTCGCCGACCTTCCGTCTCTCCGGGTAGGCTCTCATCGAGGGGACGGACATCCATGGCATCTAGCACACGCAACTGCCGATCCCAACCATCTTTTGCCCCATCAAGAGCTCCTGCCAGGACAACGAGATGTTCCCGAAGCTTGCGATATCGATTTTCAGCTTCATCGATGTTATCGATTACGCTCTTGATCGTCGACCTCGCTCGGGTGCTCATTAGCTGTCCTGTGACATGGCGATCCTTGAACTTGTAGATATGTGATTGATAAATCAACAGTCGATGTAATGTCATGAGACATTCATACACCTCAGCCTCACGCAAACGAAACTCGAAGTCGAGGAGCTTTTTGTTGCTTTGGATACGACTGATCGTGCTGCTAGGGAGGAAGAGGGGTATGTTGACGGCCTCCAGAGCCTCTTCCATCGGTTTTACCCGAGCGCGACGCTTGCGTGGCTTGCGCTTCTTCGACGTCTTCTTCTTCGGGTCCTCAGCCACATCCGACGCTGCGACAGCCGCCTCAGCAGCAACAAGCTCCGCTCTTGCTTTTGCTGCGAGTTGTGCCTTGTTCCAGTCGGTGCGTAACGCTGCTACCTCAGGCATGTACAGCTGTTGGATCTCAAACCAGACATCGAGACGCCGGCGAATCCGATTCATGCCCTCCTGCACCCGTGCCCTCTCACGATCTGTTGAATGCGCACCGAGAGCCGTATACGCCAACTTGAGACGACGTCTAAATCTCTGGTCAATCCTCAAACACTCCACATCACTTGAGCTACTCACTGATCATTCTCCAGCTCTACCCCTTGATATATCATTGTGCTCGGACCGATCTCATGCGCCACGGCAAAAATCGCCGCGTCGGCATCCTGCAGTGTCTGTGTCGGTGGCTGCGATTGCTCTGCTTGCTGCACTTGAGCGGCCGTTATTCTTGCCAATTCAGCAGCCTCCTCTTGGGCGAGCGTCAGACGAACCTTGTTTGTCGTCAGTTCTGTGAGAATTATAGATCAGTACATTGTATAGCATGGAGAATCAAACTGTGCTCACGTGTTACTGTCGTATCAAACGGATTGACCGTATTAATCGGGTCCTTTTCCCAGTCTTCTACAGCTTGCGTCCACTTTATGACTTCCTCATGAGGTAGACTCGTAGTAAACTCAGCGTAAATGGCTGCATGAAGGGTCTGAGCCAGTATAGCATCTATCACAGCTTTGAGGAGGGTGCTACCTTAACATGAAGTTAGAATGAGGTGTCGAGGCAGGTAAATGAAGAGCTTACCCATCAACGTAGTTTTCCTATAATTGTAGTCACCAATGTGGTCATCCAACGTGTCGAGATAACCTCCCGGACCCATGACCTTCAAACTCGCCGCTAGAGGATTCAGTCGGCTCCACCCGCGCTCCGGGGCTTCCCCATCAGTCTCACCCACGTGCGGTGTCTTGTAAAACGAATACTTGACGTGGCAGCTTGGAATGTGAGCAGGCAAATGAAACTTCGGGATCAGATAAACAAAGTCACTCGGTGCTTGTCGGGGCCTCATGGATGTCGGGTATATGTCGATACGCTCCCATAATTTTTTCGACCATTGACAGTTGATATCATAAGAGACGACCACACGCCGTGGAGTCGGATGTTGAAGACGGCCACAGAAGATGTAATCCATGCGCACTTGTCTAGAAGCCTGCGTCAGTACATGCCTCGTTCAACAGAGAATAGGTGCCTTACTCCTCCCCGTGGTCCAGTATTGTCACGGCGCTAGGGTTCTTACAGTCATGCCGGGCACAATCCACCATCGCCATGCCACTCGTTGCCAATCCTGCACCTCGCTTTGTCGTTGCAAGCTTGACGGCTTCATGATCTCGACAGTCACTGGGATCGTACGGGATGCGTTTGCCATACTCAGCGACATGAGCACGGAAATCCTCTTGCTGCACGAGGTAGGCAGCCCCATTTGTCAGACTGGGATCTCGGCTCGAATTCGAAACGACGAGACGGACCAGTCGGAAGTTCGCATCGATGGCGATGTAGAGGGTATACTTCCATCTGGGAGAAAGGACGTTAGAACCAACAAAAGCAGACCTCAGTTAACAACCACTTACGGCTCATCTGTATCATTCTCCCAACCCTCCTCTAAATTTATCCCAGGCCAGGGACATGCTGGACATTTCACTGCCAAGGACCCCGCTGGTACAGGAAGTTCTCTGGGTGGGGTATCCTTGAAATCTCGTGGGGACTTGTCGAGCTTGCGCTTCAGCAACTTGAGGTGTCGCCATTCCCTGACCATTCGCATGAACGCTTGGAAACGATTCTACACGTGAACATCAGTATGGTACATGGTAAAGGTGCTTGGAAAGGGCTGACTGGAGGAATGCAAGTACCCGTATTATCACTCAGCCTAACCAGAGTGTGGTAGAACTCATATCCTGATACTTTTGACATGAACGACAGCATATGGAAGATCTCCAGCGTATGAAAAGTTGCAACGATCTGAGGCTCCACTATGGTTGAAGGGAATAACCTTGCCCGAAGGAGCTGCCACCATCGAGAACGGGATTGCGTGCAATAACAATAGTCGATGTAGAGTGTCTGGATGCCTTCCAGATCGAGGACATGGAGCCGGCCACGTCGAGGACTCGAACAGCATGAGCCTGGCCCGTGACCCAGAGGAAAGACCATCCCAAGGTCAGCTAAGGTCGCGCGTTTGAAGAACGTTCCAGTCCACTCCTGTGGAAGTGAGTAAACAGATGGGCGGGTACTAAACAGAACAGGGACACTCACAAGCATGCGATGGAAGGGATTTCCATAGTGCCGGCAAACCATGCACTCGTCGCAATACAGATGTTCCTCGTTACAAGATGCGCAGCGATAGAGCTTCACTTCTTCTGCCGTTAAGCCACAGCGTGCACAGACCTTGGAGACCCCCACCGGAGTCTCTGCACGGAACATTTCCTCCATGAAATCCCAGATCCGAGGAAGCCAGTCATGAAGGTGCGGGTCATCCTGTTTTACAGGTTCATCTATCAATATACTGATGCAGAATATAGGACCGGCCTACCTGGTCGACGGTGGCATCCTCGGCGGAGGTTCGTGGATCCAATCCATTGATTGGGTCATCATCGTCATCCGAGTCACTGTTTTCCTCCTCCAGTGTCGGTCCATCCAGCCATGACAGATCCTCGCCTTCACCGTAGTCATTCAGGACTGGATCGTGAAGCTCTGTGTGAAGCGGGGGTGGACTGGCTGGTACATCGTGATATGTTGTCGTCGATCGAAGTCGGGATCCACTCTGACTTTGGACATTGAAGTCGGTATGCCGATGTTGGTTGTGAATTGGAGGTGGAGGAGGCTCGAGATCATCCTCATCGTAGTAGGCATCGGCAGAGATCTTGGGTTTCTTGATGTTGCGTACCATCGATGCCTGAAACTGAACTGAGGAAGCATGGCAGGCCCATGGTTAGGATATTTAAAGGCGTACAGATACTAGCGATCTGATGAACGGTACAAGTAATCGTGCGAAGAGCCACATGAACCTGACATAAGCACAGGCTGTTGGCAAACAATACCATAGTGAGCACTTAGTTAAATAAATTTTAATATTTAGGACCAGGAGGAATAAGCGTTCAAAATACATTCTATTGTCATACATTATGGTGCATCTAACTGGTCGTACTCGGTAGCTTCCACCCAGGCATCGACATCAAGACGCTCCCATTCTGATGTAGGATCGGTGCCATTGACCCAGACCAATGCATGCCAGGCAAATACCCTGCTCACTGCTTTTCTACGCAAGTCCCATCCTGCGCGCTGCTTTTGAACTCTCTGTGTAGTGTCACTGGCATGCTCATCATACCCATCATCGGCCCCGAGTACATCAGATGGTAGCGTCGAACTGGCAGTGTGTGAGGTAGCCATCTCGCTGGGGGCAGACGAATCTGAATCACTTGCGCTCTCCATGGCTGCGAGGCGATAGAACCGATCCAGTTCCTCCTTGGCATCATATCCGCCCATCATATCCAAACGACTCTCGAGTCGCTGAAGACATCAATATGAGACAACGAAAATCGCTTCAGAGCAAAAGGGTGACCTACATGATAACACACCTCATAGCTAGCCACGTATCCCTTCTCCCACGAAGCCGTGAAGGACTGGGGGTATACTTTAGCCCACATGTCCATGAACCACGTCCAGAAATAATCCATTTGCTCGTCGTGGATCGAACGAAGATAGATTTCAAGGTGCTCTTCCAGTGTGTGCTGCATCCGAGCGTCGATGATGGGGGAAGGCTTGCGTCGCTTCAGAGGCCCAACTATGAGCCCACCAACCACATTTAGAGTAAACAAAACGTACCGGGCGAGGACGAAGACCCCACACATTGATGTCATCGTTATCTTCCATGCAAAGGCCTGAGAAGAGGGTTGCGAAGTAATTCTGAGAGGGGACATTGGATTCAAACAGCACCCAGCGAGTGACGACGCAAACACGGACCCAAAAACCCAAAAAAGGCCAGATGATGCTCTGGTCAACAACAGAGAAGCCTGAGAAGTTCACACGTGTGCCTTAAGCATGCTGAGAGGGTAGAGTCGACGAGACGTAGAACAGGACATGGCCGGAGGGATTGCGTTGTTGAGTTCAGTTGGCGCGGGGAGTGTTAAGGGCGAAAGTTGGGAATCATGAGATCAAGGAATGATTTGTTTTTCATCGTTCGAAAAAGGTAACATGACCAATTCGGAGGCAAAGCCGGCCGCGGACTTAGAGAGGAGGCACATGAAAATATTTTATTTGTCTAACTGTGTAAGTATGTCAAGGTCCCGTCGAGATGGGCCCTTCTCAACTCATCAACACCTGAGAGTGCCGAACAGAGGAGATCCTGTAATAAATCTACAACCTCCTTCACTTCTGCAGTGATATTTGTCGCTTCTCTCCATAAATCGGTACACCTCATCTGGTGATAAATTTGGGTGGCGATGTAGTCTCCACGCGATTGAAGGCTGTTGAAAGGTTCAAGAGCTTTACTGATGGCGGCGGCAGCATCTGCGGTTTGGGAATCAACAGCGTAGGCATAGGTTTTAGCAGTGAAGGAGAGTGAGGATTGGTTGTCCAGCCGTGCCGCAAGTTTACGCCAGATTTTGTTGAGGGAGCGTTTCCAGTCGTCCGGGGTAGGTGCCTTATTCTGGAGTCTGGCTAAGTCTGTAAGCAAAAGGTCCACGAGAATACGAAAGGGACTTGCACCGTAGGTCCACCTCGACCCCGTGGTCATTGAGGTTGGGAGCGAATGACTTTTCGACGACTGCATTCTGGGTTATCACTACAGTCGGCATAACGGCGACGGCCCCGACGACAGAGAGTGTCGCGATTCCTAAGAGAAAATCTCAATGGATGCAAGGACACAAGAGGAATTTACCCACCGTTCATAATACCCCTGCTGGGACAGTGCATGTGCAGCAGCTTTCTCTTCAAGAGTGTGGTATTTGCGAGGACGGCCACAAGTGCGGCGAGGTGGGATGGGAGCTGCAGATCAAGCTAAGCAGTGAGAAAAAGATCGCTAACGCAACGCGAGGCCATCTCTGACCTAGGCTTTCAGTACAGGCGAGATCAGGTTCGACGCTAGGGGAAGGAGACGCATCTTCATGCTCTGACATGGGTCGCTGTGAGCAACAGAGGTAAAGGTTATCAGGTTCCTGACGGCCAAAATAGGCACGTGAGGAGGTCAGACTAGAAGTACATTTCGCTGATAATAAATCAGTAGTTCACTAGTGAATGTCGTTGGGGAAGGAAGAACATTGAGAACATGTTTGGCAAGTCACCCTGAAGCTAACCGAGACTTGAGAAGCGGAAGGAGACAATGTCGTAGGGCCGGATGGATGTACAGATGAACGAGCTCAGATTATAAGCTAGATTCCATAGAGGGACTTGTGAGGGACTGCCTGATGATTTTAAACTGATCGAAATTCTAACATGCATTTCAGCGTCCTGGATCACAAAATTGACTATTAGCTTGGACAATACAACTCTGAAAGACAGAATAGAACACATATAAAGCAGATATACCGCCAACAGAGCTATAGATGGCTTCAAGAAAACTGACCTGCTGAGAATCGGCTATACCGGGTTGGTTGCTACTGGTCCATATCGATTGATTACATTCCAGGTACTACAAGGGGTTATTACAGGCGCGCTTTGTATGAGACTTCACGTGAGGGGTATCTCCCTATCTTTTTGGGGATCAGCAATGCCCAAGTCCTCTCTACTACCTCCCCGTCGGTCCGTCCAACGCTAGGATACATCCACTTGCGCGATGGCTGTGGCTGGATGTTACAATGGCTCGTCCGAATAAGAGAGGTTGGATTGCAGTAGAAGGGGAGGCGAACACTGATTTGAGCAAGAAGGTGCTGCACGTCACATTCAACGAAAGAGAGAGCGAGTTGTTTCCTATGACAAATGAGATAACATTGGCAATTCATGGGGATCAACATACCGTGGGCATGGGATGGAATGTCCGAGCTGATGTGACCGAAGTATTACTTGCAACATACTAGAGAGAGGTAAGTGGAGAGGATAGGAGGAAGGTGGACCCACATCTCACCGGTTCTGCTCGCTGTTGCCGTCTTCCATGCATGGGTCTCTGGGAGATTGAAATGGCAGTTCCTGATATATATATATCTTCTTGCACTGATTCACACAATTTACAGGGTATAATCACTTTTATTTTTTGGGGCAGCTATACTAAATAACTACAATAAATACTATGAGAATTTTTTTTTGAGGTTTTGTGGAGATAAAAATGTATAAAGAACTATGCGACAGATTAAATGATAACAGAAATGACAGCAATAACGAGCGACAGATTCACGATAACAACACGGAGAACATCAATAACATGATGGCAAGATAGAAGTCCAAGATTAAATGAAACGCTGCACAATTAGATGACCCGGACCTTCCCTTCGGCAAGTGCAGTCTCGAAGGCCTCATCAGCTTCAGCACGAGACTTGTATTTTTTATGGCAGGCGTGAGGTACGCCTGACACGAGAGGCTGGACTTGCTCCCTATGATGGGTGTAAGCGAAATAGATTTCAAGTGAAAGAAATACGTACCAGTTGCTGAACACGCCAACCTGGCGTCCCGCCATAATCACATACCAGTTCTCGCCGGGCTGTCCTACCGCAGGGTTAAAGGCTCCGCAATGAGAGCAATGAAATCCCGAGTGGATCTAAGCGAGAGGGGGGGGGGACGACTGGAAGGGCCAGCGCTGGCGGACGAGCAGGTCAGAGTCGTCGCCGCAGTAGGCTGCTGCGAGAGCGGAGCATGCGTGAAGGGGTGCCTCCCAACGTTAGGCGGCGAGGGACGAGTAGTCGTGACTGTAAACATTTGTCTTCAGTTAAAATTTCCACATCTAAAAGAAAGGGAAAAAAACTTACCAGCAGACACTACTGCTGGGGCGGGGGCACCACGCGGAGCAGATTGCGCAGATGCGTCGTTGCTACCAGTCGAGGCAGCAGGCGCATCAGAGGACGAACTCGGGACTGCTTGAGTGTTCGCTGGGGTAGTGGCACTCGAGGCAGACCCACCTGAAGCAGGGTCGCCGTTTGCTACGAGAGACAATGAGAAACTAAAGCAAGGGAGTGAAATCAAAGTTTGATGGACGTACGAGTAAGGTTCAGGGCTGAGAGCGCCTGAAGGAGTGCGGCGAAGGCATCACCGGAGAGATTAAGTTGGTGTTGGGTCATGGCAAAAAAAAGACAAATGGAGAAAGCGAGGGTGGTTGATAGTTAGGATCAAGGGTTGTGAAAGCATCCGAACGCCAAGCTTCTGCTATAAATACTCCCATGGAGGCGATTTGGCAGTATTTGTATTTAGAATCCAATGAGGGGACGAATGTGCATGGATTTTGAGGTGCAGGGAGTCATATTAGGTGACAAACGTGTGTCGGCTTGAAGGGTGCCATTTAATACTGTACAGTTACTGAGGCAAGTGCCGGAAAACAGGGTGCAAAGAGGATCAGATTGTGCCGTAACAAAAATTTAGACTAAGAAAAGGTACGGATATGACATATGCCCAGACAAAAAGCTAATCACATCGGATACAGATGGCTCGGAAATCAACGCCGCAACCCTTAGATGCGCCACGGAAAAAACCCGGACCAAAACCATGGGCGACACCTGATCAATGGGACCATCTCGAGGGTGGTATCCCAGGCTACCGCTGTGCGCAAGGAACGAAGGGAAAGAAGGCCGCCATCGATAACTTTATCGAAGACTTCATGCCTACATGGTGGGAGAAGTTCCCTCTCGAAGGAGACAGGACAGCGGAGGGAGATCGCAAGGTGACTACTCATGCATCTCTTTCTACATTCCGAATTTGACTGTTTACTTTGCTTTAGCGCATAAAACAATGGTTCCAAAATCATGGTTCTATCAAGAAGGCAGCGACTGGCATTCACATCCGCGACATCTTTCCGAAGCAGAGATCGCGTGCACTCAAGCCAGTTGAGTTGTATTCACACAAGTACTACAAGTCACGAGTCAAGCCGTTTGTCGATGAAAAGAAGAAGGGTGCAACAACTCAAGGGGAGGTGCTGAATATTGTGAAGGAAACGACAAGGGAGATGTTTGTGAGTGAGCCAGAGGAGATACGCCAGGAAATTTTGACGGAGGCGAAGGAGCAGCCACCATTAGTCCCGGCGAAGGATGGCATAATGACACCTGAGATGTATGCTGCGTACGTGCTAACTGCGTTTATACTAACTGGTTATCTTATTTTCCCGTTGTAGTGCAATCAAGGTGGCGCCTGGTCAAATTAAACTCTTCACGAAGGCTTTGGCAGATGCTACTGGCTGCGGAGTGCTACTTATATTTGGAGGCCCCGATCCCTGGGAGCCTCGAGGAAAGATAGCTACATACGGGTGTGTTTTATTGCTCTCTCTGCCAGGTGCTATCAGCTCACTATGGAATAGCTTTCACGCTGGGGAAGACCAGCAAGGACGTACATTTGGACAGGTCTTTCCGAAATTCAGGGAGACTTATCTAAGCCCATTCACTCGTTTTCTGAAGACGGTGTTTCGTATGTAGCTTTACATGATGTTTCAAGTTCTTATTAATTTGTTTTGACAGCTCCTGATGTACGTGCGGCTCGTGTGCTTGGGGGGAACACCACTATCACTCAAAATTCGGAGGGCGGTGTGCAGGGCTCAGAGGATATCGATGTGGACAATGACGCTGGTGCGGCAGCAGAAAAGGAGGAGGGCATCAGGAGGAACGAGTTACCTCCATCTGAAGGTGGTCAGATTGACGCAGGCGAATCCCCTTCTAACGCCGAGAAGCAGCCTGAGGAGCCAAATCCCGAGGACAACAATAGGTCTGGTCAGACTGGTATGGCCGTGCATGACGTACCATCTGCCCCAAGTACTCCCACTCAGTCCTCGCCACTGCCAGCATCGCCCACCAACTCCGTAGGGATCTCACCTATCTTGCAGGTTCCCGCATCTCCTCGTAGTGAATTGCCTGACTCAAATCCGACCGGAACCATTTCCAAGGACATCGCCCCGCCCGCATCACCCACCAACTCTGGGGAGGGATCACCTATCTCGCAGGCTCCCGCGTCGCTTCATAGTGAGGCGCTCGGCTTAGATCTGACTGGAGTCATTGCCAAGGATGTGGCCGATAAGCCCGTTATGCAGGTGGAGGGTTCTAATGAATCGAACCCCGTCAATTGTACAGTTAAACGTCCTCGTTCCTGGCCAAGTCATGCTCCAGTACTTGATGGGCTCGTAACTACGCGAGAGAAAAGGGCGAGGACAGGCCCCGCACCGAAGGAGATCCTCACCCTGGCGGAACGAGTGAGGCGGGGGAATGGACTGGGAGGAATGGAAAAAGAGGTGACTGTAGCGCCGAAGTCGAAGCGTGGTAGAGGGAGGAAAAATGTTTTGGCATAGTTCGGACATAGAAGTTCCACATAGCATTGTCCATATACACGTATTAGACGTTAAAATTGATATTGATGTGCCATCCGGACTCGGGTGTGATTGATACATCCTTGAAGACGGGGTTACGTCTGGGGTTACTGCGGCGCAACGTACTTAGTGAGAATTTGTGGTGCGTCAGGGTGGGTGCGTACCGAGGCTATCTTCTTGTCTTTCAAAGTCATCTTGTTATGATTAGCATTCTGGTGAGCGAAACAGATTGAAAGACTGGGTCATTAATTGGAATGAAATGAAAGATGCGCTATGCTTATGTTGGATTCGCTCTGTTTATGTCGGATAAGATGATTTTATTTTGTGTTGTGAAGGGAACTGCAGTGGATAGTGATATGAAATGTGGTATGTAGATCTGGCTACATTCCGAGAATGTCAGCAGCGGAATGTCAGGAAAACATATCAGAAGAAACCGGAGGAAGCAAATATCAGAGAGACAGGCCAAAAATAACACTCACACCCATGAAACGATGCAACAGCCGAAAAGCAACAGATTGGGACCTGAAGGAAGCAGGACGACAAATCAAGGATCTAAAAATACGACGTGACAGAGGAATGACTATATTTATCACGCCTGCATCTGGAATAACATATTCCGCACAATTGCAATTTGATGACAATCATCCTGGCCCTATTTTTGGTACGTGCAAATGGCGGAGGCGCGCAGAACCCATGGGAGCGAGCACCCCCCAGTGCTGAGGCTGGCAGCTGCTGCCAGTCACTGTAGGGGCATTAATTAATTGGCTGTCAACTGCACGTACAGGCATTAATACATTGCCAATGTATTACTACAGCAGTCTATTAATTAACTGTAAGGGATATAGGGCCTGGCTTGATAGCATCCATTCACGTGTTGCATTTCTGGCTGGATTTGAACCAGAGATATACAATTGCTGTCCAAACTCATGTGTGTGTTATGTCGGTGCTCATGAGAAGTGGATGGAATGTCCATTTTGCCAAGAACCTTGGTATCATGCTGATGGAAAGGCCCACAAGAAATTCACATACATTCCTCTCATTCCCTGCCTTCGTGCTTTTGCCATGAATCAAAAGATGGCTGAGAGCATGCAGTACCATGCTAAAGGTCATCAGCACAAACCGGGGCAGGTCGAGGATGTCTTTGATGGCACAGTGTACTGCCAGCTCTTACGCCAGTTGGTCCAGGTTGGAGAGTGGATTTATCACTACCGGTATTTTGGTGATTGGCGGGATATAGCATTATGCTTGTCAACAGATGGATTTGGCCCATTCAAGCATCACAAGCACACATGCTGGCCTCTGATCCTTTTCAATTACAACCTTCCACCTGATATTCGTTTTCACCTGGAGAACATTCTCTCTCTCGGTGTAATCCCAGGTCCAAAGAAGCCAAAGGACTCGTGCTCCTTTCTGTGGCCATTCGTCCAGGAGATGCTGAGGCTAGCAGTAGGAGTTCCTGCTTTCGATGTTCTCTCTGGAACAATGTTTTCTCTTTGCGCTTATCTGATCCTGGTCTTTGGTGATATACCTGCAGTGTCCATGCTCATGCGCATGAAAGGACACAATGGATTTGTGCCCTGCCACATGTGCAACATCACAGGATTGAAAGTGCCTGACTCAGCAGGAAACACACATTATGTCCCCTTATACCGTGCCAATCACCCTGACATCATTAATTCACCCTCTGCCATTAGGCAGTATGATCCCATGAATCTGCCCCTTCGTGCGCATGATGAGATGTATGCACAAGCCAAGGATACACAGTCTGCACCGACTAATGCAGAGGCAGATCGACGCTCACGTGCCTCTGGCATCAAAGGTCCCTCCATACTGTTCTTTCTCCACTCATTACGGTTTCCTCTCTCATTTCCATATGACTTCATGCATTTGATATGGGAGAACCTGCTAAAGAATCTCATTTTGCATTGGACAGGAGAGTTCAAGGGCCTCGATGATGGTACGGAGTCTTATGAATTAGAAAAGACCATGTGGAGGGCTATTGGAGAGGCTACAGCACGCACTGGTTCTATGGTACCTTCAGCATATGGTGCACGTGTTCCCAATATCGCTGCCGATGGAGTATACATTTCTGCAGAGATGTGGTCGTTTTGGGCACTCTATCTTGGCCCTGTGCTTCTGCGGCAACGTTTCAAGGCCGTGCGATACTACGATCATTTTATACGTCTTGTCAAACTCCTCAATATCTGTCTACAATTTGAGATCTCAGACAATGAGATCAAGGAGTTGCAGTCAGGCTTCGCACTATGGGTTCAGGATTATGAGCGGTGGGTTCTGATCTACTCTCATGGCTTTTGTGGCTAAAACCAATACTTTCAGAATATATTATCAACATGATTATAACCGCTTGTCAACATGTCCACTCACGGTTCACGCCCTTTTGCATATTGCTGACAGTATCAAAGCCACGGGACCAGTCTGGTGTTACTGGGCATTCCCAATGGAAAGGTATTGCGGAACAATACAGCCAGCCATTCACAGTCGGCGTCATCCGTTTGCCTCTCTTGCACGTCATGTTCTTGAGGATGCACAACTGACACAAATCAAAATATATTATGATGTGGTTGATGAGTTATCCTTACGTCCTTCACAACGCACTCCTGCAGGCTCATTACAGATTCAGGAATGTAAGTGTTCTCATACCGATGAATACCTTAATGTTCATTGACAATGGTCTGCAGATCCCACCTGTCGTCTACTCCCACCAAAAGCAGTGAAGCAGCCAACCTCACTTGCTCCTGTTTATGGAGCACTAGTTACCCGATTACAGCACCCACTTGGCACTGTGAAGCGCTATCTGCAGAACGCTGATATCATCGAGTGGGGAAAGGTCCAGCGTATCGATTCAGATGCCGGTGATACCATGAGGGCATCTGAGTTAGGTACCATCCGTGATGATAGCCGAGATGCTTCTTGGGTTCGCGTAAGCTCATATTGGATGGAGATCTGCTCATATCTGATTAACGTATGCAGTATGAGATGCTTGTTGATCGTCATGCTCGTCGACGTAACGCGGCCGTCAATTTTGTGCGGGAGATGTTCTATGGCCAGCTTCAGCATATCTATGTTATCCATTTTGGTTCACCCTGTCTTCAACTTGGCCTCGAAGATCCAGAGACAACATTTATTCTGGCTGCAATCCGAAGTTGCAAGTGCATTGAATCAGAGCAAATACGTGGTCTGGACATTCACTTCTATAACTCGTTGGGTCAACTTCATGTCATTGACATTACTGCGATCCAGTGCTTGGTTGGCCGAGTGCCATGTGGAGAGAATAAGTGGGCTGTTATTGATCGCAGTGGTACTTTAGCACGGGCCGTGTATCTAGGTGATAATGAAGAACAGCCTATGCTGTTTGATGGCAGTGTCCCACTGCATCATATCGCCAGCATCAATCCAGGTTGCTAATTTCTCCAGTGTTGCCAATGATTCATAAGCGCCCTTTAGGCCCTGATGCAATGCTGCTGCGTTGATACTAGGGTCAAACCGGAACTCGAATTCATCAAGCTCGAGGAGGAGCATGTGAAAGCTCCAAGTGAGATCAATGTCCAGCGCAATGAACTCAAGAGCAGAGAGGCCCTTGTATTCATCTTTGGCCTCTGAATCACTGATTATTTCACCAGATGGATGTACGTGTGGTCTTGTTGTAGGCTGAGACGGCACATTGTCAGGTGCATTGCCGGAAGTATAGCTCTGTGTTCTAAAAGACGCATGATTGACGCGTTGTATCAGAGTAATATTGACCGGTGAAGAGGAAAATCCACTTACGAATCTGGATGAGACGATAGTTCATGTCCAGTTGTGGGACTATGCGAGCTATCTTTTGCAGGCCTGTACAATCCGACATGTCGCGAGTCAATAATGAACAGATCTGGAGAGTAGAAACATTTACATGTGAAGCAGCTCCCGCTGCCTCAACCTGGAACTTCCAGGACCAGGACCCAAGGTCGTTCTCTGTGGACGTTCGAGGAGCCAAGGCGGTTTTGCGTACATGCTACTAGAGAGTTTGGAGCCTAACGGTATCGACGTTGGCCGTACGCGTGCACGCAATCAATGTCGACGTCGTCCAGATGTACGTAGGTTACCAAGCAATGCAAATTCGGAGTTCCACTGGTTCCGGAACAGGTACCATACATCTATTTATACCAACCTATGAACGCTCATAAACAACCTAACAGAAATAACAGAAAGAGGCTCGAAATGATGACTTGCTATTAGGTCGAAAGAAATAACCTATGGGATTTAGGTTCACTCCCTTCGACCTAACAGACAACCTAATTGAGGGTGCCGGTGATTTTTGACCTGGGGTAAGTTGATTTTCGACCTGACCTAGCTTCATAGTGACATCAGATTACTTAGATGTTAGATTGTGCAAAATGCGAGCTGGCGGCGCAGCCGCCGAGCGAGCTTTTTGCACCACCACATTTCCAGTTTAAGTCAAGCTGTATTATATATTCCAGCTTGAACAAGCACGTTCACACAGATTTACAAAAAGGATACAACTTGCCGCAGCGGTTTCTTCGTACAGAAGGAAAGAATCGGGGACCCGGCAACTGCCGCTACTGGATAGATAACGTTGGAAACAGTGCTGCGCTTTTGATGTTCAAATAGACATTCCTCACAAAATCTTTAGTCAGACAGTTCAACAACGACATAAGCACCATAATAGCTTGTATTGATCGTAAAAGTTACACTGTCTAGTAAATAAGATGTACAAAGGGGCTTTCTAATTTTCTATGTGCGTAGATGTGAAAAATTAAGAAAATTACAATAAAATCACTATAACTTATGCAATTAGTCCAATGAATGTGATGCGTCTATCGGCGACGAGCGATTCTCTTTTTAAACGAATCTAGCAAACTTCCTGTGCGCACACGGAAGAAATATGTGCAAACGTAAATGGCCCAAATCTATCAAGTTGCAGTCAGTTACAATGCCGAGTTTTCGGGAGAAGAGACCCACATTGAAAGCAATGAAAACGCAAAGGAACCCGACATTCCTCCACCTGTGCGCGTAGAAGATGTTGAAGTTCCTACCCAAGAACTCATCCGTCGTTTTGGTTGAACAGAACAAACAGCTATCGGTAGCATTGGAGTTCGTCAAGTAACCGCCGTTGGCAGATACGTAAGGGTTGAGATATTCGCCACACGTTTGCCCGGATGGAGGAATAACAGAGACAAGTTCCACAGACGAACAAGTTATATTCTGTCTTCCGAGAGCTATAGAAAATGAGGATTAGTATCTATTCATATCTCAAAAAAAAAAAGCTTTACTGACCTTGTCCAAGGAGACCCTCGATGAGGTAAGTGTAGGGAGACACCCGGTACATCCATTGCCACCATCCGAGTTGGCTGAACGGTTGCAGAACACCATTACTAAAATCGATGTGAGACCAAGCCAAAACCGACGAAGGGCGCAAAGATACTTACAAGGTCATAACGAAAGAGAATAAGAAACTGAACAAGATCGCGGCAAGCTCCGCATTGGGCACCATGGACGCAACAGCCTGGCCGAGGGACGTGTAGTAGAGAGGGAAGATGACACCCATCACAAGGAAGGTGTAGCCGGCACGAGACGACGGGTAGCCGACTGTCCAGAACCAGCACAAAAAGTATACACCCGATCCAAGGATGTTCCACGGGATTTCGGCGAGGAATTGGGATGTAAGCAAGGCCGACCAATGATACATGCGACTAGGACGCTCGCGAATCTCGTAAATATTACGCATGTTGATAAACGGAACTTGAAGCTGGTTGACCAGAGGAGCAGCTAGAATTGTACCCAAGAAGATAGACTGGCAGATCATAAGAATATGATACTAATAAATAGGAGTCAAATTCACTTACGAATAGCTTGTTTTGAGTGGCCTGTTGACTATCCTTCGCCTTAAAGAAGGTGAACTGTAAGACAAAATGATTAGACAATCATCTAAAGCATTAAGTACGAAGCATACCCCAATGAACAAGCCCGACATTATGTTTAGGGCGAACTTGGCGATCAGATAGGTCGGGTCTCTCCAACGGAACTTGAAGTCACGTTTCACTAAAACGGTGAACTGATGGAACCAAGACGTGGCAAACTCATTATGAACAGTAGCCTCGACAGCACCCCTCTTTCTTCCTTCAGCGTGCAGAACGTCGAGCTCAGTCTGTAGATTAGCGCATTCCGGTGAATTCTTCCAGATCGCGTGCCTGTAATAGATTCAACAAGAGTTTACATGAGCTGAAAGTGGTATTGACGTACCAATCCTGGGTTGCATGGGCGGTCGCTCCAGCGCCGATGACGTCCAGCATGAATTCAGCACTATGTCATCGTCCGTCAGATCAGGAAGAGATGCTTCGCGAAGCAAGACTTACGGGTTTTCGGTCTCGTGGCAAACCCTTGATTTGTTTCTCTCGAAGTATTGAATGAGCGTCGTGGAATTGTGTCCAAGATCTCCAAAGTATACGGTCTGACCGCCCTTCTTGAGAAGGAGAAGCCTGTCGAAGACTTGGAAAAGTTCGGCAGAAGGTTGATGGATTCTAAACAATTGATTTAGCTTCCATCGTTGTGATGCATGGACATAAGACGTACGTGCAAAGGATGGCTTGCCCATTATCAGCGAGACTCCTCAAGAAAGCCATGATGGCCCATGCGCTCTGTGAGTCTAGTCCAGAAGTAGGCTCGTCCAAGAACAGCAGCAATTTAGGCTAAGAACACAAAAACGTCAGATCAATACCCAACGCAAATTAAGCGGAATAATACCCACCTTCGCCGCCAACTCCACAGCTATCGTCGTACGTTTGCGATGCTCAATACCAAGCGAACCAACAACGGCATCGGCATAAGCCTCGAGACCACACATTTTGATGCATTTCTCAACACTAAATAGGTGACGGGAATTAGTAAACAGAGAGGGAAGGTACACGGTCAGCACCCACTAAGCCTCTTTCTCAGCCAGCGGAACAGATGCCGGCTGACGCAAGTTTGCCGAAACAAGTAAAGCTTCGCGAACAGTATCGGTGTTCACGTGTGTATCCATCTGTTGACAGTAGCCACTAGAATCCGTGTATTAGCATGATAGGCAATTGATTGCAGGACAGTAGCTCACGTTTGCGCTTGGAAATCACTGGGAAGAGCGAGTCCATTGATGAAACGGTCTCCAAGAACGACACCAGTGCTGACACGTTGAGCCAGAACATTGAGCAACGTAGTCTGCGCAAACAATCAGTCCATTTTTGTTCCAGTCAAAATAATATCGTTACCGACCTTGCCCGCACCAGATTCACCCATCAGGGCCGTCAACTTGCCAGGGGCAACGTATCCAGAGACATCGTCAAGTAAACGCCGCTGTCCTTCAGCCACGGGAACCGTGTACTGCAGATGTTGCCAACTGAACAGGTCCGTCATCGGCGGGTGATCAGCCAAAGCTTTTTCAGCCTCCACAACCGCGGCAGTACCGTCTTGGATTGTGTCCCGACTAGACCGTACGGAGGTAGACTCCTCATCCTTTTTGTCCTGGTCCAAAATCGGGGCCTTCGTCCCGCGTTTGAATAGTACCATCGCAGATTCACCAGCAATGGTGGTGTTGAACTCGGAATATATGAACAAAATAGCTAAGAACGCCGCCATGAAAGCGATGAGAATTCCGAAATTCTATTAAGGTCAAATTAGGCTGAGAATGACAAAAAGTGGCGATCTGTCAACGCACCATCCAAGTGTTGCCATACGAATATCCATAGGAAAGAGAAATAAATGTGTTGCCGTCTACGTAGGCCTGGCCCGCGACAGATCCGACTGTGGAACAGGCCTGATTGTTAATGCTGACGTTTTCGTATCCAGGTCCTTGAGGGACAAATGCCGCGCAGGATGCATTGAGTGTGTGGAATTCGTTGGCCACGACACTTTCAAAGCCGTAGCGAAGAGGCTAACCGAAATGTAAATCACATGAATTCATCAAAGAAAGACAACTTACATTTATGTATGATATCCATTTGAGAGCGCCAATCATGGAGGGTTTGGGGATCGTAAATCCGCTACATTAACGTCAGAAAGAGGTGAGTCGGGAGGGTTTTGAGACACGTACGTATAGATGACCAGGGCCAAGAGCATGATACCTACCGAATGGTGAGGAACGTCAAATTGAATAGAGGGACAAACTTACCAGCTAACGTTTGCGCCTCGGACTCAGCCTTGAAAGCGGAGGCAACGGCACGGAACCAAGCTTTCATCGTGATGGCCATTGTGAACAGGAACAAAAGGAAAACGCTGCGAGATATTTAGCACACAGGAATCAAAACGGGAGATAGAATAAAGTGCATACAAGAATTGCCCAGCTGTCCGCTGTAAACCGACGATGAAATAGATAAGGATACCGAAGACCGTAGTGGTCAAGAACGTGATAGGGATATCAACCAAGGTAAGAGCGACTGCCTCGATGAAGGGATGGTACAATGCAGCTTTCTGGTGCCGAGCGACAATAGGACGTTGATTGAACAAAGCAGGAATTTCCGCCATACTTGATAGAGCAGAAAACAAAAGCGCGCTGCAGAAAGTCTGGTTTAATACGGTGCAAACGATGACGAGGAAAACCGTACAAGAAAAGAACACCACTTCGACTGAAGAAAGCCGAGGTCGATTCAGGAGCGTTAAGGAAAACCGTGCCGACAATCACACCCTGAAGAACGAACGATCTAGACACAAATTAAGTTAAGCTCGTATGATCATGATTTTTAAAAGAAAATCTTACACTAGATTCATGATAGTCGCTTGCTTGTTTCCCCAAAGGATTTGAGTGCGCCTCTGCATCACAGCTCGGACTTGCATGGGAATAGAGATCACATAGGGTCTGAAAGCAAATGAGAAGATTTCTTTTGACAAGAAAAAAAAAGTACTGACGAGCTTTGCCTCGTGTTCCTTGAATGCTCCGCACGCGCGCTCTCCCGATAATAGTGAGCTCTATCCGGTAACCCTACGTAGACCTCTTTGTACAAGGCAATATCTTCGCGATTCTGACGACCGAGGTACGACTTGTAGAAACACTCGGCAAACTCGGCCGCAGTACGAGGACGGTTTGGAACGTCAGGATTGGGGATGCGACCGTTTGGATCGGTAACAGCCACGAGGAAATCAGGCGTTGTCTGCCTGTTAGCCGGAAGGTAGCCCAGATCAATGAAGTACTGCTTCGCTTGATCTGCGGGACCAAAGTACGCCATCCTTCCTTCGTATATGACGCAGACCTTGTCGAAAAGTTGATAGAGCGTCTCTCCCGCCTGGTAGATGGAAACGATGGTGCTGAGGTTGTCGATGTCAGTGGATATTCTCAGTGCGCGTCCGAATTCAAGTGCAGTGGAGGCATCGAGACCACGAGTAGAGCTAAGTCGGTTATCAGACGCGTCATCCAAGATAATAAAAGTAGAAGACATACTTGTCCCAAGAGTTTAATTTGCTTCGAGTAGCCATGGCTTCGGCAATAGACACCCGCTTCTTCTCTCCTCCTGATACACCACGGATAGCAGCATCGCCGACCATTGTGCCCTTGGCATGGCGCAGACCGAAGATGGTTGTGAGGACCTCGACCATCATATCGACGTACTCTGCCCGGGAGTGACCAACACGCTCTTGAGGAGCACGCGTCTTTGCTGCGAATCTGAGGGTCTGTTCAACAGTCAAGGTCGGAAAATGGACATCATCCTCGGGGCAATATTGAACATCGCCACGGTAATGTTTCGAAAGTTCTTCCGGAGAAAGGGAGTCGTAATGGACCTCGCCCTCTACCGAGTGGTACTCCTCCCTTTGATTCGCAAGTGTCTTTAGGAATGTACTGCATCCGGAACCAGGACGCCCCAAGACGACTACAAATTCAGGATGCATCAGTGTCAGAGTAATTTGAAACCGGAGAACCACGTACGTATCATCTCCCCCGGTCGAACGACACCCTCAAACCCAGAGAGAATATCTCTCAGAGGAGGATGACGAGCAGTTCGAATCTTCGACGGAATATTGAACGGGTTCAGCGTCGACCCGAGGGTCTCCTGATAAGACGCCGTTACCCCAAGACCAACCACCCGGAGGTTCTCAAACACAACACCCAACTGGCGGTCCTTGATGTTGGCCTCTTCGCGTCTAGTGCGGGAAAAGTGTCAGGAACGCGAAAGATTCGGCTTGCGAAGAACTCGGAACATACCTCTTCACGACGGCGCGCATGGCTTTTTTCCAAATCAAAAGAACCATCAGTCGGTATTGATAGAGTGACGTCGGAATCGTTGGTGGGTCGTACGTTGTCGTGAGTGTGAGTCGAAATACGACTGAGGCGCCTCTCCAGTCCGGCGGCGCCGGTAGGGTCGAAGAAATCATAGTCTACAGAGGCACTTCGCCGTCTCCTCTTAGCTGCGTCGACATGGTGTGGAGTGTGGTGAGGATGAGTAGGTGAGTGAGGATGAACATTAGCATGCTCGTCTGATCTGCCCGCCGTGTCGTCTTCGCGAAGTTTCTGCAGAGGTATATGGTCGATGGTGTCCATGGTATTACGAGGAAAAGGGGGGAGAGTACGAAGAGAGGAAGACGAGGAAACGGCCGCTTTTGTAGGTGCTGTATCCAAACGCGGTTACATAACGCGGGGCCCCTTGCTGACGCGAAAACTGGAACGAAGACAGGCATCCGGAACAGATAACAGCGTCATTTGGGGATGACATAGGGTAATCTTACTCGAACAATCTCCAAACCGTAATTGATGCCCGGAGATTGCGACCCGCCCACGTTATACGAAATGGTCATGACAAAGAAAAAATGACCGTAGGACGAGTTTGCCTTTGTTTCTTTTTCAGGCTGTCACCCAGAACGTACAGCCACAACCTTGCCCACTCCCCAATTGTTGTTCTGTCTTGCTTTTTGTTCCAGCATTTTATCGTCGAATATTCGCCGATCCTCGTGTACGAAAAAACTCGGCTCAACGTTTCAACCATGCTCGAGAAGCCTTCGAAGTCGCAGTCAACCGTTCAAAAAGTTCACTGCACCGTGAGTCTCGGATATGTGCTGATCGAAGATGGTGCCGCCCGTTCCCGCCTTCCGCTTCCTCCAGCCTCTAGTTCGCACGGGTTCTTGGACCGAGGGCGTCTAGACTCGATCCGGAAAAACTTTTCCGACTCACACTGCTCGGGGTACAAACTGGCACAAGCTGCAGTATGGCCGCATAATGGCTGTGCCTGCGCGCAGTCAAGAAATATGACGATTTAATATAGTCGGTGCCAACCTCGGTTGTAACACGATTTGCATTGTCAAGCTCACTGGCATTCACGATGATTCGGATCCAACAACCGCAGCCAAGTATCGGTACAATCTAAATAATCATTGTATTTTGCTGCACGGAGGCAGGTAATTAAAATCATAGGATGTCGTGAAATACGATACGTAACAAACAAAAATTGTACACCTGGTAGCAGTCAGGAACAATCACCAAGCCGCCCTTCTACAAACACTCACCTCCCCTTACCTTTGTGGATATCTGGTGTCATGTCCTAGCATTGCAACTGGTAATGTTTAAAAAAATAACGCGCGTGGAGGATCTAATGATACGTAAAGGAGAGACAATAAAGTAAATGACACCAGCTCCGCTAAGATAACGAGGATGGCAGGAACGAGCGAACAAATCGAGATAATCGCCTCCCAGACTCCTCACACAAACTTCTCTCTTCTCTCACGTTGTTTAAGCAGCAGTGCGTGAGGGGTTACGAGCCAATGTCGCACCAACACGCTGGGCTTGGATACTGCTGAAGCGCTGCAACTCCTCAGGCTTCATCGTAATTCTACCACCAAAGCCAACCTTCCGTGCGGCCCTCTTAATGAAGGACACACGGTTGGAGTAGAGAGACTCGTTGATAGAGGCAACACGGGATTGGGTACGGGTGATGGGAACGCCCTCATGAGAAGCGGCGGCGACTTGGCGTGCACGGCGTTCGCGGAGGAACTTGATGACAGTGGCCTTCATACCGAACTTGATGTAGTCGAGAGGGAAGAACCAGACGATGTTCTACAAGTAGTGTGTCAGAAAGGGAAAGCGCGGTCATTTATCAATTGCAAACGTACCCAGACCCAAACAATGCCAATCCATCCACCAGAAATGCCCTGTATCTCGGTGAAGCCCCAGTCACCGTAGGCAGCGATGATCGAAGACACGAGCTGTGCCACACAGAAAGCCAAGAAGAGGGCAGCGGAAGGGCGTTCCATGAAGAAGAATCCGTGCGACCGAGTAACGAAAATCAAAGCTTGCGAAATAATGGCAACTTGGAGATAGACAACCATGTGAAGTTGGCGGTCATTGGCCTGGACAGGGGATGTTTCAAGCGAGACACCGAACTTGTCTTGGAAGAAAGTGGTTTCCATGATAATAATGACCAAGGCAATTCTAGTTTAGAATGTCAGTCCTTGAGTCAAATGTGCACATAAAAAAGCCAAACTCACGTCGACATGGTCAAGTACAAACCATAGGCAACAGCGTACGCGAAAATCTCGGCCAGGTCCCAACTATCCGGAGTATTGGAGGGTAGTACGCGGTCGACAGAGAGAGTCATGATAGTACCATCGTTCAACAACGCAATGATAAGAACCATGAATGGCGGGAAGTCAAACTGGTACGCGAAGGCCAAAACGGCGAAACAGACAACGATACGGATAGTAACAGCACAAGCATAGATGGAGTAGTTCCTCATACGTTGGAAAATGATACGAGAACCACGGATAGCATGGACGATGGTGGAAAGACCCGGTTCCGTCAAGACGATATCGGCAGCACCACGAGCAGCATCAGTAGCACCTTCGACGGCAATACCAACATTAGCACGGGATAGAGCAGGGGCATCGTTGGCACCATCGCCAGTCATGGCACACAAGTGACCCAAACCCTGGAGACGCTTGACAATCTCGTACTTGTGCTCTGGGAAGACTCCAGCGAAACCATCGGCATCCATGATCATCTCATCCAAAGAACCGTGCTTGCTGCCTGGCGCGGGCCCATCCTTGAGCACCTTGGCAGGGTACATGTGGTCACCCAAGCCAAGACGACGACCGGTTTCCTTTGCAATAGCGAGCTGATCACCGGTAACCATCTTGACCTTGACACCGAGCGCCATGGCGTCATCAATAGTTTGCTTGGTGTCGTCACGGGGAGGATCGAAAATGGCAAGAAGACCAATAAGCTCAAATCCGTTACCCTCGGCCTCAAAATCATCACCATCAACCTCTTCAAACGCGACAGCGAGAGCACGAAGACCACGGGTAGCATACTCCTCAACATCGGCCTCCAACCTGTTCTCCAACTCCTCGGTCTTGTTACGAGTGCAAAGTTCGATGATGATACCAGTCATACCCTTGGTGACACGCTTCAGCTTGCCCGTGGACTCCTCACGATAAGTGATTTCGGTACGCTTGTCGACGGGGTTGAAAGGCTTAAAGTCGAGGAGTTTGATGCCAGCACGGGCCTTGGCTGGGTCGCCAATAGCCTGGACGACAGACGAGTCGATAGCGTCCTGATTCTCGGTACGGGAGGCATAGGCGGCGAGGAGGATGACGTCATCGGCAGAGAACGGACCGTAGGTACGAATGGTGTCCTTATCAATAGTAAGTTTGTTGGTAGTGAGGGTGCCAGTCTTGTCAGAGCACAGGATGGTAACACCAGCCAACTCTTCAATGGCGGTGATACGAGTGACAATGGCCTTATGCTTGGCGAGCTGCTGGGCACCAACTGCAAGAGTGACGGACAAGACAGTGGGCATAGCAATGGGAATGCCACCGATCAAGAGGACAAGGATGTTGTCGAGACCGCGACGATAAGTGTAGTGGAAGCGAGGGTACAAGATGACGATTTCGAGGAGGACGAAAATGCCAATGGCGACCAAGCAGAAAGACCCGATTTGAGCCAAAATCTTCTGCAAATGACCGGTGGTGTCATCATCCTGGCCGACAAGGGAAGCGGCACGACCGAAGAAAGTGTTGGCACCAGTTGAGATGACAACACCCTCGGCTTCACCTTGTTTGCAAGTAGAACCACTATATGGAGAAGATAAGATCAGAGGCATAACGCGATCACGGGCGCAGAAACAACGCACGAGAAACACTGGTCGCCACTCTTTTTGGACTGAGGAAGAGATTCACCAGTGAGAGCAGCCTGGTCGATGGACACGTTGATGGCTTCAATGAGACGACAGTCGGCGGGGACAATGTCACCGATCTTGAAGGAGACCATGTCACCCGGGACAAGATCCGCCGACTCTATTTCTGACCAAGAACCCGCACGCTTGACCTTGGCCTTAGGAGCGAGCGAGTCCATAAGGGCCTTAACGGCATTCCCAGCGTTACGCTCCTCATAGAAACCAATGGCGGAATTAATAAACAGGAGCAAGATGATACCGACAAAGTCCTGCCAATCAGGAGCACGACCCTCGCCATTAGAGAGGGCGATAGCGACGAGAGCAGCAGCTTCCATGACCCATGAGAGCGGGTTCCACATAAAACTAAGGAACTACAAATGGGATGAATGCTTGGCGAACTTGGCGGTGAAGGGAGAAGCATACCTGGAGAATGGGGTTCTGTTCCTCGGATTCAAGCTTATTGGGACCGAAAAGCTCAAGACGACGCTGGGCTTCGTCCTGAGAGAGACCGTTCTCGTCGCATTGCAGCAGCTTGAAGACATCGTCGATGATAATAGTCTCCAAATCTACTTTTTCCTTATCGTATAGGTCCTCTGCCTTCAACTCAATCTGCAAGAACGTGTAAGGTAGCTGTAAAAGACGATTAATGCGCTGGGTGGCTCACAGTTGACATATCCACATTAGCGTCTACAGCTAACAGGTCAGAGGGGCAACAAACAGGGCAACAGGTGCAAAAACGTACGGGTAACTTTTTCCTCATCATGGCCAAAGTCCTTGTACTCTCTCTTCTTTGGTTCAGCTGCAGGTGGGGTGCCAGCCTCAGGCTGGACATCACCCGGTTCCTTTTCGACGTTGGAGGACATTGCAATTATCGATAAGTGGGAGTAGGGGAGAAGAGAGGCGGCGGGAAAGGTCCCTTCACGGGCAGCGCAGTGACTAGAGAGAAAAAAGAGACAGAGCGGACGACGATGGTGGGAGGGGGAAGAGAATGCTGTCGGGGGTAGCTATGTTGGGTTTTATTTCAGACCACGGATCGGATATCGGAGATCGGGTAAAAAAGTAAACCTGAAACATTGCCGCCACCGCGATTGAATTTTGCCTCAAAAATAAATAATTTCTGTATGTATTGCATTTCTTTTGTCCGCATTCCTCTTGCCTTATGCTCCTTCCCTGGATTCCTCCTCTGATAACGTTGCATTCGTCTACGGATTCTTAGGATCCTTCCTGCTACGTTCTGATTTCGCACTAACGCCGGTTCAACGGATTCTACGCCGAGCGGTATCGGGACGGCAGCCCTAGCAATATTCCAGAAGATAGGCCCGAATATCCGCATCCTCTCATTTCTTCGTTTATTGAATCGTTCGACGTCCGTTTTGTCCGCGGGCATTTACTACCCCGATTGTCGTCATTCAGGGTGCATCAAAGAAGTATACATACCCCGCTACTCGTCTCACGCTTCTGATTTCCATAGGATACCCTGCCCCATTCACGTAGTTTAGAAAAATAGTAGCATTTGATGAAATAAAAGGCGAATATCCAAGACGTGGCGCATGCTTCCCGCCTTCGACTTCTTTTCTTGGCTCTTGGCTAGGGAGAGCATTCCCCAAGCCCAACGAGCAGCATGACAGGCGCCTGCCGTATACCCGGGATGATGGCTAACTCGACTTACTTATCGGCCAGCACACGACCTTCGGAAAGACTCGCGCCTCTTTTCCCCGCCAAAGATCCGATTTCAATGTCGGACGAAGCACCAATGATGGTCGTACACACAGCGTTTGCATCCACTCGCCAATATCCCTCACCCCCTGGTGGCTGCGAGAAAACCGTATCCATGAATCATCACGATGACATCCGTCCATCCGGCGTCGGCGGGGAGTAACCTTTACCTTCAATAATAATAAGCAATTGGATGACATCATGACGAACCGCTTCCCCCTCATTGGGTCCGGGTCATGTTTGCAGCCATGTGTAACCAAAATTTACGCGCCTCGCATTTTGGAAGATTGTGGAAGCAAAGGGGGTGCACGCTATATTTACTGTTCCTGGCTATTTTTACTCATGGCGGCCTGACTCGCGGAAAACATATCATCCACGCTTATACCGGCGGCAGCCTGCAAGTTCTAATGTTTTGAGTTCGAGTTGACAACCTGTAGGGTTCCCTTTCATCCTGAAAGTACTACAGCACCTGCAGTGGGGGATCTCACATCTTCGCACGTCCACCCGTCGATCTCCGTAATACAAAATGGAGACAGGTAACAAGGAACTAATTATAGGCCTCCAACATACGAGTAAACAGCGTTCAGGTGACTCGTCTCATCGCTTGTCTCAATCCCATTTTGAACGCTAGTAATGTAATATCTGCAAAGTAGCCGAGTCCCAGGTACTTACTTACCATGGTACCCCGAAATGCCGCTGAACGCCGGTGCTTGGGAGGCTATCAGATGGAGAACAGGAGGACGTCACCGTTGAGTATCCACGCAAACTACAGCATGCAGATAGCAGTGCTGTACGGTCCGAGCAACCTTCCTGGTGGGGCCCCAGTCACAGTACGTACGTTGTTTGTCGTCTCATGGTTGCCTCATTGCTGCGGCGGTGGGAATGACTGATGACGATGGTTACTGCTCCCAAACAGAATATTTTCAGTGCAATAAGAGCGACCGTCGATGTGATTCACATCGACGGGAGGGGGCAACGCGGGGGAATGGGCCTGGACGTGCATTTGATGCAAAGCAAAATCATTGATCCTTCATCACCTGACGTGGGTGTTCCGACGCGTCTCACGTCTACGACCATGTCTACGACAGAGCTATTCATCAACTCGACGATTCGACGATTCCAGCACATCTGAACTTTGTCATGGTCATTTGATAGAGATAAGCTGACACGTCGTAATTAAGATTCTGCCAAAAGTTAAGCGGCACGCGGGGTAGTACGAAATTTACACTATACAAGATATGCCTAGCTTCGAATTCTGTATATATATGAAGGACAGAAATAGACTACTATGGTCTGCGGCTATTACATGTATGTTTGCCATTAGTGGCCATTGGTAGCCGTTGGACTTCCTTCCGCTGCTCAATGAATTGATTCCGCCGTACTCTTCCGAGACTCAAGAGCGATAAACTATCCCTTGGCAAAGCATCCACGTTCCCAAGTCTCGATCTTCTGCTCTCCCGAAGACATCCTCTTTTCTGTCTAATGAATCCCCTCGCAGCCCCTACAAAAGTTCTGGACTTCCACGAGACGAACATCGACTTGAAAATGATATCGACACGATGGACCTAGCTCTACACACTTTACCTTCATAAGGATACTTTTACTGATACCGTGCCTTGACCCGCCATGACGCGCTATAAGAATGATCAAATTCCAATGAAACGATGGTGACCCCGTCAGTCTCGACAATCGATAGAAATGCAAAATACGCCTTCGACTACTCGTGATCAGCTAATGTCATCTCGTCAAAGTCCTCCAACAGTTCTTCCAGTCTGACCTCCGGGAAATCGGCCTCGTCAGGTTCGTCATCCGTTTTGATGGCAGGCGTTTCGTCCACTTCCATCGCGTATTGATTGTTCCGCTTCCCTCTAGGCCTCTCCTTGTCTGATTTCATCTGCACGTCCCCAGCCTTGTACAGGTTTACCGCTCCTCTGATCTCTTCATCTTCCTCGATATCCCGAAGGAACAACTCGTAGTCTTCCTCGACCTTCTTTTGATCTCTGCCTCCCATCCGTCCAACAACGCCCCGTCCACCGCCAGTCTCTCCCTCTTCTCCAGCTTCCTTGCCGATACTCCTCAGCTTCCAATTCCTAGCCCTGTTCTTCTTACGTCTGTTGGGATACGTCTTCTTCACCAATAATATATCTGGTATCCGATCGCTAGGGAGCTGTGCAAAATCATCTGAGTTGAAGTTCGCGTTCGTGAGATGGTATCCTAGGACGGTATCCCCTGGTTGGAGAATCCCCCCTAGATGAGTTCCGTGTGTGGAATATCTGGTTTGTAAAGCCACTGCTCTCATAGTCCATCATGCCGTCGTCATCGGTACTGATACCTCCGGATCGGAAGGCGCCCGCGAGGGCCACTTGGGCGTCAGCGAGGACATACTTTCCCCGAGATCGGCCATCGGGCTCGATGTCAAGAACAGTAAATTCCACGAGATCAGACACGGTGGCAAGAGAATCGAAGGGCGAGCGCCAATACGTGGGAGCCGTGATTTCGCAGGCTTGGAGGGTACATGGATCGAGAAGCTGAAGCGAGTTCCCGACGCGAGTACAAAGTACTAGGGGATTTATATTTGCCAGTTGTCGCGCTTGCTTTAGTGGTATACACACGAGATCGTCCTTGCATATGGGAACGATCTCGACGGAATAGGTATACTTGAAGTTGGCGGTGTTAGTGTGAGTATCAGACGACAACAATTGTTCCGATGCTTTTTGACTATTAAAAACGTAAGAATGTGGTGTAGCCCAGGTAATAGACTTCTCACCGGATAGGCACGACACCACCCAGGAACTCAACCATTTTCAGGGCATGGCTACGCTGGCTGTAGAAGAAATCGAGACCATCTCGAACTTCCTTTACAGAAATCGTGTCCTTCTGAGTGCCGTGCTTCAAAATGAGTTGCTCTAGGAACAGAAATGTCCGTTTGTGTGTAACTTTTTGTCGCACTTGAACAAGTGCTTTCCACGTGTTTTTGGCTGCGAGTTTTGCGCAATCGGGACATTGTCCATGCTGCACTAGGTACTCTACCTCGAACGTTTGTTCTAGTATGGTGTTTGTGAGGACCTAGGATAAACGTCAGTATTAAGATGAATCATCAGAAGTTAAAGCGATCGCACCTCCTTCTGAATGGTCAATGACACACGCAGCCGTTTGGAATGCGGTTCAGTCCATATGAAGTGTGCCTCTGTCAGCCGGACCTTATTCAGACCCTTCAGCTTTTTTAAGCATATAGCGAGCAACTCGGAGGATTCTGGTCTAGCAAGCACCCACGACTGGGGCGGCGCGAGGAATCGTTCACAATTTCGACAAAATGATACGGATGCTAGCGGGAATAAATAACTTGCATACTTGTTTGGTACTGAAATATAACACACCTTGCTTCGGAATACCTTCAGTGATATCTTGCCTGATAAAATCAGACGATCGCGCGCACAGAAGTTTAAGAAGGCACCCACGTATTCCTTAGACAAGCTACACATAGATTGGCAGAATTAGGGACGATGGGTGTTCCTACAAAAAATTAGTTGTTACAAATTTCTTTTCTTCGTGAAGTAGTTCGTACCACAGTCTGCACACAGGACTCTATGAACCGGCGGTGCAGCCACAAATTCCATTTAGTTTTGCCTGAAAATCGCCTGTAACTGTAGATTAAGGATAGATGTGATGGTGAAGGATGAGTAAGGACTATACAAGCAGCGGATTCCGGATCCGAAAAAATAATCGCACGTGGTTTGCATCAGACAGACCGGCCCGCAATGCCGGGGTTTCTTTCCAACTTCGTTTGACTGGCTTGTCGTGCTTGTGGTCTGGCCTTCAGACGTTTAGTCGTTTCTATGAATCACTGCTCCATGGGCGAATACAAAGAACCATCATCTGTACCTCAGTCACAGCTGCATGGATCCTGAAGTGCATGGCATCGAATGGGTCTACTTAGTTTGAATACTCTGTAACTTGGATTCTCGTCTTCAGTGACGAGACAGAAACATCAATGTAGGAAAAGGAAGCCCTAACCTATACGCTTGGCGACTTCGTATGTGCAGCGGAACCTTGTGTTTAGAAACCTTGTGATACTCAGCGACGAGGGAGTATCATGATTCATCATGTTGTAGCCAACCTCATGATCACTGCAACGGCCATCTCAAAGGGCGCTATGACCCCCTTCCGCTTTGACGTCTGGACTAGCTGAATCCATGGCTTCTCTATCATTCACAACCAAATCAAGGGTGCAAACATACCCAAAGCGAATGTAGCGAGTGTCGCCGTCCGAAGGTTACATTTTGGGGTCAAAGTCTTTTTGGTCGTCAATTACCGCTGATAGAGACGCCAGTCAGAATTGACTGGTGGAGTGCGGTATGTGTACGTTTTGTACAACGGCCGTATCACAATGTTCCCATTGTACTGTTCTTTCTGTCAATGCTACGAAGCAAGGTCTGAGATACGTTACATTTAACTCAGATTGAAATGCGCTGAATAGACGCCTGGGGTCAAAATCAAAGAAGGAAATGTACATTGGGGATGGAAAAATCGAAGACGCGTATCATTATGCATCATGGAATGATACCTTGAAATCCATTTGTGGCACATCGAAGGGAATGCAGGGCACCTTCTCCTGGCTTCACTTACATATGGACTCGAGGCTTCAACTTTCAACTCACACCACCTTCACGTCTTCCAAAACAGAAGCTCATGGAGAATCAACTCACTCGGAGGATGATCACTCGCTCGGAGGACTCGCATATGAATTCATATCTGTTACATCCGAAGTCTAATACAGCAATATAACTCTGCTCATCCTCTGTAAGCGCTATTCGGGGGTATTTGTCCCGATAGAAACTGAGGTTCCGAACACAGAGGCCTTGGCGCAATCAGCCCATATCATAGCCACATCCCTCAAAGTCGACACCGAGCAACCATATGCTCCCACTGCTCCTCTGGCGACGTGATGGCCTTGGCAATCTGAGATACTGCGGCTGTCAGACTTTTACTGCCTGACCCAAATGTTCTCGACGGATGATAATTCGGTGTTTTGAGACTACGAGAATTCACCGCTTTTGTGGCTTTTGACTTCGATCATGATCCTGGGTGATCATCATCTTCAACGAGTACCGGAGTCTTGAGATTTCGCCGGTCCTGTACTTAGCAACAACGCCGCCGCCTGAATACGACACATTACGCCAAGCAAGGCTGTACAAGAACACACATGTAAAAAGTCTCAAGTGGTCTTAGCATTTCGGTGTCGATTTTAGAACATTTATGTTACCCCTCCAGTTGCCAACGTGTGTCGTTGCTCTCTTTCATCCGAAGCTGGACTCGACCAACCCGAGGGACGCAAGTCCGCACCAAGTTGTTTTAGGAATATAAATGGCGTACACTTGGCTCTATCATCACCGGTGGGATCTACACCCTTCCTTTCATCCAATTTGCAAGCTACACGCGACACTAGGCATTGCGCTGTTCGCTCCTGCGAGGATGTGCTCTCCGTATCTCTACAACGAATATGTACTATACCTAATCCTATAGTTCTTCTCTGAAACCATCCGTCGGATCCGCTCCACCGTTATCCGTCGGCTCAGCCGTAGAATCAGGACTACTGCTGGGCGCACTTCCAGCGCCGGCGAGCACATTGGTATCAGCAGCGGCAATACGAGATTTTATCAGGCCCTGTTCAGCAAGCTTGCGAGTAAACTGAGAGATCTCTGTGTCGTATACTTCCCACTCAGGTATTTGTCGTGCTCTGGCTAATTTGGGCTCTTTCTGTATTCGCCATGCGATTAGGGCAGACTAAAAGATTGAATCACTGCCGGGGCTTACCGTTAGCGGGTTCTGGCAAAGATCGATGGTCTTTGCTCTATGCAACCGGTCCTTGCTACCTGGAGAACGATGAATAATAATGGGAACAAATAGTTGCCAGTATACTCACACCAAGTTTCACACTAGAACCGCGGACGTTTTTTGTCAGGTAAATGGGAACCCAGAAGAATAGTCTTACCCAAAGCCAGTCTTCATGCAATGAAAACTAGTAGAACAATCGTCATTACAGCCTAAACATACTCCGCTCCAAAAACACTCACTATCGGGACTTCCCGTTGCAGGTTATTTGGCAAGTCTGCATGCGTGAAACGTCGTCAGTTGATAGAATAGAGATATCAAATATTAGGTCAAACCTTGGTCCAAGTTCGACAACGAATTAGGATCTGCTGATAGTTGCTGATACTGACCACGCAGTATATCCTGTGTAGATCGAGCATCTTAGTAATTGTCATCGTTGCGGGCGTAAGTCCACGTACACCAGCAGCGAACTACCGTGGATCAGCAGGAGTAAATGACCACATGGGGTAGAGGGACTTACTTGGCGGAATCGAACGAGATCGACGACATACAGCGCACTACAGGACCTCTTGAGCAAGGTGCAACACAAGGCGAGGCAATGGCAGCTTCCTACCTGATATGATATGGTCGCCCCTTCAGGAAATCCTTCCAGTATCCTGTCTTCCAGAAGCGGAAGCCTTCCATGTCGGTATTATCATCGCCCATGGGCGTATAACCATAAGGTGCACCATGAAGATCTAAGTCCACCAGTTCCTGAAGATCAGCTCTGACTATCTGGTCCGCGTCTACAAAGATAACCTTCTTGAGGTCCATAGGGAAAAGGACATCTAAGAAGAGTATTTTGTAAGCCCATATGATTCTTTGTTTCTCCTTCTGGGCACGTAACCACGATGGCCACTTGTAAGTCACTAGCTCATATTGGAATCCATAAGCCTTGGCCAGATGAGGAATGAATTCCTACAGGAAAATCAGATACCACGTTAGTGAACTTATGTAATGTCTACGGACCAGGAAAGAGGGTGACAGGAAGTTTTCAATGAACCAGAACTTGACTGTGCTCTTAGTATTGCGCATCACGCTAAGAATCATAATCGAGACAAATCGCTGCATAGGATATTCAGACAGCGTCGTCGTAAGGCATCGAAACGCCGCTTACCTCATACAGCAATCCCGAGGCAACAGTAAAAATGTTGATGTCGGCTTGCTTGTTAACAGCGACCACGGAGGAATCAGTAGAACCGAAGATAGATTTAAATCTGAGAGGATGTCAGAAAACGTCAAAAGTTGACAAAATGCGGGTCCTACAGCGACGTTATGCCACCCAACATCCCCTCGGAATCGTCGGCTTTCTTGTATCGCAGGTCAAGCACGTCAACGGTCTCCATCCCAGGCACCCTGTTAAACCGCGGGTACAAAGTCAAGCCTTCGAAGCTTGTGACCGTTATCTCGTTTCCTACGGCATCCACGCTTGGACTGTCCCATCCTTCATTACCGACACTGTCGATAGTGAAAATATCTCGTCCGCGTCCTTCTCGAATTTCCAGTTTGAACACCCCAGGTTTCGTCTTGAATTGGAAGTAGCCAAGGTTAGCTGTGATGAGGGTATCATCAACTGCTGTGTTGTCACCACTACGTAACTCTAATTGGACACCACGAGGAGGAGCTCCGGTTACAGTTTCGCGGGCATGTCCTTCCACGACGATATAGTCCAGATCAAATACGACGTCGACACTACTATCTTCAGGTGATATGTTACCCAGTTGAATATTATCCAGATCATATAGTGCCTCTCTCGGTCGGACAAGCCAGGAGGAAGGTACGTCCATAGCAAGCGTGTAAATAGGCTCAACGGGCAGATCTTCGAAGATGGTTTGCGCGGGAAGCTCATGTCTACACCCAAGTCAACTTCTGCAAGTCAAAGAGTATATGCACCACGTACCCGTCCTCATCAAAAGACAGGGATGGGATCAGATTATATCTGAAGAAGCGTTTCAATGGGATCTACACGACCATCAGAAACCGTAGAGAAAATCAGATGACGGAGACGAACTTCACTGTGTGGTCCAGGATTCAAGTATATCTCTATGTATGTGTCCGGAAAAGTAGAGATCCACTAGATCGGCATTTTAGTTGGATGAAATCCCGTCTGAGGATTATTAACATACCTGTAATAAACTTGACCAACGCTGAGCAATTTCACTGATAGGGTCGGTAATGACGGATATTTGATACAATGCCGTGGTGTTATCACCGTATTCGAAACCCCTGATGATTGGGATGAGTGAACTAAACAACTGAATACCCTCAAAACGCACGTATATTTGCTCTCGAGGATCGTGTAGCCTCTTTGCCGAGGTCTCGGGGCTGTATCAAAAAGACCAGCCTCACTTGGATCAGGCAAACTTATCGATGATATAATTGATGAAGCTAGGGAAACCAGGTTGGCAAGTGATGCACTGTCTGAACTGTAAGTCGGCTGTGAAATGGAGGGATGTTTAAACTTGCCGATCAAGCGAGGCAGCAGAAGGTAACACGTCATGTATCGCAGATACCACAGATTCGACTCGCCGACGCAGCTCGTACGTTTCTAGTGCTTGGAAATCTGTAGAAACGAAATCTTTAGTCTCCAGTGGTCCAATAACCTACGTTCATCGTTGATCATGAGAAAATTTACATATCATAGTGTTTCACTTACTCTTCCATTGACAAGGATGCCTTGGGAGCCTGCAGGTTGCTGTATCTCTCGCACCAATAAACGGCTACTTCGCATGAACTGTGCAATTTTCTCAGGATCAGCTTCCGATTGTCCCGCGAGTGCCTGAAAGGTGCCTTCTTGAGACAAGGGTATCTGCGAGCGCCCTCCATCTACCGACAGAGGGGCTTCCAGCCCCAAAGCACTTATCAATTGGGCTGGCGATGACTTCGACAGGAGCCCCTTGGATATGAGATGTATTAACAACCACGCAACGGGTGTGTGCTGTGCTGTAATATCCAACTTGGGATCACTTGGATTGTGGATAAAAGAAAGTCGGGTTTGAGATTGGTCGTTCTATGGGTACTAAGTTTTTGGCGTTCCGTAGAGAGTGTGACATGATGAAAAACTTACCATCGATGTCAATGCTGACTTCAATAGTTCGAGCCCCTCCTCAGTGTTAAAATCAGCGATGAGAAAGAGTGTGATGGGTGTTTCCCCCTCAGCTGCAGGGTAACCTGTAAGCTAATACTTGACAAGAAAAAAGTGTCACCCACGAGGATATATGAAAGCGCCAGGACCAGCGCCGAAGCCCGTACGAGCATATAATTCAGGAAGGTTATAAATGCGCAAGCTCCCGATCGCATCGATGAACCGATTCCTCGTTTTCTGGGTCGTGGGGAGGTCGTAAAAGTACGTCGATATAGAAGCGCTACTATCATCAGTGATTTTTCCTTCGTACAACTGCACAGGTTATGAGCTTCAAAGACTATTACTGCCAAGAAAAACAATACCTCCTCTTGTAGATGCTGTAGCTGCCTAGTTACTTCCATTTGCATGCTGCGAAGAAAGGTCTGAAAAGAAGTAAGCCAATGGTATTGTTGCAGCATATGAAATCCTGTTACCTCGCTCATGTCAAAGTGTTTCCCATTGACAAAGCAATGCCCTTCTGGGTTGGAAGACATAGATGCACCTATCCGCTTGGTGTATACATCGATCTTGTCAAAAGATTTGGAGAACTCTACTTGTCCCTCGATGATGCTATCAAAGATAGCATCTTCGAGGTCCGAGTCCTCCGCATCCAACAGATCTTCAAACTCTGAGCGGACTAGGTCCCATTGAACATTAGGTTTCCTATGTTGCGGCGGCATACCGACCAGCGATAACTACGATACGCAGTCAATATCGTTGTCTCGAAGGGAATGACACAATTGCCTTCTTCAAATATCCCATCGTTTTCTTTCGGCCAAAATTATCCACAAGGAAATAGAACAACCGAGCCATCTTCAAGCCTGATATTTGAATGAGGTTATTTTCTTGACAAAAATATAGGGAGATTTACCCACCATCTTCACTTTCAATGCTAGGCACTATGCCAAAGCGGAAAGGAAAGCTCCTTTCGATGATGTTGGCTACTGCGCCGCCAATAAAAGTTAATGCGTTGGTCTGAGATAAGTCTAGTACCAAAACGACATTGAATATATTTCGTTTGATGTTATGGAACTGTCCTGGATACAAGGGCCGGAGGAGCTAGTGGAAGTTAATGTGGGGCTAATTAGAGTGTGCCGAGCAGACGTACAGTAGAAATAGCTGGGTCCCAACGTTGATATCTGCGACGGGGTCAGTCTCACAAGCAATGACTAAACAACGTGTAACATACCGGCTATCCTTTTCCAGGTCGTTCCACCAAGTGATCACTTCACCTCCTTCAGGCCGATCACTGGCATCAACAAAACCATCAAAGCCAGACTTTTCACCTTGACCAGCTGCGATGATGGGATGAGTGAGGAGCTCCATCGCTTGAGCCCGTGAAAGATCCAAAGAAGTCAACGACGACATTATTCCTCGCTCCTTGCGAAACATCCTCAGTAATCCATAGGGCGTAACATCCTTCTCTGCCATCGGCACCCCGTTGAACCAGAACGCATGTCCACCGGCTTGTACTCTAAGTTGATTGTTGTGTAATTCTTCAGCGACGCTCTCATTTGCTCCGACGCGTCGTCCAAGCGATGTTGCATATTTGGGAAAGTCTTGTGAAATAATTCTAAGTGTATCCAGAGGCTCGGAAGATTCAGCAATAATTTGAGACGCCTTCAAACTCAGCTCTGTGGCCAGCGTCAGTGTCAGACTCTGACCGCAATTGCTGAATTACCGACCTAAGATCTCCACTTCTGTAAGTGGCACTGTAGTCTCCGGTGCAGTGGTATTCTCCGGGTATGCTTCTATCAAGGATGCCACAGCATCAATACGTTTCCCAATCTCCTCTGAGATATCGTCTGCGGCTCCAGCTACGTTTCATTACGTTAGCACGGGCGGTCGGGCAAGGAAAACGACAGACCTCCGCCATTCATGTTTCGGTCATCCACAGCCAAGTAATCCATCTTCTTAAGGTCCAGCGCGACACCATAGCCGGACAAGAAACTTCTTGGAGCATCGTCGGCTTGCTTTGGGGGAATATATCGGAAGATATATTCAATGTTGTTCGACGAAGCATGGGATAACAGGTACGAATGCAGCTCTCGGAAATTTTCCGAGTCTAAAGACGCGTAAAGAATGGCCGTGCGAGGCGGAGTGTTCAAGGTCAGGCTGGGAGAAGGGTTGACGTGATCAAACGGCAGGATCTTGGGTCGGCTGAAAGGATTACTGACAACGGGTAAATTAAAACGAGTGTAAAAATGACAATGCTACTCACGGTATGCCTTCTTTCGAATCGATGGTCTCCCTGCCCGCAAGCTGGACCAGAGTCTCCACGTCACACACTACTGTGCCGTACCAGTCAACCCAGGAGCCGCAATCAACTTTCGAATTCAGATCAGAGTAGTGTTGATAAAAGGCTTCGATTTTCGGTGTCGCAGAATGCATTGCCAGGTTCATTTCTACAGCAGTCAGTGCCCCCGGTTCCGTAAGGAACCCGCCTGCCACGGCTGCTTGCAGTGCGAGCTGATGTACGGCTTCAGGACTAAGATCTTTTGCGAGCGCATGCGTCTCGGGGTTCGTTATGCTGTCGACGAACGGGAAAAATGCGTCTGGATTCTCTAGTGCGACCGTTTCACTTTCAACACGTCAATGCAAGGCTCGTCACGGAACCAATACAGGCAAACGCACATTATTTCGACAAGGACTGGTGGTGCACGCCATGACGACCTCAACGAAACTTTGACAGGTGGACCGGCTGAGCAAACAACGAAAACGCTGCTGAACAGGACCCATACGGCAGACGTCCGCATATTGGGGAAGACGGTGTAGCAATCACCCTCTGTACGGCTAATATATCAACTTGAAATGACTTTCCCGAAGATTTCAAGGGAATGGAATGGGAACAGTAAAGTAGGAAATGAAGCAAGTGTGCATTGGCGGTCGTGGCAGACACGAAATCTAATCAGAGAATTCCGCCACGTGGACCTATCTCTATATAGCCCCTAACTATTGAGGTCATAGTGCCGGTTAACCTCTGAGTTCGCCTCGCATGGCGTAACGAGAGAACCTTATTCTGATTCAACTATTTTATACTGTAGGCTGCCAGCCAGCACCACGTTCCGCTTTGCAGTCTGACTCTTCCAGAAACCCTACTAGTTGTAACCCACATTTTAAATTTCAAGCCTCAAAGTAACGTTCAAAGTCCAGGTATACCTGAAGCCACGATCATTCTCCTCCGTCTATAGGCACGCGAATTACCTACCATTTCAGTGGAATCCCGATTTCAAGTATGGCCCATTTTTCGCTGGCTACGGGACGATCCCCTCTGATGTTACAGAGGAATACCCCATCCGTCCTTCTGACCTATCTGCTGGAATCGCGACCTTCCATAGCGGACTTGTTCCCAGCGATATAACCAGACAGGTCCCGCTTAGTATGAGGAATGCAAAGATGGAAGCCTGGATGACCAGATTTCTCGATCGATGGAAGAAAGATGCTGGGAGACAAAGGACAGTCTTCTGCAGAATAATATGAGAACAAAGCATATCGTTTCCGAAGGCATACGGCGAAGACAGGCCTCGTGGCAGCGGGAGAAGGACTGGCTGGCAACGAGGGATTTGAAGGTGCGGAAACAGGGTTGTAGGGAGGGGCCAGACGGATGATGTATTCGGCGCCGGGGAGGATGCAACAGGTAGCGAAGGTGGTGCAGAGAGAATGTCCTTTCCTGAGGCGCTTAAAGATAAGCCAGACGGGACGTCCAGCTACCGCACTGCAAGAGACACGGTGATCGACGAGCTTAACGGCATACAGTTCTAACAGAAACCATTCCCTTCCTTCCTGGAGGTAAAACGATAAATAATGGCTTGTCAGACGGCTTAAAGGTTACGGAATATATCGCATGCTGTATATATGCAGGTACAAAGTCTGGCTACTAAACTGCGAACAAGAGCACATGAGATCGTGGTATAATAACAAGGCAGACACAGCAACCATACCTACACTGAGAGCAATGTTAAACGAAACGGAACCCACATCTTTACGTTGCTTTTCCTTCCATGGCCTGCTCAACAAGCTCGCCAACATATTTTTCAAACCGTTCTTGATCCATAACACCATTCTCGTCGAAGAATGCGTTGTACTCCTTCTTGCTCCGCGTCTTTCCTTTGGCAAGGAGTGATTTTCCATTACTCGTCGAGCGAACATAGGATACAGTGAGTTCGTATGAAGGAGGCTTAGATTGTTTGACGGGCTCCGTCCGTGAGGCGAGGGTTATTCGTTCTGTAACAATCTGAAAATGTGATGAGTATAGTGTTAGCGGCAGGTGGCACGATACGCACTCGCTTAGAGAACGTTTTCCTCTTTCCTACAAACACAGTATCTCCTTCGACGAAATAAGCGTAAAGGGTCTGAATGAGGGACAGGATAATGTATCTGCGTACATTAGTCTAACATACCGCAAAGATAGTGCTTCACTTACAGGCTGAGCCCCACCCACACGACTGGCTTCGAGATCTCAAATTCGACCTTGTAGCCATAAAACGCTGTTCCTGCGGCTACGAGCACACTCGACCATCCAAGTGCCAATCGTACATCTGTGTGCAGAAATATCTGCTTGAATAACTCTGGTCTGGAGAGATACTGCCCAACGTTGAGTGTCAGTTTCACTCCTTTCTATCAAGATAAAAGGTCCACATACGCGTTTCACCGCATCGTCGCAAGCATTCTTGAGATCCGTCAAATTGGAATTATTTATCTTGACTATCTCGCGGTCTTCCTGGGGTATGACGATACTGAGCGGTCCTGTGGGTATGTCTGGCGACGGTGGCAGCGATGGGGAGCGAGGTGGACTCGACGACGATGCCTCCTGGCCATTTGCTGGTTTCCTTGAGCGAGCCATTGTGGACGTCGCAGTTGCGTTGTGGCCCGGCAGCGACAAAGAAATGGAAGGTAGTAATGAACCGTGTACAAGGGCCTCGACGTGTCGTGGGTACCGCCACGTGGCTCAGCGTGGAGGCCAGCCTTTGGTTTCAGTCTTGCTTCATCCGTTCCTCGTCGCTGCCACCGCTGAGCTCGACTATTTTGAATGTCCTTGAACCGCCATATTGCAGTTATTGGCGGCGGTCTTACTGGTCTTTCCTCTGCATTTCATCTCTCTCGACGATTCCCAAATGCTCTCATCACGCTCTTCGAAAAACACAATCGTCTTGGTGGATGGGTGCGAAGCGAGCGCGTCGACGTGGGTCCGTCACAGCAGATGGTTCTAGAGGCCGGCCCTCGTACAATACGGCCCAATGCGAAATCCATTCTGGAGTTGGTGGGCAGAATTTCGTCGAAAAATATTGTGCCTCCATTGAAGAACAGGCTAGGTCCATCTCCTAGGCCTCAAGGACTCATTGATAACAGTTCCAAGAACTGCAGCGGCAGCACAAAAACGATTTCTTTATATTCCTGAGGTTGGACAAATACAATCTCTCCCTGCGTCTCTCTCGTCTCTTGTGGTATCACCTTTTCGATCCATATTACTGCCGGCGATTCTTCGCGAACCATTCAGACAAGCTAACAGGGCCTGCGGCTTGACGGACGAAAACTTTGACAGTTTTATGACTCGTCGATTCGGGGAGGATCTTGCTCGTACGCTCGGTAGCGCGTTGGTCCACGGCATATATGCAGCGGATTCCAGGAAGCTCAGTGTGCGAGCTGCATTTCCTTTTCTTTGGAAGGCTGAAGAGAGAGGGTGGGGAAGCGTCGATCTTGGAATTCTACGTTCATTTCAAGAGGAGGACGACGTATCTGAATACTTGATGGGAGATATACCTGGGAAGATGAACGGTGTATCTGTCTTTTCTTTTCGGAACGGAATGTCTACCCTAACAGACGCCTTGAGAAGCCACCTTATGCAACAACCTAATGTTCAACTCCTGGCCGATACCTCAGTCACCTCGCTAGATGTGAGTGAAACAGAAATAAAGGTAGCCTTCGTCGTCATTGAAGCCAGCATGCCTCTAAACGATTCTTCAGGTTAATAAAGGCATGCTAAAGCCTACGTATGTTGTGTCCACCATTCCACTGTCGGCTCTTCAAACACTTTTGCCTTCCCTGCCTCATCTAACTGCCAATCCATCTTCCTCCGTAACACTCATCAACCTCGTCTTCCCCGTACCGCCGAATACCTTCCATCCTCCAGGCTTTGGCTACCTCATCCCCCGTCCCAAGGATGACTATTCTCTTTCCACGCCGGGTATTCTAGGCGTCATTTTCGACTCTTGCTCCCTTTTCTCCCAGGACACGCCGACCACCAACGATTCCTTCACAAAAATTACCGTTATGCTTGGCGGTCCTCATCCATTGACAGAGGAGCATATTAAGATCCCTGTAGTGATTTCTCAGCTCGAGAAGCACTTTGGGACGAAGCTACCGGATCCGGTGCTAACGAGAACTTATCACCATGATAAATGCATACCAACCTTGACGCCGGGGCATTTGGATCGTATGGCTGAATTGAAGGAGGCATTGAAAAGTGGCGTGTGGAGAGGAAGACTGGAGGTCATTGGAGCTGGTGTGGGCGGTGTTAGTGTTGCAGACTGTGTTGATGCGGGGAAAAGGGTAGGGTCTTTATGGTAGATGTTGACGGCATAGTTAAAAAGATGTATACTAGACTTTCGTCGCCCCATCAATAGCTGGGTTAATGAATACAAATTCCCATCTTTAACATTTATTTAATACACAGCGAACTTCTGCTTTTTCGGTTGTGAATCGAAGTTTCTTTACAACAAAGTCCCGAAGAACCCTAAGGACCATTGCATGAGCTGTTGTCTCCGTATAATTTTCTGGTCCACTCACAATATTTGGACGTATATTTCACGGTGATAGGTGCAGATCCCGGTGTACACTGATTAAGCGCGTCAGCGGCTAACCATTAGAAGAGATGATGGATCTACTAAGGGACATACCGTCGCAGGCGGCTGTCCATCCCTAGTATCAACGCGGAAGACTTGAGTCGCGAGCGACCCAAGGACCCGGTCAAGGACCAACCAATCAATATCCGAGCTTCCAGTTGGTGCGGTCATGGATCCACTCCTCGCTCCGACAACAAAGGCCTCAGAGTCATGCAGTGAAGCGCTGAAATCCCACTTTGGGCTGATGCCAGAACCCGTGATGGGGTTCGTAATGAAGAAGTGGTCCCCGAGGACACGCAGTGCCAGGCCGAGCTTCGAGGGTACGTTCTCGATGCGGTGAGTATTTTTCCATGCAGCGATGGCCAGGTCTTGGATATGGCCAAAGAGAGGTGTACCAAGGAGGCAGGAGATGTCAAATATTTCGGCGACGGCGCCGACGTTTCTGGTAGGTAATTAATATGGGTACGCATGTACTGCGCCGTGAACTTACGTATAGACACCATCAGCCGTGCAGGTGTAGTTTTGTGTGCCTATTCCAAGACCAATAAATGAAGGGGCACCAGAAGGTGATGCAATCGCTGAGCCGTTTGGGAAGACGAGACGGGCTCGTGAGACGTCACAGCCGCCTGAATTTCGGGCAGAAAAATCATGGATATTAGGTGAAGGCATTGCCAATGCGGGGAGAATGGACGACAGCGCAAGTAAAACAAAGGCGAACATGTTAAGGCTAGCAATAAGGAGACAGAGACCACAGATGCAAGCCAGAATACGAGGGCGATGGCGATGATGGAGCAATGGATGGAAGATTTTATACGTCTCAGGTAGAGATCATGAAAGGGCCGTGCAGGAAGATAGAAAATGAATGTTCCGTGAATCAGGTGGCCCAGCGCTGACATAGGGCGAAGAGAGGACAACACAATCAGCAAGTCTAGAGATTCAGTGAGAAAGTTGAATAACCCCTTGATCGGCGTTAAAGGAAGATTGCCCTTGCAGGTGTTCACAAGATGTATACCAGTTACTTCCAACATTAACTGAACTGACAACTATCAAAATGGCACCACACATCAGTCGAAAGAACTCTTCAATTCAGAAAGCGTGTCATTAACATCACGATTACGATTTTTATCGTAGTTGCGGCGTTTAAGAAAGCACAACACGCAGAAGATCCTTGGCATTTGAGAAGATTCCCGGGCAATATTAAATGGTGGTCCATACTGTGTGGCACGAGGTCTTGATTCGCGAGATGGAAGCCCAGAGGATAATGGTCGCCAAACAATCCTGCCTGCCGTGCGGCATTTCTGTTGGATAGTCCTTATAAGGTGGAATCTATAGTAGGGGAACTAACGTACTCCAATGGCGGGTGCTTTATTAGCGGGCCAGGATGCGTTTCTTGGTGTTACGAGTCAAGTAGTTCAATTTGAAGCCCAAAATTCCATGACACCATACGAAGATAAGAGATTGCAACAGAGAGCTTGTCTGCCAGCCCTGTCCGAAGCCAGTTGATTATTGCTCGACACGGCAGAACTCGGTGGTGGTGGTGGTGTTACCGGCGCCAGGTCCCAATAAGGAACGAGTCCACAGCCCTGACATGGCGAACCATTGTTGGAGGTGTGAAAACAGCGCGGACCGGAAACCGATCGTGGGTGTGGGTGAAATTATTGTTTGCTCATCATCCATCGATTCATCACTTGGAAGTTACCAGCTGCCACCAATTGCGCTGGTCGTCCGGATCGAAAGTGCCAAAGCTGCCTGAGCTTTGTCACATCCTCATAACGCGTCGAATTCTTCTTCAGCTCTCCTTCACCGCCAAAGGCAAAACATCTTGCCATGGTTCCTATTCCTGTTCCAATTTCGGTCAGCGACGTGGCTCCTGCAGAGGAAGGTGCTCTTGCAGAGTTCTTCCACCAGGTACAGTTACGATCAGCCAAAAGAAAGACGCGACTCCAGGAGGTTGAGGTGGATGAGTCGCTTACGCGTTGTGTTGAGAGGATTCTTGGGAATAAGCAACATGTACGTTCCTAGCATCCTTTTTCAAAACTCAGCTTAACATGTGCCCGCTAGGAAAAAGCAGTGACAACTTGGTTGCAATATGCGTTATCCCAACCCGATCAGGCCAAGGCCCTAGATCTGGACTTAGTCAATGATTGCATTATTTTCGTCAGGTTCTATTGGCTCCTCTATAAGAGCAAACCTGACTGGGACCGTACTCTGGCACTAAACTATCTCAATGGCGAGAGGAAGAAGAGATCTGACTATATAATCGTTATTGGAGAAGCAGAAGACAGCCATCTGGATTCGGACGCGAACCAGAAAATTGCTTTCATCGATACTCTTCACCAGAGTAAAGACTTGCTCCTGCACGAGGAAAAACACGAACATACGGATGCAGAAATAGAGACACCTGGGTGTGTTTCGCCTACCGCCGGCTTGGACCAGCCGAAGCCGATCCCCGAACGAGCTACCAAGAAGCAACGTTTGCGGGTTGACCTTGCGCCGAAGATAGCTGCGGCCTCAAAAGCACCGAGTTTGAAACCAGCTGTATCTAGCTTGGACAACAAACCAGCTGAACGCGAGGGACAGCGTAATCGCACGCCCTCCAACCATGAAAAGGCTCAGAAGTCTAAATCCTCTGCCTCGCAACAGAAAGCGGTACAGATCGCATCTGCTAAGGAGAGAAATAATCTTTACGATGGTCCTACAGACCGGTTTGCCCCAGACAAACGTCGGGAATCGGCAAGAACAAATGATGACTCTTCAACCTTGGACGTCGTTTCCTCAAGAAAATCTGATCAGTATGATAAACGTCGCCGTAATCTTGAGAGTGGCTCGTCTCATGATGGTCCTTCCAGGGAAAACCCAAAGGGTTTGCACACTATTAATTCGTCTCAATTGATCAAAGTCGAGGATCAAGTCGATTATTCTCGACAGTTCGACAACTGGATATCCGATGATCCCCATGACAGTGGCCATGTAGAAGAGGAGGAGTTATCGTATGACGCTATTATGCGCCTACCGGCGGATTCGGAGCCCCCCATAGGATGTAGACAGCCTTTACCAAGGTATCCGCCCATTTGGGCAAAGGTAAGTACTATGTCACTTCTCATATGATTGAGAGCTGAGATGGCCTGTCATCGTTCAGTCTCGTCAAGAGGTGTGCGAAACATGGGACTGGTTCAGAAGCTACCAAGGAGGTGTTTACTTTCGCCAGAACGAAGCCAAAGGTTATCTGCTAAGCGCTTTCTCATCAAAGTCAAGCCTTCCCTTCCAATTTTTATGTCGTCGTTCACTGATATTGATGACAGACGTGATGGCTGGTTCCACAATGGAAAATTGATCATTTCCCATGGGTACTTAATCCTCGATTTGTATACAGTGATCTTACGACGTTTTTATCAGCGGAGGAAAAGCCGAGAGCATCCATCATACCAAAGGACATCTCGAGAAGCAAGCAGCTTCGGACCAGAACGCAGAAGACTTTTCTGTACGAGCTCTATTGAAAAATTTTCGCAACAACATTCCCGTCGCACTTCTGATTGACGACAAGTACGTTCATTTCCCGTTCAGTCTGGACGCGCGGGATGTCGCATATGCTGTGCTTGGTTTTTACAAGATCACTCATGTTTGGTGTGGGTTTTTTCGCCATTTGCTTTTGAGCGATGATTGATACATCCGCCTGCAGCGGAATTACAACCTGCGAACAATGATCGGGGACGTGTTGTTCGGTATAAATTTGCATTCCAATGGTATGAATCTCAGGTAGGGCTATTTCGGGTTTGGTCAATACCAACCGGCTCAAGGTGCAATTCCTAGGGCCAACCATGGTGGTGTTCGACGCCGGAAGACCTTCCTACTACGAGTAAGCCGAAGTATCAGATGTCACACTTTGCGCTGATGAGAAGTATGGGCAGATACACATGTGCCTACATCGAACAATCCTGTCAATCTTCCTTTGGCACGACCCAGTTCCAGAAAATCGCCAGGTAACAATTTTAAGAAGGAAATGCGGTAGTCGACAAATCTAACGTGTGCATTCCTAGTCAAAAAGGCGGTGTTTGAAGAGAAGCTGTATCTGTAAGTTCTACGAGCTCGTGTCGAGGTTCGATTAATTTTCATTGTCAGTCCAAACCATTTCTTTGGCTCGGTGTACCAAGAATGCTCTGACTGCCGACACATGTCTCCCCAAGTCTATGAGATTGGATGGATGTGCCTTCAGTCTGAATGTCGACGTTTCTGGGTGATAGATACAAGCGATGCCGTTCTACTTGAGCAGCTGAAGTACAATCCTGCCTTTTTGGAGCTCCTTCCCAATCTCACGTTACCTGTCACTTTGAGTATTTTCCCACCTTCACCACCGTCGGTCCTCGAGAGTACGGTCACCACAACCGAATTATTTGCTAGGGGCTGGCACTGTACGAAATGTGGTCGTCTATCTTGCAGGTTAGTGACCTTGACGTGAACTCCTCAGCGGCTGCGGCTGATTGCTACTTATAATCAGGTACACGTGGCAGCTCTGGGAATGTGCTCACTGTAAGGTAGGTTTTTACCCATCTATCGTTCATCTGCATCGTCACAATCCGGAGCAGAATTCCCTCCGTGTTCAAGGGGCGATTCAGCACGCTCGTGATTTGCAGTCGATACCTCTTAGCATCAAACGGAGAAGCAGCTCAGGAGATAGCTTCATTCCTCCAGATTCATGTCGGTATTCCTTGCATCTGAGGTGTGATACACTCACAGCCATATTAGGGGTTGAGAGGAGAAAGCAAAAAATCTTCCATGATGGCGATAGATGCGGGACACTTGAAACTTTCGTTTTTCCTGATGACGCGTACGCTATTTTCCATGAAAGACGACAGGATCTCATGTTTGAATAGAGGTTTTGTTCATCGCATCAAAGGCTGCGGTGTTGGCATGAATCAAGAAGCAAACAAAATTTTCATCAAATATCAAGAAGAGGCGATGGAAGGCAAACTCTTATTTAGACGTTGGCCACTGCGAGCAGTGAGTTCCTCGGTCCTCGACTAGTTGAGATGACAGCTGACAGACGCTAGCACCAATGTGCGTCTCTATAGCTTCCTCGGGCTAGCTCTCACGTCTTTACTCTCTGATAGGCCGAGGTGAACTGTTGACTCACTACTTCTCTCAGAATAGTAAGTGCACATTGGCCATAATTTTACCTGTCTAAATGAATCAACAAGGTGGAGAGCCTTATCAATATGTCGGCGGAACTGAGAACACTGTTCCATGGGATCAGGCTCCTTCGGCGGTGATTGAAGCTAGGGCGTTGATGCAGCATCGCATTAAATTGGCTCTCGATGACACATGCGAATCCGAATTCAATGAGGTTCTGAGGTAACGTCTATTCCTATTCGATACGATTCCTACTTCATAAGAAATCCATCAGCGCTGCTTACATGCAAAAACAAAAAATGGCGGTACGTGATCGAAGATCTATTAATATCGGCTATCGCGGACTGATTTCATCACTAATTACAGTTCCACAGTGACAGCGAGCGGGGCTTGGGTCCCACAGTTGCAGGTCTATCGCTGGGATCTCCGGCTCTCATGCATTTCCGCAAGTTGAAGCAAAAGCGTCGCAAAGCCGTACCTGAGAACGAAGAGAAGACTGATAAAACAACAGTCTTATCGTTAGTGTTGAGACACGTGAGTTTGAACCCTCGGTGTACAATCTTGTAGCTATATAACACTTAGGGCGACATTCTGGTCATGCAAGGCGCAGATATCCAGAGATGTTACGAGTACGTTCCACTGCCCTTTGCACTGGTCATTGGAAACTCACTCTATCTTCTAGACATACTGTCGAACCATCTAACTTCCGCATTGCAGCGACTGCCAGGTATATTGCCCCGAATACCCTGGCCTAAAGCCTGTATATATATCCTCCAAGTTCCATATATCTTGTAACGTCTGTATGGTGTGTGTAGAAGTAGTGCCGTATGCTATGTGATAAAATTATCGACCATTCCTATGTCAATGATACTGGCCGTCTGCAAACATGTATTTCAATGCATACAAGTTACCAGGGGACTTCGTTTTCTAAAATTTCGGAGCTGTGCAGTAATTAGAGTACATTATAGTCAGTACATTTCTACACGAATAACAAGCGTAATCAATCATCCTCATCCCAGTTGCCAGCTTGCTGAGGGATTTTAGGCCCTCCAGCCGGTTTACTCATGATGATACTGTCAACACTCAGGACGGAAATGGCGGCTTCTGTTGCCAACCGAATGGCCCACGTCTTAGCTCCCAGAGAATCATAGATCTTGTATGCGGTTGACTGCAAGGTGCCGTCAGTTTCCGCCTAGACATGAAAGTATAAGCGAGCGATCTCTGGCAAAAAAAAAAAAGACAAACCTCGACATCTACACCCCAGGCTTCGCCACCGTCCTCCTCATGCTTCGCCCAAAGACGGCTGAGCACCTCGTTGCCCTCAGCCCCGCCAAGAGCATTTTCCGCCAGTGTCCGGGGTATCACTTCGAGCGCAGCAGCATACCGTTTAACTGCATGTTGTGCAAGACCTTTCAAAGAACTGCCGTATATTTCCACCCTCTTCGCAAGCTCCAGTTCTGATGCTCCAGCTCCTGGTACTAACCGAGCATCTTTCATTAAACTTTTGATCACGTTCACACCATCATCGACCGCCCGTTCGAGGTCGTCAAGGTGGTTGGAGGTGGCTCCCCGAAGTACGATAGTCGCTGTACGCGATCGACCGCCAGGTGAGCGAGGGTCGAAACCTGCATCTTCCTCAGATAATTGACGAAGCACAGTTACACGGTCACCGCCTATTTCGATGGTTTCGAAGATGTCGACATAGCCCGCTTCTTCGGGGGTAGGCGCGCCCATGCGAGCCAGAGGGGTAGCGTTGACTACGCGACATACGCGTCGGAGATCAAACTTGGAAAGAACTTTGAGAACAGCGATATTGAAACGATTGAGGTAGTGCAGAGCAAGTTCTCCGACACTTGAGCCAGCGATGATGACTTGAACACCAGAATCGGCAATTTCTTTGAAAATCTGTCCTCAAATGAGTGAAGCGAGAGCTAACGAGCACTAGAAAAGCATACCTTTTCGAGATGTTTCTCCTCTCCACGAGTAAAATTGAGCATTTCATCGGCATTTTTGATGAGAACAGTTCCTTTGGTCTCGGATTGGGCAACATCCAATGCTGAAGTGAATACGGCAACTTTAGCTTTCGTCGCCTTTTTTATCATCCCTGAATTTTGGTGAGCTATGAAGACGGAAGAGAGCCATTGAGCTCACCCTCTGGCTCTCGACCGAAAACCATTCCTTGTACGACCTTACTTCCTGCAAGACTTCCACCCATTATTTTGACGACGCGCACATTATCCACATTGAAGTTTTTGGGATTGGCAGGCATAACGGCAAGGGCAGCTTCCGCAACCAAGGTTGATAAGGTATCCTCAAATCCATACTGTTTCGATGCAATTGCGGGTTTGAGAGCCGATGCCAGTGTTGATTCTGTCAAAGGTGAAGGGAGACTAAAGGTAGACAGTTCTATGATGATCATTAATCGGTAAGCCGATGGAGAAAAAGTAAGAAACGCACTTTCAAGCTCTGAAAGTGCCCGAACAGATGCAAGTTCATAGCCTTTAATTATTTCAGACGGATGTAGGCCCATAATGAGCAGATGTTCGGCTTTCTTGAGGAGCTCCCCGGCCAGTATGATCACCATATTTGTCGCGTCGCCCATCTGTCCTTTGGTAAAGAAAGATCTAACTGCAGAAAAGAGAGCACACCTCAGCCTCCTGTGCTTGTGATGCCATGACCAGAAGTTTTGCAGCAGGATGAATGACTTCGACCTCTCTGATAATCGTAGCCGCATCCGATGTCACAAAGAGCCTTCCAAGGTGGTTGATGATCAACTTGTTCCTTCCTAAAGTCCCTGTGAGCATCCTTCTCAGATAAGTAGAATAACAGAACGCGCCATTTGGACCAAAACTCGTCCTTACAAGGTCTGATAGCTCAGAGACAGCCTGTATATTTCGGAGAACGGCGTCTTCGATGCCTTGAAGTTGCTGCGTATGGTTTCAGTATAGAGATAAAAATTTATCTGAGTATCCCACCTTGTATCCATCCTTGAAGAGCTGGATATTGTTCGCCTTGGGCACTTTCAACGACATTTCTTAAGCAGGAAGATGAACGCGTCGGAAGTGGAAAGAAAGTCTTTGTTTGGCTGACGCTTCGACGATAAACAGACGGAATTGATGACGAAGTCTAGCAACGGAAGCTTCTGCAAGGTTCGTTTCGTACATATCCTCCATTGCACTGTACTTATCTTTTTCTGGAGCCATGGTTCTAGGGATTCTCGATGCGGTCATCAACTCTTCGTACTTTCCTAAAAAATATGTACCACACATCGTTACCGCCGCCGCATCACTGGTCTTAATCCGTGCTTTTTCTCAAGGGCGTACTACGGACCGCGACCGCGACCTTCACGCGAGGACAATATTGGTGACGGTGCGTTGTCAAACCCTCCTTTGAAAACCATAAACTTAGTATGAATAGGGAGGATTTACGTCGCTGGGTTTGACTCTTTTACAGTCGCTCGCTCAGCGGGGAGCCCACATCATTGCCCTGACCCCGGAACCAGTAGAGTCTGCAGAGGTCACCATTCTCATTGGATTGCTCCGGACCTCAACCTCCAATGACAACATATATGCAGAGCAGTGCGACCTGTCTTCTCCTTCGTCCATCCATGCGTTCTGTACTCGTTTCATGGCAGGGCAGGACCAGCGGCTAGACGCGCTGGTCTTCGCTCATGAATACCAACATCTAGGCTCATTTGAATTTCTATCCCCGCCTACTGCTGAATTGCAGAAAGAACGCGAAACTAGATCACTGGCGACATTCCTTCTGATCACCTTACTTCTCCCTGCACTTCTAGTCGCACCTGTGGAACGTGACATTCGTATAATCAATGTCGTCAATCGATTCTATGCCGCCGCGACAAACAGCACATTCAAGGCATCCTTTTCGTATTCCGCGTCACTTCCAAATCCATCTAAATCAATATTTCTCGCTGAAGGCACCCGTGCTTTGAAGACTTGCATTCTAACGCGCCATATACAGCGTATTTTGGATGCCCTTCCGTCCGCCCAAGTTCCCAAGACCGATACCAGTAGTAGTTCAATACCCGTGATCGATGCCAAGACTCAGAAATCGAATATCGTAGCTGTTAGCGTGTCTCCTGGCATCAGTAGAGTGGATACTATCGCTCCTCTTCTGCATGCCGACTGGACGGGAAGATTTGGCTGGTCTTACCTGGGAGTTGTCTTGTGAGTGATCCTACAAAATTTTATGCCTTCTCTAATGTGAGCAAGGTATCTCCTGTTTCAACCAATACTTCGTCTTATTTTCAAGTCACCTCTGTCCGCAGTTCAATCTGTTTTGCATGTCTTATTTATTCCGACGCCTTTCAAGATCATTCCAAGGGCAAAGCAGCCCAAAGATAAATCAGATTCGGTGATTGAAAAATCAGTCACAGAGATGCCTGAGGAGATACTCAAACCAGGATCTTTGTATGCTGAGTGTGCCGTTGTGCCGCTCAAGGTGCCAACCATAGACCACCCACCCCCGCCCGCCAAGGAACAGAGCTCTAAGGGAAAGGGAAAGGGAAAGGCCGAAGAGGAGATGATGGATCTCCCGGATGACGGGGAACTTGGAGGAGAGGCAACGGGTAGGGCTGTGTGGGAGGCTTATGAAGCGGCAGTGAAGGCATGGCAAGAAGCTGAACCAAAGAAGCCGGCCAAACAGGAGGACGAGAAGCCAGGTAGTGGAGTCTCTGAAGTAGAGACAGAGGGTCGTTGATCACGAGCTGTTTTGTATATTTATTTCTCCGCTATTCGATGTTGGACTTTGTGGGCGCGTGTAGGCGCAATGTTACTGCATGTCACACATAACGCATGAGCCGGGTAGCCGAGAAGCCGAATCTATTGGCTAGCACCGTTGTCGGAACCCGTTGTCGTATCACGTCCTTCCAGTTTTATTTCCTCCTCTATACTCCGGGGTCGACTCTAACCCTCATACAGTTTTTATAACGTCGGTTCGACTCCAGTAGGATTCTGGCTGGTCGTCATTGTTAGGATGTCTACCGAAGATGGTGTCATAATTGAGGATATTCAAGAGGTAAATTTTCTCCCGCCAAACTCCGGATTCAATCATTTATTAAAACACGCCATTAGACGGAAATCACAGAAGAGCATGGTGAGATGTATGTATTCCAATGGATAGCGTCGACGGAGAAGAAAATTGCGGAGGCACCTCTAGTACGTCGTCGATTTCATCCTGCCTTATGATATATACTTATTTTTCCGCAGTCTACTCTCAAGGCAAAGCAAGCAGATATCGAAGCCACGCTGGTGAAAATTATCACTGCCCCGAGCCCTTTCCCGGCTCCAGGACGCGCTATCCGCAATGTTGTAGCACGATGCCTCGTTTCTTTGTACACCCGGTCAGAGACGCGGACGCTGTTTGACACCATCCAGGCCTTCCTGAAGATCGTCGGTGACTCAAAGACAGCAGATAGAGATCCACACCGGATGTACGTGTTGCCTTCACGGTTCTATTGATTGAAAGTCTTACGCCAGGAAAACAGAGCGGCGCTGTACTGTGTCGGCGAAGTGATGCTCGCTTTTGGATCGCAGGTGCGGGTGTGGTTCCTTTTAGATGATTCTTTACTGAAAATGCGAATCGCAGTTCATGTCTTTTATGGCCGAAATCGCAATAGTGACCCTGCGCCTATCGAAATCTTCTTCCAATGTCGGTTTGCTCCAATGTCTACTTATCCACTGCTCAACATATACTTCTCTAGTCTCCATTACTGCGCTACCATGCTATCTTGGCACTCCGCAAATCTCTTTCCTCTGCCAAGAGAGCGGTTGCAGACAATACAGTCAAGGATATCATCAAGCAGATGCGGTCTGCCTTGACTGGTAAATGTCATCCCGTTCAAAGGGCATCTGCAGAGGTTGGTGTTCCTTCTCCCCCTTTCTGATGATAGCTGACTTGACGTCACCATTATTAGGTGCTCATTGTGATGTATTCCGGCGATAATCACCCTTCCACAAGCGACATTGACACCATCATCGCTCTCAGTGTCCGAAGTCTTGAGCACGCGGATCACGCTACCCGACGCTCTCTTTCCCAGCTGGTCGGGCACCTTTTGGCTTCTACCCAGACTCCAAGGGTGGTCCGGAGCTCTGAACCACCCGTTAAGAAAAGCGGGTCCGAACTTTTAGACGCCGATTCCACAACGGCAGGCCACGCTGCTGTATCTGAAGTGATGAAACCCCTTCTCACCCCGACAGAAATGCTATTGCACCTGTCGATGCAATATAATAAGCCGAACTTCTCTCGCAAGTGCCGCATAGGGCTGTTTGATTTTTATGCAGCACTTTTCATAAAGCTTGGAGTCGCTTTCACTGAGACCAACTATTCTTTGATCGTTTCTCATCTCATGGCGGAGATTGTCTCCAGTCCACGGAGTCGAAGCAGTCGCTATGAGGTCTTATTAGTTCGCCGATTAGTCGAGATTTTGTTGAGAGATCTAATCGGTGTTCGTATGTTGAGCGAGCAGGGACAGATAGGCGCTATCCAGGAGCTAGCTAGTTCTTACCTTAAACGGTGGCCCGCTTTGATGCCAGGTCAGACAGCGCCTTCTTCCGCTGTTTTAGCTATTGTCTTGCGGGAGGTGGCTGGGTTATTACAGCAACTTGGGAACGCCCCGCCTCCGGTGCAGGTGTGTTTTTCTCTGTTCCTTTCCTGACCTTGGTGTTAATCCTCTACGATGACAGGATGCAGTAGCAGAGCCGTTGGTGACATTACTTGCCCATCCGAGCTACACTATCAGGGTAAATGCTTCATGGACTCTTCGGTGCTTCTGTTCCTCGACGCCTCTACGATTACCGAAGACAATCATCACTGTCTTCGAGCTATTGCAGAGAGACATGACCGCCATCCTATCTCCGGCTGCTCCTTCCGACATCAACTCCCGATCCCTTGGACACGCATATGGTTTATCGGCACTGGTGTCAATCATACCTGAGCGCCCGTTGTATGTATCTTACGATGTTAGCGCAAAGGTCCTGGACATGGCCATTCAATTGCTCAAGCATTCAGCCGAACATGACGTCAAGATTGCAGGCATTGAGGTGGAAGTTGCATGGACTTTGATAGCATCTTTGATGTCTCTTGGACCAAACTTCGTCCGAGCCCATCTTCAGCAGTTGCTAGTCCTTTGGCGGAATGCACTCCCTAAGCCAACCAGTAAGGATGTCGTGGACAACGCTACACGGCCCTTGGAGGAGTGGATGTTTCTTTTGCATTTGCGTGAAAGTGCCCTCGGTGCTATTCTGTCGTTCTTGAAGCACAACTCCACAACTCTGGTGACCTTAGATGTCGGGCGTCGGATTGCGATGGTCCTGAGCAACGCCCTTTTGTTTGCGAATAATTTCATAAATCAGAAAGTCGATGACGGGACCGATACTCAAATCCCTGGCCCCCAACCCAAGGGTTTGACGCTCAAGGGACGAGAAGCTTTGCTGCGACGGCGCGTATACGAATGTTTCACCGTTCTGGGCTTCTCAAATATTCCAGAGGCCACACAAACAACTCTCCTCCAATCGGCTGTCACGCTCTTCGCGAGTGCCGACGGATATGCGGGATCGTCTGTTCAGGCCGCTATAGCGTCATCTTCAGGCACCTTTACCTCGGTCTGGAACAGTGTAGACGGATATGCGTATGGCGTGACGTTTACCGAAATAGTGGATCATGGCGATCTTGGTGCACATAGTGATTCTACAACCGAAGGAAGGGATCAGCTGAATCGAGATTCCATTGAAGCCTCAATCGACTCTTTGGTAAGGAAATGTCTGTCCATATAATCTGTCATTTGCTCATGTTGACCTGCAAGCTTCGTAAACCGATCTTTGGCGCGCGCGAACACGACAAACTGACATTATGTCGTTCCCAAGTAGCAGGCGAAGCTGACCAAGAACCACCGCCTCCAGCCACAGCAATTGTGGATGCTGCCATTGACCTCTTTGCTCGATTGTTGCCGCTCCAGGATACGGCATCGACTGCACGGACAATCACGCAGCTGCTTGAGGCAGTTCGTTCTCCCAGACTGGAGAAAAATACGGGTCGTAAGGCTGCTGTCACAATCAACGCCACAATTGCTTTAGCGCTTACATTACGGAATGCAACGACGTCTCACTATCGCCAGGCTCGAGATACTTTTGGTAGTAGCCAAGTGACAACCCTATTGTCTCCATTTTTGAAGGTGACTTCTACTATTAATCAAATGACTGAAAACCTAACCGTTTACAGGAAACTCTGGTTGATGGAGACCATGTTTTGCGTTCCGCCACCAGTGAATGCATAGGTCGTTTGGCAAGCTTGGGAGGTACCAACTTCCTCACGAATCAGATAAAGCAGCTGGTAGATCAGGTCGTCAGCAACCGAGACCCTTACGCTCGTGCCGGCTGCGCTCTTACTTTCGGCGCTGTATACACTCATGTAGGAGGACTCGCCGCTGGTCCTCTATTGAAGACAACCGTGAACGTCCTCATGTCTCTCAGCAATGATCCTCATCCTCTGGTTCACTTCTGGGCACTGAACGCGCTGGCACGAGTTATAAATGCCGCCAGTTTGGCATATGCACCGTTCGTGTCGAGTACTCTGGGAATGCTTCTCAAAATTTATCTGATGGATTCCCATGAGTGTGAAGGCGGTTCACTTTCTAATGCCAACCTCAGTGGTGATTATCCGGCGTATCCAGTGGTCTGTCAGATCATCGATGCTGTTATTACCGTCCTCGGCCCTGATATACAGGAGTTTTCAAAGACCAGAACTCTCGTTCTTAACCTGGTACACGAGTTCTCTTTGGAAGTGGATGAAGGCACTCGAGTCGAAGCTATAAAATGCTTCCAACATTTCCTGATGTTCGCTCCCGAACATGTTGATATACCCGATTTGGTCAATCATTTCCGCGGCTACCTATCTTCAACATGTCGACCGTTGAAGGTCGCGTCGATTAATGCACTTTATCAGCTCGTGCAGAAGGATGCTTTAGCTATGTCTAAACTCGGCGGAGACCAGCTGGTGGAGAATCTCTTCAGCATGCTTGATGACGATGCATCTGTCGATGGTGTTCGAAGCGTCATTACAAGTTGGCTTCATCAAACGGTTGTCTACAATCCGTCTGCATGGATCGACCTATGCCAACGGATTATGTCTCGAACAACGGCGTCTCAGCAGGTGGCTGATGCTGCAACGCGACAGAATATGCGAGACGACGAGGGTGAATCTTTAAGTGTGGGTATAACACAAGACGGAGGCGACGGCGTGCGCGCACATCTTACGTCACGTTGGAGGACTCAATTGTTTGCTCTTCAATGCTTGCATCAGATCTGTTCAATCGTTGCCGAAAGTGGGAGGAAGGAGCATGTAGATGTTATATTTGCTCGCGCTCAGGGAATACCGACGTCTGGTCTCCTGATCTCTCGGGTAACGGATTTAATCAAAATGGCCTTCACTGCATCCACGGCGTATGTAACTGAAATACGAATGGAGGGACTTGTTGTCCTGCGTGATGTTATTCAGGTGCGTTGACGTTCTAATATGAAATCTATGTGCTTAAAGTGAGTCAGATATTCGCGACATCTCCCGACCCTGCGTTCGAGGACTCCCTTCTTTTGGAGCAACACCAAGCGCCTATTACTGCTGCACTGACGCCGGCGTTTTCCGCAGATTCAACACCAGAAATTCTAGCCTCTGCAGTTCAGGCTTGTGCAGTATTCGTTGGGTGTGGTGTAGTGAAAGACGTCAATCGAATGGGACGTATACTGAAGTTGCTTACAACTGCTCTCGAACAGTCGAAAGGTGAGGCGTACAGACTGGTTTTCTTCGGCTTCTGGCTCCAGCTTCTTTTGTACAGATTCGGGGATGGTGAAGCTCGGAGAAACTGCAGAACTAAGTCCTAATGCTTCCGCTATGCTGAGAATATCGACGGTATCCGCATGGGCCGAACTTGAAGTCTCTAGTGCTCGGCAATCCTACCTCAAGAACGTTGTAGACCCTTATCGAGCATCCCTTGCGACGCTGTGGGTGGTCTCTCTTCGAGACTACGCTAGCATTAGGATCGACTCGGAGTTCCTTCATGATACTTCTTCAGTCGCGTTGGACTCCACTTACTCAAGTCTGGGGAAGGAAGTACTACTACCGGTGCGTCCACTCATACTGAGATTTATACGACGCTGAAGTACAAACCTATAAAGTACTATGCACAGTCTTGGTCTATTATACTTCAAGCTGTGGCCACTGCAATGCAGGCAAATGATCCGCATATTCTCTCTGCTATGCACGGCCGTGAAGGCAGTGACACCGCACTTTCCACAGTGAATGGCAACAGCCATGAAGAACCCTCTGCTCTGTTCTTCGTCATATTCGGATTGGCGTATGAGGCACTCGTGTCCTCCGCTGATTCTAATTCAATGGATTCTACTCAACAATCTACAGTCCTAAGTGCGCTAATGGCTCTCAAGTGCCTCGTCCTACCACAGTACGCCGGTAAGGCCTTGATGGAGCCAACAATCTTCGACGAATTCATCGCTGTCTGTTATCGTATGGCTATGACTGAGACAGCATCTATTCAAACACATCTTATTGAAGTACTTTCCGTCTTTGCCCTTTCCCAAGAAGCCTCGGCTGACAGGTAAGAAATTGCTACACTTGGAATACCTCTGCATTAACACGTCAGTATGGCCTCAGTTCACCTGACACCCTCTCTGCAAACTCTCCGAAAGCACATTGTTTGAGGACATGCTCTTATATACTTAGGCATACGACATCTGCTTCCCAGGGCCCTATCATTCGTAAGTTATCTGTTGAAAGTTCTATGAAAAGCAAGTTGAATGCTCTCACAGAAGGGGATATTGCGGATCGCATAAAGATGATAACCGCTTGCTTTTCCGCCTTTGGAAACATTGCAGCATCCCTGAATACATCTCAGCGAGAAGACATACGCGGTGTCGCCATTCTTCTTTATAGTGGTATGTCTAATCGCCTATTCTCTCATGAAAAAGACAGCCGAATGTAGCGATCCAGACATGCTCAAGGATGAATCGTCTGAAATCGACCTTGTTGGCCCTACCCTTCCGTGTCTCAAGGCGTTACTAGATATTCCTATTTCGATGGCACGGGACTCGAAGGATCGATATAGCCGTCTAGTGCATGGCCTCATATCTGCTTGTTTGCTTAACATCGATGGCATGAGGTACGTGCCTTAGGATATACGCCTCGGATCTATCCTTCAACGTTTTCATAGAGGACGACAAGGGTTCATATCGACCAAGAAAGTCAAGAACAACCTATTAGCAGCCGTACTCATATTGACCGTAATACCACCGACTGTCAAAGTTGGGCGAGCAGTTCTCGAACATGCTTGTTTCTTGATTTCCCAGAAGCTACTTGATGATGACGAGGTAAGCATGCACGTTATGGTGGGGAACAATCTAATGTTGTACATCAGGCGTCCTTGACCGCTGCCCATTGTGCCAAGACTCTGATGCTCGCCTCCACCTCGGGTAACCCTGTGCTTCGTCAGTGCGCTAAACTTTTGGTCCCTAGCCTAATAGAATACATTGCCAAAATGGCGCCCCTAGCGAATGATGGATCAATAAAGGAATCTCATGCGGTGGCTATCGGCGAGGTCTGGAAAGCGTTTTCATCCTTCTTTGCCTCTGTTGGAGAAGAGCATCGTATGTCTCCTACTGATTTACTGTGTACGAGTGTTTGATCATGCTCTAGGCTCGCGATTATTGGGTGTTATACTACCCACGATCACTCTTCTCCTCACAAACACTGAAGCACCACCTTCGCCAGTCGTTACGCAGAGCATTTCACAGCTACTATCATATGCGACGTCCTCTCCAGCGGCCTTCAAGGATGCGGCAGGGAAGCTAGAACCATCATCTCGAGAGCTACTAGAACAGTCGGTGCGCCGCGCAATCGGCGGCAATGCCGCATCGGCAAGCGGAGCTAATGCTGCCAAACCCCAAATATCCCTACGATCTTTCTAAGTAGAGAACTGTACCAAGTCACAGATGATGTATCGCTAGTTATTCCTGGACATAATCAAGTTATAACATACTTATTTGCGTGCGTTCAAGTTCAACAATAGGCGGCCCGTCTGTCACATTTGTACGGACGATGCTACAAGTACTAGCAGAACTAAAAGTTTGTCACCTGCGACGACGAAATAATGCCCTGGCTCCGACTGGCAGAATAGTAATGCCAGGTGACCATTCAAGAAGGATCCTTCTCTGCTCCTCCATGCCTTTATCACGTAAATCGTGTGGCACCAAGATCTCAAAGTTTCGAACAATATTGGCAATGAGACAAAGTCCTTCCGTCATAGCAAATCGTTGACCAATACAGCTTCTGGGTCCACCAGCGAAAGCAAAAACTTCCCAATACCATTAATGAATGAACCCATCAACGAGCTTGAATAAAGACGTACATGCATCGCGGGGCCAACGGTACGATTCTGTATCGATAAACCGTTCGGGCTTAAACTCCTCTACGTCCTCACCCCAATGTATCGCTAAATTTTTTTAGACAGATGGAGCATATGATCCATAGGAGACTTACGATTCATATGCAGCCCGAAGATATCAATAATTAAAAGACTACCTTTTTCAATGGCAACGGGAAACTGTTCGACATTGTAAGGTTTACCCTCCGGAGATTTCTTGAATCGACGAGCAGGGATGATGCTATTTGCCTGCGCCAGCTTTCCCAGTCGAGCTACCGGGGGAAACAGACGTAGTGTCTCTAAGAAGACACTATTAGTATATTCCTACATAATAGAGCTCGTCAAGTCAATAATATCCTGAGGCAAAAGAAAAAGGTACCAATGCGGTCACGGATTCCTTGTAGCGCTTCGAAACAAGGTCAATGTAGTAAGGAGACAGCACAACGGGAACAATCTTACAGGAGCCGCTGCGCCTTCTGGCCAGAATCTGGATACCTCTTCATAAACTCTACGCTGAACATCAGGGTACAACGCTAACAGGACCATGGCAAAACAAATTGTATGCGCAGTCGTTTCTTACAGAAATTTTAAGCTCTCGATATTCTTATTTGTCAGGCACAGAAGGATGCTCACCATGACCTGCTAAAAGGAAAGTCTGACGGTGTAGTTGGCAATAGTGTTCAGTGATACTGATGAGGGAGAGATGTTCACCAGCGTGTTGGACAACAGCTCATCGTCCGTCAGGCGTTTATAATTCAAGTCGGCCTCTTCAGACATGTTGGCCTCAACCATGTTACGCAACAACGCCGCATCCATATCCGCCGCCTTACCACTGGCAACCCAGGCACGGGCAAGAGATATGACATCCAGCATGTGAAACTTCAGCGCCTCGAATGAGTCCCTTCGTTTCCTTGAGAGCAGAAGAGATGAAAGGAAATTGCACCCAGTCAGAAATGTCATAAATAAAATCTGGGGTCAGAACTTTTGGGAATGAGATGAGATACTGCCGAGGTCACAGCGGGCCGAAAAGCGACCTTGTGGCCAGGAGGAGGAACTGCTGCTGCATCTTCGCTCCAGGAAACTCGCCGTCCGAATCCCGCGGTAGAGATAACGAGAAGAGTGAACTATAAAAAAATAATCATGAGTGAAGATCAAGTTTACAAATTCAAGATCCACCTGTGTAAGATCCTTTAGCAAGTCGACGGTGCATTCACGTGCAATACCTGATATTTTGTTATCGATGTCAGCAAACCATTCAGTTGCAATTCGCATGCTTTCGCTCCACACGAAAGCATTATTAGTCTAGGTTTGCTAAGCACACTTGTCTGTCACCAATAAGCGCGCGCACCTCATTAAATGCAGACTTAGCAACTGCACGATGTCTTTTCCACACAGCACCTTCGGTACTGACCATGTTCTGGCCGTAAATATTGAGTATTTCATACTATAAATCCACATGTCAACGGAGGTTTTATCGGAATCTCACTAGTATATCATGATGCTTACTGCTTCGACATCTTTAGTGAAAGTCTTTCTATCAGCGCTGACGATTCTGATGGCGTCGGCGTCGGATATCCAGAATGTGGGGATAGCGTTCCAAAAAACGACAGAACTCAGACAAGTGGTTCCAAACTTGGCGAAGACTAGAGGGAAAGATATGTAAAGGTTGACCTCGACTGGCTTAGTAACGCACCTGAAAATTTCGCATAGTAATGTCCTACTTTGCCCTGAGTAGGGAAAAATGGCCCGGAAACAATCGCGAGCGTCCTGAAAGGATTTATCCACAAGATAGCTGCTCCAGGACAACGAGACCTGACGAGAGTGAGTCGCCACACTGAGACCACAGTAGGCGATACATGTACACACCGTAAGTTATCCCTGATACGCGACGCGACGAGCCATTTCTTCCCGAGGATTTTCAGTACCCAGAGAGTTAAGAGCGCAAGGACTGGGATGGGAGATATCGCGACCATGATAAACTGCCTACAAGGATTACCCGAGCCCCTCATCATGAGGGGAAAAAAACAACAACACCATCTAACTTACTCCGTTTAGCTTCCATAGCTTCCATGATGTGTGATCCATCCAATAGGTCTCTCGGCTTCGACACGCGGAATGCTACCGGTGTGGCTGTGCTCCCTTAATGAAATCCAATTTCAACGCTTCAAATTTCGATACTGAAGCATACGAAAGGCAGGAAGATGATTTAGAGCCGATAGGATGGATGAAAAGCGCGAGAAGGTATAACTATAATGTGCAATATCAGATATCCTGCTCCTCTGAAATACGACGCTACCATGGATACATAGACCGAAACGATTTTCTTTGATTGATGCAGAACTCGAGAGAAAGTTCTTTTCCATGTGGTATTTTTCTAGATTCAGTGAATCTCGTACACGGGGGCAGCGGTATGCAGTCACGCGATATATAAGGAAAAAAGAGATTTACACGGGCGTCATTTAAAATTTGAGCTCACCTTAGCGCGTCCGATGTGCCTACCATGACGGCTGTCGTATGATTGCAGTTTCGAGACATGAGCGGTGAGCATCCCGTGAGAGAAGACCATATATATAGACAAAAGCCCTATTGGTCTTCGCCTCAGAGACGCACTCTCAAGCTCAAAGTGCCATTACCTTGGAGTATCTCCGCTAACGTCTGTCGACCAGATTTGATTGAATAGAATTGAATTTGGAAAGATGAGAACAAGACGTCGCACTTTAACAGGAAAAAAGGTTCCTGATTACCCTTGGAAAGCAACACCTGTTTTCGATGATTCTGCGAGGCCTCCCCCAGCGAATCCCGTTCCTAGAACAGATCCACATTATTCAATTTGGTCCAGCTTGCGAATAACGGCAAAAACTTTTACCTTCTCTTTTTAGTTCTATGACATCCTTCTCTGACAATTTGACATCGCAAACGATACACTGTTGGGAAGGCCGTACTAATGATTCAGTGCATGTTTTGCAAACCACATGACCACAGGGTTTCATGACTTGGAAAGAGGTTCAATGTCCATAATATAGAGCCAATGCGAATGCGAATACACTCACGGAACATGAGCATGCTGTTAGACAAGATCTTTTTGCAGGACGGGCACATCGGCTGAGATTCATCATTCTTTCCAGCCGTCTCAGAACCAGCAGATTTCGTCTTGGAATAGAAGATGAATTTGACTGGAATGAGATTCTTCAACCTGCGAGCCGTCAGAAGGAAACAGCGAGAAGCGTACAATAACGCACGCGATTGAATGAGCAGGATTCCCACCCCTGCATGTAGTCTGGAGCTTCACGTCCTTGACGGTCTGAGGTGGCCCAACAGATGAATAGGTAGGCGTCAAAGATGGTAGCCAGAAATCTGGTAGCTTGTTCCGTAGGGCTGCCGCCTGTTCTCGTTCTATCTGTAGCAAGGGCTGCTTCTTCAGCTTCTTGAGCAAGGTTCTCGACCTTGGACGAATCAAATGCGAATTTGCGCTTGGTTCCCCGGCCTAGTCTCAGTCATCGTCGGCCTAGAGGTACAGCAGACACGATCAAAGACTCACCGTCCTCTTTTGACTCCCCAGCAGACGTCGTCCCTGTTGCTGATACAGCCGCAAGCCCCAACTGGCCCTTTTCAAATTCCAGAATAACCCGTTCGCGCGCTGCTTGCCTAGCCCGCTCCTTTTCCTCCTCAGCCTCCTTCTTCATCATTTCCAGTTTCTCTTTCTGTCGTTTGATATCCTTCTTCTGTGTGACTATCAATCATCAGCCCGGTTCGAAGATAGATCACATATTGCGCTCACGGAGGTCAGTGTACACGCATTCTTTACAGAAAAGATGCCCCTCGTTGCATGACAGAGGCTCCCGAGCGCTGTTAAGGCATAGGGCACAGGAATCGAAGCGTCCGCATAGACTCATTTCCGAGGCGTTGCTGAAACACTGTCAGAAACGGAGAACGGGTAGTATCCTGCTCTACCTTTTTCGTCCCGTAGTCGAGCTTCTTATATTCGGCGTAGGAAAATATTGAAGATGCTGTATTGTTCTTGCTGTGTTTCGTCATGATCGCGCACCTAATCGTTGCAGTCTTTGTCGTTGTATCCTTGGTATAGAAACGAGGATTTCGATGTGCTCTGTCGAAAGAACGACGTGGTTGTTTAACAAGTTGTTCAATGGTGAGCTTGCAGTTGAATCACGTGCTGAAACAGACGGATGCGTCGGGCCGATTCGCGTGGTAGAGATGACGGCGCAGACGGTCTTGCTTCTTTAAGGCATTTGAGGCGGGAAGAGGGCGGCTCTCTTACATAAGAGAAAGGGTCCTAGAGATGACGTCATCATCCCCATCATGTCCCAGCTACGCCTGCCGTCGACATCCAAAGGAACTGCGCGACTCGCTAGACCCAATCGTCTCGGGACCTTAGGCTCTGGTGTCGAGGGCCACAGCAAGGCCCGGCGAGCCTCTGTCTCTAGTGCTGCCAAGGTTCAACGAACTTCGAAAACATCACAGAAGCTTGTTGTCCTACCGTCGGCACCGCAGACGAAACCGTTCCCAGCCGAGGACGATGAAGACTTGACATTAGGTTACGAGACAGATGCAGGTGTCAAGGTGCGAGAATATAAGAGCGAGGCGGAGCGAATGTCAAAGGAGCAGCGGCATCGAGCTGGGTACAAACGATTGACGGCGTACTGCGTCGCAGAAGTATTCAACATGAAGCTCCTGGCGTCGTATTTGAAGCGCGAACACAACGTTTCTCCTCGTATCTTCGATGAGGCCATGTATGCGGTGCGTAGCAATGATCAAGACCTGAATACAGGGCTCATCGTATGCAGATGTACCATTTACCTCTCTTGCCGGGATACGGACCTAGCTCAAACATTCGATCCTCTGCATTCGCCAGCGGCGACGCCGGTATGAACATACTGACTCGTCTCTCAGAAGCAGAGGAAAACGGATATCAAGGAACGTATTTTACCAACGACAGAGCGCATTCTTCATCACCCAATCGTGACGGCTACATCTCATCATCACCAGTTATGACGCGTGGAGCTTATGAAGTGGAGACGTCCGAGGCGGAGCGTACAACATATTCAGATACAGAGCGAGAACGAGAGTCACCTGAGATCCGGTTCGCAAGGCCGCCAGCGCAACCAACTCATGCCGAGGATGTAGCTGAGGTCGTGTTTTTTGAGTACGGTGTAGCGGTGTTCTTTGGCTTGGACGAAGGGCAAGAAAGGAACATACTAGAAGATATTGAAAACGCCAAAATCATGACTAGGAAGATCGCAGAAGACGATTGGGAGATCGAGGAGTGCCATTTCACCGTATGTTCATCCGTCATTCTATGTTGCAGTGAACATCCAACTTATCCAGTATCAGCACGACCCTCATATTGCCTACCCTCGAATATACAATGACTTCTTCAGTAAGTCATTTCTCAGGTACCATTCACCCGTATAGCTTATACCACCTAGCGCTTAAATCACGCTCTCACCTCCTCAAGCTGTCCTATCGCTCACGCTCTCGCCCAATCCACCCTTCTCGCACACTACTGAGACCAACGCACAACGAGTACTCTCATCGCCTTCCACGCTCTCCATACCCTAAGCAACTCGCTGAATCGGGGGCTTTACAACTGCGGCGGAACGAAGCGCTGAAGCTTACAGGTCGGCTTGTTCAAGCTGAGGCGGGATATCAACTTAGGTTTCCAATGTGCTTGACGTGCCGGAGCTGTTCTGGGATGAAGCGAGCTTGAAGGAACTCTATGATGCGGTACGGGAATATATGGAAATTAAAGGGCCGTGTACAGGTCCTGCAACGAGAAGCTAGGTATCGCGAGCGATTTCGTGAGTCTGCTTTGCTGTCTTCTGGTGCAATCTTTGAACATATGGGACAGTTGGACGCCATTCATGAGCATCTAAATAATTCGGCGATGGAGCGCATTACATGGATAGTGATATGGTGTGTCTATATGTGACGAACAGAGCAAGCCTATTTACCCCATTTGTTACAGGTTGATTGTAGTGGCTATTGTCGTGGACTTGGTACGCATAAATATGCCGCGAATTCTCGCATTTCTGATTTTTATTTCAGGGAGAAGTAGTCGCCCGCCTTATCTTCCACGCCGCCCTGGAAGGTACACCGGCTCTGTTCAGGGCGGCCCCTGCGATATCCAGAGAGGAGGTGCTATACACTCTGGACAGGATAGCTTCGAATTGAACTCGATTATTGTTTTGCTATGCACATATCTTAGGCGGTATCAAACAAGGTGGCTTATATTATACCATTATCACCGGTAAAGGAGACGCATTATTCAAGGAAGCAGGTATAAACGTGTAGGGGTGTCCAAAGCATTGCATTGCGTTTTTGAAGTCTGCTTTCATGCTTAAAATGCGGGTGCGAACGATTACCTCCGCCTATACTAGATGTTCTGTATCTATTGATGAATGCATGTCACGGTTGGATGTGCCGTTGTGGGAAAGAAGGGGTTAGAGATGTCGGATGTTGCGAATCTGTAGGACCTAAGTTTCGAGAGCCGTTGAGTGACGAGGTGCAGCCCGGGAGTAAAGCTATTAGTATAAGTGTTGTCGGAATACTTTGCACGCGTCAAACTGAAGGATGCGATCAGACTGTGCTCTAAGACGATCAGACGTTCTCACGCTCCCACTATCATCACCAGAACGGTCGAAATCGCGAATTTGCTATCTTCAGCAGGTGCTACACCAGCAAAATCACTGGGAAGAAATCTGTACACAATTCAGACGTAGCCTTCATCGCACCGCCTTCCTCAGTCGAACTGCCCAGCAATACAAACGAATGGTGGGAACGATAGTCGGACGAACCGCCTGCGAGCCATCACCGACACCAGGCGCCTGAGCTCTCGGCTAGCCGCTACCTTGCTTCACTCCCAAAGAGACTCGTAGTTGTTTCCATTGCCCTATCGCATCTACCCTGCTTAGGCACTCTCCTCCACCGTTTGTCTTTTTCCCCCTCATCCACCACAGCAGACTCTAGGACAAACGCCCGGTATCCTGCTCCACCGAACCCTACGAACCCTAGCTACGTTACCATCAACAAGCAAATGAAGAAACGCCACTGCATCACTGCAGAGCAAACTCAGCCTGTAAATGCCTCTAATGATCTTCCTGTCACGAACGTACGAGTCTCTGGACTAATCGTTAACATCAAAGGAACACCCCTCCGAGCCCCAAGTCCACTCGATGCTCAATGAACGACATCTACCATCAGACCTCATCCTTCCCATCTCCCATATTTTCTGGCATTCAGTATACCCGACACTCAATGGTGAAACTGGCACTGTTGTCCGCGACCATCTCGGAGCCTCGTAGCTGTATCTTCGAGTCTACTGAAGCGTGGTGGGCTGGCACGGTATCTGGAGTCAAATTGCTGGTATCTGTACTATGGGATTATGTCCGTGAGTTTTTCTCTCAGATAGTGTTCGGCATACTAATCATTTTCTTAGGCAAAGCCATCTTCGCAGGAAGGAGAGGTAGCTGATCACATACGATCCTGTCGTAGATTTTCCTACGACGTCCGCCGAGTCCATCGTTCGACGGTACTGAACTATCGGATGTCAGGCATGACCCTTGTCAAACTTACTACTATCTTCATCTGATTTTGACCTCGGTAGCATCTAGATCTCATCACCGTGTATGCTGTACCACACAACATGTTCTCCATCGTTAAAGACATTCGTGCGGAGCGAGCCTGGAGCATCGTATCTTTACCAGTCCCATAGCGCGGTTCTAGTTCTGTAGTAGATGGACTCGGATTATTTACTCTTTCAATGGAACGCCGACTTCAAATATGGATGATTTTCTGTTAGATATGGCGGGATGTTTTTAAGAGACTTTTGCTATGTTCGAGACGAATGATGGCGTTTGCGAGGAACAGGGAAGCGCCCAAAGCACCTGACAACTTGGACCAAATATGATAGGCGCCATGACTGCTAATCTCGATTTCCCTTAGATGCCGTAGAGGTGTACACCACCACTCCCCCGATGTATCTACTAGGATCGCGTCCTTGGATCCCAGAGGATTACGAATCCCTCCCCAAGTCTCCAAGCTAAGGTCTTCGATTTATGTGAACTAAGTTAATCCATGCGGGAAAGCATTTATTTGAAGCTTGATAGAACGAAGACTTCTATCACGTTATTTTTACACACAACAGCCTGGGAAGATTCGGGCTGTGGCTTGCAAGTTGTGATGCATCAAGGTAGACAGCTTTTCGTTTGGTACTCCCTCGACCTGCGTGCCCTTCTAAGCGTAGAAATTGGGAAATAGTATGTATCATTAATCCTTCTCGATTTCAGTACTCATTACGACGACCTTAGCACTGTCTGGCAAGGTCCAACCACTTTCCGGCGGTGTGATGTCGGTTTGGAAACGCATACGCCCTGTCTTTTTGACTTCCCGGACAAGTAAAGATTCATCGCCTTCTGATGCATCTCCTGATAGACCTTGGTTTGAACCAAAGGTTAGTCAGTGGGCAAACAAACAGAGGGAGATTAATAATATTTCCAGGAAATCTCTCTTCCTGAAGTCACCATCTCCGCCTTCACTGAGACGGGCCAACCCGAATCGTCGATCGTCGTTCCATTACAACGGGCGTACACCGGCAGATGGCCTGTGATATCATCCCACCTCGCTGACACTCCCTGCGCTACCCTCGGCATTCAGGGCCTCTTGGATCAACTCAACACCACACTCGGAACATCATACACTCTCACTAGGTCTCTCTCCTCCCTTCTTAAAGAGTGCATTGCAAGCAACTACGACTTTGGCATGGTATATGGCCGCCTCCGCCGGATATGGTACACTCGCCACTGGAGCACGATACGAGACACATTGCGCAAATGGGAAAAGGAGGACCGAAAGATGCGACGGAAAGCACTCGTTGGTAACCGGATCGTCGAACCAAGCTTGCCACCTCGACGTGTGTGGGATCTGTATAGTAACCGGGTGGTGCCATGGTGGTGCACAGGCATCCCTGCTTACAACTGGAGGTTGAGGCTTACACCGATATCGCACGCTTGGGTGGATGAGACGGATCGTGTCAGCGTGTCGACACCCATCAATGAATACGAATGGCCCGTTCCCCTCCCGAAAGATGCCAGCCTCAAGCTGATCCGCATTGAAATACTCAATATCAATCTTGGAGTGGAGTATGCATGGTTGGATGTTCTCTGTTTGAGACAGGTGGGTGGACAGCGGGAGGAAATGCGTGTGGAAGAGTGGAAGCTGGATGTGCCCACCATCGGAAACGTGTATCGATCGTCCAGTGTGGTGATTTACTTGAGTGGGCTGGGTCGGCCTTTGAGTCTGAAGGACGGCGACTTGGAGAGTGATCGGTCTTGGTTTAGACGTGCGTGGACGCTACAGGAAGTTGGCATCTATAGAACAATTGCTGGGGACACGCTGGATGGGCCAATGCATGCCAAGCCAATGGATGAGGATGGGAAGTATGAGACTGAGCTACTGACCAGGTTTCACAGCCAGCTGCACTCTGTCGGTTTCTATCCTTCTGCTGTGTTTACGGCGCTGAAGATCATGGGGAATCGGGTGTCGACCAACCCGGTGGACAAAGTCGCGGGACTGGCATTTGTTCTGGGGTCCAATCCGATACCGGCATACTATGAGAGTGAGTCTCTCGAGGATGCATGGACAGCACTTGTCAATTCGATGGTTGCGTGGCGTCGGAGTGTTTTGTTTTTGTATCCTGAACCGGGCAATGCAGGCACAAAATGGAGACCATCGTGGGACCAGCTTATGACGAAGCCTCTGTCCGCAGGTGGAATGTTCCAGATCGACATTAATCGGAATGAGGAGATGAATGAAGACTGGTGTTATACGGAGTGCATTGAAAAGGTGTTGGTGCGAGGGTTGGCTGTTGTGGAAGGGAGTGATCGACGCGGAGAGTTGATCGTTAAAGACGCGGGTGGGACAGAACATGCGTTCAACATCACAGCCACCCACAAGTACCCGATACCTGACGACACATACACACTGTTTTGCACTGATAGTTCCCCATATTGCATTGTCGGCCGAAGACTGCCAGGGAAAAGGTTTGAGAAAGTGTCGCTGTTGAAAATTCTCAATGAAGAAAAACACTGGTGGTTCATGTATAATAGTGAAATGTGTCGGTATATTCTTGTTTAAGTACATATTGTACTAGCTATTCTTCAATCGAGTTGTTATCATACCTACCTGAGAGGGTGCGAAGGACTACTCTTATGAAGGGTACACGCAGTCACTGCTAGGTATAAAGGTTTGTTGATTGTGAAAACCCATGCTACTGCCTTTCTCAGGTGTAGCCTCGCCACATCGCCATTGCCATCATCCGACTCATCTCTGATTTCAAACCCTTGTCCTCCTGTTCTTCTTCGTCAAAAACCTCGCAACACCGACCTGTCATATCCTTCCACTCCATATTGGCATTCGCTTCAGCGCCATAGTCAGTACCCTTCTTCGACGGACTGACGAGTCCAGAGAACTGCTCGCTCGTTATCGGTCGACCTCTTCTATTACCTATTGTCGGTCTGCTGCATATTTATCCACGTCCTGGGGGAGTCCTCGGATGACACGACTCGTGCATAGATGCGACCAGTAAAGTAAAGTAGGTGCGCCATCCAGCTCTCAGTCTCTGCGAGGGAGTGCAGACTGGTCTGCGGTAAGAGAGGAATGGGGCCGTAGTTATACTGGGTGTGACTCTTTCGAAGGTGCAGGCTGTGCTCCAAATAATTCCTCCCAGGAGCCGCCTCAAACAATGAAGGATTTGCCGACCAGATCCACATAATGTATTGCACCCTAGTCTCGACGTCATATAAGCTCGAAAGCCTGTAAAACATTAGGAAATGACACGTAGGTGAGAAAATGTACAGGCTCGCCGTATGTTGCAGTCTACGGATATCGTTCTCATCTAAACTGCGCCTGTTTAGTTTTTTTTAACTCAGCACCGTTGTCTTCAGAGGCGGAGATTATCCCATAACCGCATCGTAAATCATCATTCTTAGATTTTGATAAAATGAGTAAATAGACAGTGCGAATGAACTGGGATTGCCTGGCTTACCATTCTGAAACTGAGCTAGCTCCCGTAAAACAGTAGGCCTAAAAACAACATTAGATATAGAAAAAGTGTAGGTTAGGTGGTTGCTAACGAACCAAGTATTTGCTCACCCTCACGAGATATGCCGTGGAACCTGTCGGTCAACGAGTCACGACGCCGTGATAAGCTTGGGGTCGAAACAGCAACGCTAAACCTTGAAGAGCATCAGAAACACAAGAATAGGTAGGGAATATGACGAGCTCACCGTGGAGCTCAGTGAGCTCGACGCTGTTGTCGTTGTCATTGTGGAGGGCAAAAAGCCTAAGTCGAGAAAGGCGGGTGATGGCGATCAGAAGATCACGTCCATCGACTTCGCTAGCATCAAAGACGCGTACAACAACCAGAAGAGCTCGTTGAAGAAGAGCCCAAGGAAGGGGAAAAGACGTCTCGAGGACATGAGAGCGAGAGGATGAGGGGGATGAGAGAGGGAGATGAGAGAGGGGGATGAGTAAAGCCGGTCGGTAGGCCATCGTATAGATACCTGTTCGTTGTGGTTTCAATTTTGTGGAATTTTAGAGTCTAACGGTAGGGTGCGTATCTAACAACGGCTGGCTTCGACATTGTCATCCTGATAATTGATACCAACATTGTACGTACAAACCCGCCGAGCGAAGTATTTGCACGAAACTGAAAAATGATCAATCAACAGAAGATACATTTTGAGATACAGGATAGCCTACATATAAGTGTATCTCAGCCAGGTATTGCAATTTCGGATCGTGCCCAAGACAATTTCCGCATTGAGGTTGCCAACCGACCTGGATACAAACTAAGACTCGATAGACAGATTTTGGTTGAGCTTGCTCAGGTCCTGGAGCTAGGAGGTAATGATAATGCTTCGCCGTATGTATCATACTGCGGTCGACCTGGTCCAAGTGTTTAGAGCACATCCTGTGAAGATAGAATAACACTTGTCCAGATTTCATGACGACCGTATGGGCTGATAGATTGACGCATCGCAGTGCACACGAGGACCTGAACAGATCCATCCATGAACAGCTCCTTCACCAGAGAACAATCTTCCTACAACATATCGGCGTGATGGATATTGAAATCAAAAGGAAAGAGAAAACCGAAAACTTGATGTTGTTGGCTTCAGTCAGAATCTCCCGTGTACCACCGTCAGCTTCGATGAACGGATTAATCATCTCCTTCTCCACTTTCCGTGTTCCTCAGAAATTCCGCCGTTTTTGTTGTCTCTTTTTTTCACAAGTGCACGAAAACTAGAGTTAGCCTGACCGAGAATTTCGTTCGTCACTGGTACTGCTTGTTCACCTAACTCCGATGAACTATTGCTGAGCTCGGTACGAAGCGTCGAAATAGGAAGTCATTTCAGAACCTCTACGAGCTCTGGAAGGACAGCCCTCTCTGCGAGCTTCAGAACCGTCTGTTCCGGTCAAGGTCGGCCAGCTTGGTTCGTCGACCTCGTATGTTGGCTCATCCCCGACTGTCGCGTCTTCTGTCCAGTTATCCCCAGAAAAGATGCTGGCGAATCCATTCCCTATACCAAAAACGCCGGCCAACGTAGAGGTATACATCGTGACCTGGTTTACAACCTCATTCTGAGAAAGTGTATCTTGAATGAGTGCAAGATCTTGGCTTTTGGAGTTCCAGTGCAATGGGGATGGCAGAGAATGTTCAGACAACAAAAGTGGGGACAGAGATGGTATGATTATATTCGACAATATGTTGGGCCGCCATGAGAGTCATCCGTGAGTTCTCCCACTTTTGATAGCGTAACCATCCCTTGGTCCGATACTTTCATAGGAGCGACATACATGACTTTGAACGCGCCGAGATCGAGAGTACCGGTAGTCTCATCACGATACTTGGATGCCCCGTTCAGATTTGGCTCTAAGAATGAAGGAATTGTCAGCGACATGATCAGGATGTGTTCTAAGAAGCATACCTTTCCAGTGCCGGAAGGCATGCAAAGAAAAATGAGCTCATCGGTTACGAGGAAATGGGGGAAAGCTTGCTCCGGACGTGGCGAAGCCTGAGAATGGTGTATGAACGAACTTTCATCTGACGATCCCCAGCTCATGCCCATATACTGCATCCTCAACGTTGCCGCATCACGTAGCGGTTTTTAAATAATTTCGTCGTGATACGAAAGCGGTGATAGTCGAAGAGCTCTATGAGTGGGTTTTTGCAGCGACAAAGGTCCAACTCGGAGCTGAGGGTGGAGAAGTAACTCGGCCTGGATACACCACGGCGAGCTGTCGTGGAGACATCTTTGTCGGCCTTGGATTTGGGAGATTTTGAAGATTCGCCACTAATGTCGAGTATCTCTTCGCCGGTTTCAGCAGCATAGCCGTTCCCGCCCTCTTCGTTGTTGTCGTCGTCCGACCATTTCTGATTCTAGACCCCTCTTCTTCCTCTTCCTTTTGTCCCTCTTCATTGAAACCTCAACTCGTCGGCAACCTCTGCATCCCTCTGTTCTATATCAGGATCCAATGCTGTCTCGTCCTCAATGTCATAGTCGGTACTCCTCTTCGACTTGTTCACCAGTTCTCGAATGATGCGCCTTGTGGATCAATGTGACCAGTCAAGAATGGTGAAATCGTTTTCGTCGCAGCATTAGCTGATAATGGGTGATCATAGCCTAGTCATGAAAGGAAAGTGCCTGATTGACTGATGGTGGCGAAAGTGGATGGAGTGTTGTGGAAACATGGTGGCGGACATGTGGGATGTTATGAAGCGTAGGGATCCAGCACTGGAATCTGAACTGAAGATCTGATTACTTGAGTACTAGTCCTTGAGACGAGGTGCAGCCATCGGTTATCCGGTCGACGTCAAGGTCAAGGAAAGGAGAGTAACGTCAGACTGGAGGGATGCAACTGGGCCGGATGAAGTTACCGTGAGGATCGAGTAAGATGGTCATTAATTAGCAGCACGTACCATGCATTGGCTGCCGTCCACTATCGAGTGATGCGTGGTGGGTACCCTTCAAGGGAAGTGGCAGCCGTGCTGAGTTGGGCGGATAAGAGCGGGATACAGCAAGTGTGAGTACGGCTGAACGGAGGAGAAAGAAGGGAGACATAGCGTCTCGATATCTCAGGACCCAAGGGCGCTCTTGTCACCTTTTCGACACTCCCTTCCCTTCGCACCAGTCGTCGACATCGATGACGGCTTCCTTGCCGAAAAAAGGACCATTGTTTGAGCACCAATCTCGGACCTCAACGTGAGAGGGAGAAGAACACAGAAGACACGGACGGCAGGAACTTGCACTATGAGAAGAGTTCGTCTTCAGAAATCAGAATCTTCCTGACGTCTATTTTTTTTACTACGCGTCCGTCGCGGGGTAATTGACCTTGGTCTCGAGTGTTTGGCAGTCAGCTTCAGGGAAAGGTTAGAATTTTATAAAGCGAGAAGTAAAATCACTCGCCGTGAGTCTCAAATCCTGAATCGTTGGAAGAAGTAGGAAGATGACGTCACTAAAATCAAACAAGCCCGCTGCAATCGTTTCTTCCTAACCACGTTCACACCATGCAACGTCTTCTTATTTTTTCCTGATATCTACCGTCTTCTCCCTTCCCCTACGTGTCGATTGGCCCCACCTCGCGTCAGCTCCACGAGAGCAAGAAACGAAGAGAGAACACACTCCGACAACTTCGACAATAGACTTAACCTCATGGCAGCAATACAGCATGGATTTCGGGAGCATTCGCCAAAGGATGAGATTAAGCTGAGCAAAGTAGCGCGTGGATTTGGTTTCTGAGGTGGTTGGCGTGGGCTAGGCTTAGGCCGTCTTCGATACCAGGTATGATTATTCTTACATCCACCGCTACCTTTGTCAAAAATTTCACCCCGGTTAGCGTCCCATCCGGATAACGACATCCTGCAAATCCAAAGTATTAGATGCGGGAATAGCAGGTGTGTGCTGTGGAGCTGATTTCTGGCAGAGTCGTAGGAATACGTTGCGACAGACCCGAGAGCTGGCCTGCAGATACAAATCATATGGATAGGGATGACTTCATGGCAAGATTGTCTGATACTGGAGTTTAAGGTATGTAAAAGTCCTCGGGTTTGCGTATGCAATATAATCTGATGCATGCTTAAAAGACTCGTTGTTTCCTCGTCGCTTCATTGTCAACTATAACGACGTACATAGGCTTGGGAATCATTCGGTGAGCTGATCATGAATGTCCATTATATCCAACGCTAACAAGCCTACCCAAGTGACTTCCGATGAAGGGCGGAGCACCCCCGTTGTCCTCATCGATTAATTCCATTCGATCTGTGCTCCAGCGACTTGCCTGCTGTAACTAACGGCATGCATTCGTTGTTATTTCGATTATCGGCAGCGATACCTCCACCCTGATAAATCCAGGATCATGCGTCGTGAACGACGCATCGCTTCTCAGTATCTTCAAACTCACGAGCGACTCTTATGGCCAGAGCTATCCCTCCGTGGTGAGGAGGATATATCAATTGGCATTGGCGAAGATTGTAATGTCATCTCCAAACTATGGCGAAACATCATTGCTATAGTCCCGAATATAGCTTGTATTGGTCAACATACATCTGATCAGGGCGTACCCACTCGCAGTCGACTTACCACTAGCCCTTCTCGATGTTCAATCTGACTGGATTCTGGACTCTTCTCCTCAATCCCATAATCTACTCTTCCTGCGACCCTCCATCCACGTCGACCGTGATTCCGACTGGGGACAGGATGTTCTCCTTCCGTACATCATATCTTCCCGACTCTCGAACATGTCTCCATCATCCGTGTCGTTCGTCACTCCGATGTTTCATCGTGTAACAAACTATGGGAGGAGCATTCTCATAGAGGGCTTATTGAAGCTCTTGAGTGTATGTTTTACATCATTTCTCAGTCCTTCATCTCCTACCACTGCCGCAGGCCATCAGCAGGCTGCATCTAGAGCAGTTCGGAGAATGTCCCACGGAATACGAGAGCTTCCGATGGCTCATTTTGGGATTGCTATTGAATGACGAGGTGCAACCCGAGGGTAAAGCTATAAAGAGTTGTCGGAATACTTAGTACGCGTCAGACTGAAGGGATGCGATTGGGTCGAGCAGCTCGAGCTCTAATTAGGATGGCAGTGCATACTCAGATGTTCCTACGCTCTGACTATCATCACCAGAATGGTCGAAATCGCGAACTTGCTATCTTCAGTAGGTGCTACACCACCAAAATCACCGGGAAGACATCCGTTCACAATTCAGATGCAGCCTTCATCACATCGCTTTCCTCAGTCGGACACGATAGTCGGACGAACCGCGTGCGAGCCTCGCCAGCGCCGAGCACCTGCAAACAGACTCTCAGTTGTTTACATTGCACTATCGCATCTACCCTACCCAGGCACTCTCCTCCACTGTGTAGCTGTCTGTCTTTTTTTCCTTCATCACCACAGCAGACTCTAGGACATCACCAAGAAACGAAGAAATGCCGCTACACCACTGCAGAGTAAACTCAACCTGTAAAACTTAAAGTCCTTTGACGATCCTCCCACCACAAACATACGAGCCTCTCAACTAACCGTCAACATCAAAGGAGCTCCAAGTCCACTCGATGCTTAATGAACCGTCATCTACTATCGGACCTCCTCCTTCCCATCTCCCATATCTTCTGGCATCCAGTACACCCGACACGGCAATCTCAACCTCAACGGTGAAACTGCCCGTGACGATATCGTACACCCATGGCTGTACCATCAGAGTCTACTAAAGCGGTGGTTGACTGGCACGGTATCTGCACTACGGGATATGACCGTGAGTTTTTCTCTCAGATAGTGTTCGGCATACTAACCATTTTATAGGCAAAACCATTTCCCCAGGAAGGAGAAGAGGAGGTAGCTGATCGCATACGATCCTGTCGTAGAGTTTACTATCATGTCCGCCGAGTCCATCGTGCGTCGTTCGACGGTACTGAACTATCAGATATCAGGTATGACCCTTGTCAAACTTACTGCTATCTTCATCTGATTTTGGCTTCAGTGGCGTCTCATAGTATGTAGATGGATTCGGATTATTTACTGGTTCAATAACATTGACTTCAAATATAAGGTTCATTTTTGTTGGATATGGCGGGATGTTCTTAAGAGACTTATGCTATGTTCGAGACGAATGATGGTGTTTGTGAGGAACAGGGAAGCGCCCAAAGCACCCGACAACTTGGACCAAATATGATAGGCGCCATGACTGCTAATCTCGATTTCCCTTAGATGCCGCAGAGGTGTACACCACCATTCCCCTGACGTATCTATTGGGATCGCGGCCTTGCAAAATGAACTTGTCCCCAGTCTCCAAGCTAACGTCTTTGATTTAATGGAACTAAGTTAATCCATGTGGGAAAGCATTTATGAGCTGGAGAGAATGAAGACTTCTATCACGTTATTTACACACAACAGCCTGGGAGGATTTGGGCTGTGACTTGCAAGCTGTGATGCCTCGAGGCAAACACCTTTTCGTTTGGCGCTCCCTCGATCTGTTTGCCATTCTAAGCCTAGAAAAATGAGAAATGGTGTGTCTGATGCTGATAAATCTTGGCTTCCACGAAAGGTACGTCAGTCAGGAAACAAACAGAGGGGGGATTAATAACATTCCCAGAGAATCTCTCTTCCTAAAGTCATCATCTCCGCCTACACTGAGACGGGCCAAGAGGAATCGTCAATCGTCGTTCCATTGCAACGGGCGTACACCGGTAGAATGCCTGTGATATCATCCCGCCTCGCTGACACTCCCTGTGCTACCCTCGGTGTTCAGGGCCTCTTGGATCAACTCAACATCACACTGGGAACATCACACACTCTCACTAGATCCCTCTCCTCCCTTCTTAAAGAGTGCATTGCAAACAACTACGACTTTGGCATGGCATATGGCCGCCTCCGCCGGATATGGTACACCCGCAGCTGGAGCACTATACGATACATACTGCGCGAATGGGAAAAGAAGGACCGAAAGATGCGATGGAAAGCACTCGTCGGTAACCGGATCGTCGAAACAAGGTTGCCACCTCGACGAGTCTGGGATCTGTACAGTAATCGGGTGGTGCCATGGTGGTGCACAGGCATAACCGAGCACTGGACATTGAGGCTTCGGCCAATATCGCATGCATGGATGGACGAGGAGAATCGTGTCGATGTGTGGACACCCATAAACGGACACGAATGGCCCGTTCCCATCCCGAAAGACACCAGCCTCAAGCTGATCCGCATTGAGATGCTCAATCTTCAAGTGGAGTATACATGGTTGGATGTTCTCTGTTTGAGACAGGTGGGTGGACAGCAGGAGGATATGCGTGCGGAAGAGTGGAAGCTGGATGTGCCCACCATCGGAGCAGTGTATCATAAGGCCAAGGTGGTGTGGTACTTGAGTGGGCTGGGTCGGCCTTTGAGTTTGAAGGATGGCGACTTGGACAGTGATCGGTACTGGTTTAGACGTGCATGGACGCTACAGGAGGTTGGCAGGGCCAGGTACAGGGTGATTGCTGGGGACACGCCACATGGACCGATGCATGCCAAGCATAAGGATGGGAAGTATGAGACTGAGCTACTGACCAGGTTTCACAGGCAGCTGCAGTCTGGGGATGATGTCGCGTACGGTACTATATTTGATGTGCTGAAGGAGATGCAGATGCGGGTGTCGACCAACCCGGTGGACAAAGTCGCGGGACTGGCATTTCTTCTGGACTCCGAGATGATACCAGCATACTATGAGAGCGAGTCTCTCGAGGACGCATGGACAGCACTCGTCAATTCGATGCGTGCGGAGATTCGGGGGTTGTTGTTCATGTATCCTGAACCGGGCAATGCAGGCACAAAACAGTGGAGACCATCGTGGGACCAGCTTATGACGAAGCCTCTGCCCGCAGATCACTGGTACTCCGACCTCAACGTTGGTCGGAAAGAGGAGATAGGTAAAGACTCGTGTAATGCGAAGTGCATTGAAAAGGGGTTGGTGTGGGGGTTGGCTGTTGTGGAAGGAAGCAGTGATCGATGGGGGGAGCTGATTGTTCAAGACGCGGGTGGGACAGAACATACATCCAACATCACAGCCACCCACCAGTACCCGATACCTGACGACACATACACACTGATTTGCGCTGGTAGTTGGTTGTCCCAATTTTGCGTTGTCGGCCGAAGACTGCCAGGGAAAAGGTTTGAGAAAGTGTCAGTGTTGCAAATTCCCGGTAAAGATGAATGGAGGCGGTTAATGAATATTAGTGAAAAGTGTCGGTATAGTCTTGTTTAAGTACATATTGTACTAGCTCTTCTTAAACCGAGTCGTTATCATACCTACCTGAGGGTGCGAGGGACTGCTCTTATGAAGGGTACACACCGCCACTGCCAGATATAAAGGTTTGTTGATTGCGAAAATCCGTACTGCTGCCTTTCTCAGGTGTAGCCTCGCCGCATCGCCATCGCCATCGCCATCGCCATCGCCATCGTCCGACCTATCTCTAATTTCAAACCCATGTCCTCCTGTTCCCCTTCATTAAAAACCTCGCAACACCGACCTGTCATATCCTTCCACTCCATATTGGGATCCACCATAGCTTCAGCCTCAGCTTCAGCGCCATAGTCGGTACTCTTCTTCGACAGACTGACGAGTTGAGAGAACTGCTCGCTCGTTATAGGTTGACCTCTTCTATCACCTATTGTCGGTCTGCCCCATATTTGTACACGTCTTGGGGGGTGGTTGGATGACACGACTCGTGCATTGATGCGACTAGTCAGTGAAGTAGGTGTGCTGTTCTCGGTCTCTGCGAGGGAATGCAGACTATAGGTCTGCAGTGAGAACCAGAGAGGAATGGGGCCGTAGTAATACTGAGAATGGCTGGATGTGACTCTTTCAAAGGTGCACGCTGCGATGCAAATAACTCCTCCCAGGAGTCGCTTCGAACAATGAATGATCGGCCGACCAGATCCACAAAATGTATTGCACCCTATTCTCGACATCATATAAGCTCAAAAGCCTGTAAAACATTAGTGAGTGACATGTAGGTGAGAAAATGCACGAGCTCACCGTATCTTGCAGTCTACGGACATCGTTCTCATCTAAGCTGTGCTTGTTTAATTTAATTTTTTTAACTCAGCACGTCATCTTGAGAGGTAGAGACCATCCCCGTGCCCGCATCGTAAATCATCATTGATAGATCCTGATAAAACGAGTAGATAAACAGTATGAATGAATTGGGATTGCCTGGCTTATGTACCATTCTGAAACTGAGCTAGTTCCTGTAACATGCTAGGCCTAAAAACAACATTAGATCTAGAAAAAGGGCAGGTTAGGTGGTTGTTAACAAAATCGAAGGATTCGCTCACCTTCACAAGATAAGTCGTGGTGCCTGTTGGTCAACGAGTCATGACGCCGTGATAACCTTGAGGCCAAAAAGCAACGCTAAACTTTAAAGAACATCAGAAACATAAGAAACACAAGAATAGGTAGGAAATATGATGAGCTCACCGTGAAGCTCAGTGAGCTCGATGCCGTTGTCGTTGTTATCATGGAAGGCAAAAAGCCTAAGTCGGGAAAGGCGGGTGATGGCAATCAGAAGATCACGTCCATCGACTTCGCCAGCATCAAGGACGCGTACAACGATCAGAAGAGCTCGTTGAAGAAGAGCCCAAAGAAGGGGAAAAGACGTCTGGGAGGACATGAGAGCGAGAGAATGAGGGAGAGGAGAGAGGAGAAGGAAAAGTGGGGTGAATAAAACCGGTCGGTAGCCATCGTATAGATACTCGTTCGTTGTCGTCTCGACCCTGTGGGTGTAGAATTCCAGAGTCCAACGGCCGGATGCTGAGGATAGGAAGATCCAATCAGGCGTAAAATTTCCAGTGCTGTGAAAATCGGAAATCTGGCAAAACGTTCAGAAGGGCTAGACGAGTTCCCCGTTGCATGGTAGACTTGCGGGCTGCTGATATTGTGCGCGAACAGGGATTCGCACGTCAAGGGAATATGATCCTTCCTCTGTCGAACCATCCCGTCCTGGTTTCCTCGAGATTGACGCGAAAGTGTGCAGAATGGATTTGAGAGACTTGGGAAAGTCGCTTTCAGACACATGGAACTCAGGTTGTTGTATCGGTAGCACAGCCCGACTCTCGTCAATGAGGCGACGCGTCTTCCAGGGTCCAGAGTGGTAGAGTATCGCTTTCTGCTGGTTCAAAGTGGATTAGGCTGGTGAAAGACGCGTCAAATGGTACATCATCCTCGATAACATAGGCACAGAGTGGATTTGAGACTCACAGTTGTTCAGAGGAAAATAGATATTATGTTTTGAGGTTGTTGAAGCGAAATTGCAGGACTCAAAGAAATAGTACGTAGCCAAGGTGGTCGCTGCCGCTTTCGGACATTGCCGCAAAGCTGCTTGCGACGCCCATCTCATCAGTGGTCACTCATGCTCTCGATGCAGCCAGTCCCTCCTCCCTCCCTCTCCCCCGTTCTCTTCACCACCTTTGTCTCGATTCACAAGCTACTTGGTGCCGAGTCCACCTTTGATGTTCAAGCCGGATTCTTCCAGCAAACCAGCGAAGGAACTGAGGAGGCACTCTAGCGCGTTTCGTCTACATATGGGGTCTAGTGGGGAGGTCTGCGCGAGTTTTGATCGTGCGCAGGGTGCTACTCCCAGTTTATTTCTATCACTGCATTACAAGATCTCATCTAGTCAATCACCTCTACCCTTCCCCGGACACCGCGCAGCCATCATCCTTTACGCATCCCAAAAGCTATGCTACCCTCACCGAGTCAACGACGAAACTCCCATACACCACCAGCACATAGTAAACTCGGACAAATCCTTCTACCACGAACATATGAGCCTCCGGACTAATCGTTAACCTTCAAGAGGGGTCTTCCTCCTGTGGACCGTCATTGGATATCGCCGCGAATATGAACAACGAGGCTCAATCTTTAGGTTTGTGAAACACCGAGGTGGTGGGGGCGACTGCTGGGAGTATATTTGGAGATACTGGTATATCCCATCCCGCGTGAAAACGTCGATTTCAGGATGGTACGAGGTTTTTCACACTTCCTTCACTCATCGTTCTAATTTACATTAAGCAGCCGGGTCCAAAATTATCGCAGGACTATACACTCTACATCGTCCACCAACTAGTCAAGGTGATGGCCCAGTTTACGCACTTGCATTCTGGTATCGCCTTTGAGAATTCCTCGACATCTCTCCCAACCTGACTATGAAGCGACTCGCAAGCTAGATTAGATTACTTGCTCGGTAGAAATTCCGCCGTAACCAACCCTCACCTGTCATTCCCCACCCTACCGAGTTCACTCTGCGCGTCACTACAAGTCTTTCGAGTAAAGATGTGTGGGTACGAAAATGACAGATGGAAGGAACGCAATCTGGCCTTGCTATGGCGGATTGGAAGACGCGTTTGGTTGGGAAAGATAGCAAGAGCGGGGCAGGATTCGGGATTGTGTTTTGAGCGTCTGCAGCTCTAGAATCCGCCCCTACATGCGACTCCCTCGTCACCACCAGCTGCTCCTTTTCCATGCGTAATAATGCTCCATCAACAACGTCCATGCGCAAGCATTGTCGTCGAGACCCTGCAAACCGAGGTTTGGGGTATTTGATATCAGCGTTCTGAGGGCAGAGGATGCTGTCGGGTAGTTTTGGTGGATGGATCAATAGACGGGCTGGGAGTGAAAGTGTTTGAAGTATCCGTTCGGAGTGTCTGCATACCACCCCCGTACTTCGTCTCAAATATGACCATATGACACGTATCCCCTCGGTGCCCGCAACGAGATTATCTGTCAACGACCCTGATTTCCAACGCGCGAGTCGGCGTATAGCACAGATTGAAGAATGAGCAGTCGAAGGGCTAGGGAGAGAGCGCATGCAGGCTAGCTGGATCGTCTGTACGTATTTTGTCCTGTGAATGCATCATCTTTTTCTCACATTGTCTTGTGCTCAAGTATTATAAGTTAGATTCCTGATATAAGTACGTGCTTTACATGCGAGTAAATACCGTGTAATAACCAGCAGGTCTCTTCTATGCGGCTGCGCTTATCCTGAAGCATCTGTTGTCCCAACGTTGAAGGCTAGGCATGGATTAGTCGGATTTATGAAGAGACAAGCGAGATAGACTTACAGTATAGGTGCACGGCATGATTGTACTTGGGGCATGAATGTAACTCCGCATGCTAACGAGTCCACGCTAAAGAGGGGATGTTATTGAACCGCTGTACAGTGTTGAAGAGAGGTCTTACTAGCGAGGTGCACGAGGTACGAGGAGTAACTTGCTACCTATTACAGACTGAAAGACGTAAACGACCGCGTCGAGAACAAGATTTCCGTCAAAACTGAGGCATTCAAATAAATTCCGTATTATTGCAAGTAGTCGAAGACGTCGAGAAGAAGGACTATTCCGAGAGATAATGGATTTTTGAGGGGAAACAGACCTGTAGGTGTATAAAAAAAGGTCAGAACATAGATTAATGCTGGGGAAAGAAAAAGAAGCCATGTACTAGGGAAATAGACACCTAGCATGAGTTGATTATCCCAAAACGGCCTATGCAGCCTGCCAGAAGATGCCCTTAGCACCCCCGCCAACTCGTTGCAAGCGATACATGTGTCGAATCCAGCCTAGACATCGGTGACAATTTTTTTTGAGAAGAGAGAGTCTTTCGTGTGGTGTTGAGAGGTCGTCATGATTGGCGTGGGTAAGAGGCGGAGCGAGAGTGAGAACCGACAGTGGTCGCAGAGAAAGATCTTAGATTCCCCCGCTCCCCTTACCATCCTCCTGCACAAACGGATACTCCTCGCCACTGAAAACGTGCCTCAGTAAACGGCGATACTCCGCCTGGAATCAAAATCATCCCGCAACCACAATCTTGCTCGGAAGATGCTTCATGCGTTCGCTGCCGTTCACTAATGAGTGATGCGTGGTGGGTACCCTTCAGAGGAAGTGACAGTCGTGTTGAAATGGGCGGATAAGACCAGGCTACAGCAAGTGTGAGTACGGTTGTATGTGGGTGAAAGTAGGGAGATATACCATCCCAGGACCCAAGAGCGCTCTTGTCACCTTTTCAACACTCCCTTCCCTTTGCACCAGCCGTCGACACCGATGATAGCTTCCTTGCCGAACAAAGGACCATCGTTTTAGCACCAACCCGTACCTCAACGTGAGAGGGAGAAGAACACAGAAGACACGGACGGCATAACCTGCACTATGAGAAGAGTTCTCATCTCCGTCTCCAGAGCCCAATCTTCCGTTCGTTAACCATCTATTTTTATTGCGCGTCCATCGCGGGGAAATTGACCTTGATCTCGAGTGTTTGACACTCAGCTGCAGGGAAAGGTCAGAATTTTATAAAGTGAGAAGAGAAATCGTTCGCCGTGAGGATCGTTGGAAGAAGAAGTGGGAAGAAGTGTGACGTCACCAAAGTCAAACAGGCCTGCCTTCAAGTTCGTACCCTGCTTCGATCGTTTCTTCCTAACCACGACCTGAATGTACCTATTCCTGCACATAGCAAAGCCTTAGTCCGACTGCCGACATCATCGCATACTCTCGCCGTTGAGGTTCTACGATGGGCTGAACGCCGTCGTCCACCTGTCCCTCATTCCCAGTGTTTATGCCGCTTCTACCTATCGGAAGTTGAAGATGAAGTGCACGCTTTGTTGTACTGCGACGGATCACAATCCTTGGAAGATTTGCGATCTGATTTCTTTAAATCCGTTTTCCTAATTGCCACCGGCCATTTTGCGAATCTGTTGAAATCGACGGCGTCTGGTTTTGAAGTAATACACGTCCTACTGGGAGCAGATGATATGAAAATAGTTGGAGCTCTCGCTAAATATGTATTCAACGTTTTCCGCAGTTTTAGTACCGTACCGTTATATTATTCGTGAATGATTTTTTTGGGTACCCCATGAAGAGTCTCTACTCCGCGCGACACACTCAAAAGCGTGATCACAACGGTATGAGCCTTCGTGGCCACAGCACATGGTTCGCCATGTCAGGGCTGTGGGCCCGGCCGTTCCTTATTGGGACCTTGTGCCGGTAACAACACCAACACCAACACCAACACCACGCTAACATTGTGCAGCGTCTTCCCGATCTCTGTTCTGTTCTACCTCTTCCTACGCGTCGATTGGCCCCACTTCGCGTCAGCGCCCCGAGACGGAGAGAGAACGCACTCCGGCATGAAATTTCAAGAACCAGTCTCTCGGGGACCCCTTAGTGGCTCTCACAGTCTGCATGGATACGGGAGATTAGCCTGAGCGAAGTATCGCAGAGATTTGGTTTCTGAGTGGTTGGCGTAGCCGGGCTTACACCACTTTGTCTTGATGAGAGGACTAGCACCGAGTCCGTTGCTCTCCGACGTCTGCAGACACAACCTCAGACACAACAATACGGCATATAGACGTCATCTTATTCTCTTCTTCCCTTTCTCCCTACGCGTTGCTAGGCACCACCTCGCGTCAGCGCCACGAGAGCAACAAATGGAGAGAGAACGCACTCCGACAAGAACCAGCCTCTTCGACAATGGACTCAACGGCAGCGTCTCTATATGGATACGCCACAGATTTCGGGAGGTGCGCCAAGAGCAGAGATTAGCCTGAACAAAGTAATGCAGAATTTGGTTTCTGGGGAAGCTGGCGTGGGTCAGGCTTAGTCCATCATCGATATCAGGTATGATTATTGTTAGATCCACCGCTACCTTTGTCGAAATTTCACCCCGGTTAGCATCTCATCCGGATAATGACATCCAGCGAATCCAAAGTATTAGCTGCAGGAATAGCAGGCGTGCACCGTGGTGCTGCTCTCTCAGCACGGTAATCGTTAGTAGACCATCTATACCAGCCACCTCTCCAAGATTGAGAAGGCTACATCAACGTCCGTTGCTCATCACATCTATGTCTTCCTACACTGTGCAGCTATCATGATCCAACCCTCACTCCCCGCTCCCCCAAAAACGTCTCCAAAACTATGGCGGACCATCAATGCTATCCCGAATATTTAGCAAGCTTGTATCGGTCAACATACATCTGATCAGGGCGCACTCCACTCGCAGTCGACTTACCGATGTTGAATCTGACTGGACTCTTCTCCTTGGCCCCATAATCTACTCTTCCTCCACTGGCGGGTATTCTCCATCTGCGTCGACCATGATTCCGACTGGGGACAGGACGCTCTCCTTCCATATATCATATTTTCCCGACTCCCGAACACCTCTCCATCATCCGTTTCATCCGTCACTCCGACGTTTCATCATGTAACAAACTATGGGGGGAGCATTCTTATAGAGGGCTTATCGAAGCTCTCGAGCGTATGTTTTGCAGCATTTGTTAATCCTTCATCTCCTACCACCGCCGCAGGCCATCAGCAGGCTGCATCTAGAGCAGTTCAGAAAATATCCCATGGAATACGAGAGCTTCCGATGGCTCCTTTTGGGATTGCCATCATTGAGTGACGAGGTGCAACCCGAGGGTAAAGCTATAAAGATTTGTCAGAATACTTAGTACGTGTCAGACTGAAGGGATGCCGCTATCGCGTCGAGCTCTCAGACGGCAGTGCATACTCAGACGTTCTCACGCTCCGACTATCATCACCAGAACGGTTGAAATCGCGAACTTCTTGCTATCTTCAGCGTGCTACACCAGCAAAATCACCGGGAAGACATCCGTTCACAATTTGGACATAACCTTCATCGCATCGCCTTCCTCGGTCGTACACGATAGTCGGACGAACCGCCTGCGAGCCTTACCAACACCGAGCACCTGCAAACAGAGTCGCAGCTGTTTCTATTGCACTATCGCATCTACCCTACCCAGGCACTCTCCTCCACCGTGTAGCTGTCTGTCTTCTTTCCTTCATCACCACAGCAGCCTCTAGGACATCACCGGCACCAAGCAAACGAAGAAACGCCACTCCACCACTCCACAGCAAACTCAGCCTGTAAAAGCCTCTAACGATCCTCCCACTACGAACGTACGAGCCTCCCAACTAATCGTCAACATCAAAGGAGCTCTCGATGATGCTCAATGAACCGTTATTTACTATCGGACCTCTACCTTCCCATCTCCTACATTTTCTGGCATCCAGTACATCCGACATTCAATGATGAAACTGGCACTGCTTCCCGTGATCATCTCGTAGACCAGGGGCTGTATTCCAAGCAGGGCGTCAGAAGCGGTGGTGGACTGGCACGGTATGATATCCGTACTACGGGATATGATCGTGAGTTTTTCTCCCAGATAGTGTGTTCGGCCTACTAATCATTTCTTTAGGTAACCCCATTCTCCACAGGAAGGAGAGACATCGCATGAATTGTTGAACACATGCGACGATCCTGTTGTAGATTTCGCTATCGCGTCCGCCGACTCCATAGTTCGGAAGTAATGAGCTGTTGGATATCAGGTATGGGTTTTATCAGATCCACCGCTCTCTTCATCTAATTTTGACTTCAGTGGCGTCTCATCACCGTGTATGCTGTACGACGCAACTTCTCGTTTCCCCATCGGTAAAGGCATTCGTGCCGAATGAGTCTGGGGCGTCGTGTCCTTACTAGCAGCGTGGTTCTAGTTCTGTATAGATGGACTCAAATTATCTACTATTATCCTACCGTGACGCTCGGGACGAATGCTGAGGCCTGAGGATTGTGTACTGTTAGGAACACGAATGTTATAGAAGCGGCCAAAACACCTGACAACTACGACCAAAAATGACAAGCGCCATGGCTGCTAATCTCGATTTCCCTTAGACGCCGTAGAGGTGTACACCACCCACTCTCCCGACGTATCTGCTGGGATCGCAGCCTTGCAAAATGAACTTGTCCGCAGTTCCCAAGCAAACGTCTTCGATTTATGTGAAATAAGTTGATCCATGCGGGAAAGCATTTAAGAGCTTGACAGAACGAAGACTTCTATCATGCTATTTACACACAACAACCAGGGGGTATTTGGGCTGTGATTTGCAAGTTGTGATGCCTCGAGGCAAACACCTTTTCGTTTAGCACTCACTCGACCTACGTGCCCTTCTGAGCCTAGAAAAATGAGAAATACTAGGTCTGGTATTGATAAACACCGCCGTCGACGAAAGGTATGTCAGTCGGGAAACACACAGAGGGGAAATTAATAACATTTCCAGGAAATCTCTCTTCCCAAAGTTACGATCTCCGCCTTCACTGAGACTGGCCAACCCAAATCGTCAATCGTCGTTCCAAAGCAACGGGCGCACACTGGTAGAAAGCCTGTGATATCATCCCGCCTTGCTGACACTCCCTGTGCTACCCTCGGCGTTCGAGGCCTCTTGGATCAACTCAACACCACACTCAGAACATCACACACCCTGACACCATCTCTCTCCTCCCTTCTCGAAGAGTGCATCGAAAACAACTACGACCTTGGCATGGCATATGGCCGCCTCCGCCAAATATGGTACACCCGCAACTGGAGCACTACACGAGACACATTGCGTAAATGGGAAGAGGCGGACCGGGAGATGCGACGGAAAGCACTCGTTGGTAACCGGATCATCAATCCAATGTTGCAACCTCGACGCGTGTGGGATCTGTACAGCAATCGGGTGGTGCCATGGTGGTGCACAGGACTCGGAAGCTCCTCTTGTGGTGACTGGAAGTGGAAGTGGCCCGGGATGCTTCGGCCGATATCTCATGCATGGGTAGATGAGAAGGATCGTGTCGATGTGCAGACACCCATCAACAGATATGAATGGCCTGTTCCTATCCCGAAGGACACTAGCCTCAACCTTGTCCGCATTGAGATGCTCAATCTTCAAGTGGAATATGGGTGGTTGGACGTTCTCTGTTTGAGACAGGAGGGCGGACTGGGGGAGGACATGCGCAGGGATGAGTGGAAGCTGGATGTGCCCACCATTGGAGCAGTGTATCATCGGAGCAGTGTGGTGATTTATTTGAGTGGGCTGGGTCGGCCTTTGAGTTTGAAGGAGGGCGACTTGGATAGTGATAAGTGTTGGTTTAGACGTGCATGGACACTACAGGAGGTTGGCAGCAGCAGGGTAATTGCTGGGGACACACCAGATGGACCACTGCAAGCCGAGTGTAATCACGGGAAGTATGAGACTCCGCTACTGACCAGGTTTCACGAGCAGCTGCAGTCTATGAGTGGCATGTCGTATACTGGTGTGTTTGTGGCACTGAAGAGCATGCAGAATCGGGTGTCGACCAACCCAGTGGACAAAGTTGCGGGACTGGCATTTCGTCTGCAGTCCAACACAATACCGGCATACTACGAGAGCGAGTCTCTCGAGGACGCATGGACAGCACTCGTGAATTCGAGGCATGCGGGGGTTCGGGGAATGTTGTTCTGCTTGTATTCTGAACCAGGCAATGCAGGCAGAAAATGGAGACCATCATGGGACCAGGTTATGACGAAGTCTCTGCCTGCATATCCTTACTCCAACATCGACGTTGATTGGAATAAGATGGATGAAGACTCGTGTGGTGCGGGGTGCATTGAAAAGGGGCTGGTGCGGGGGTTGGCTGTTGTGGAAGGGCGTGATCGACGTGGGGAGTTGATTGTTAAAGGCAAGGATGGGATGGAACATGCATTCAACATCACGGCCACCCATGAGTACCCGATACCTGAAGGCACATACACACTGATTTGTGCTAATAAATGGATGTTCCAATGTTGGGTTGTCGGGCGAAGACTGCCAAGGGAAAGGTTTGAGAAAGTGTCGGTGTTGGAAATTACCAATAGATATGAAGCGAGTCAGTTAGAGGACCTGAATGTTACTAAAAAGTGTCGGAATATTCTTGTTTGAGTACACATTGTACTAGCTCTTCTTAAACCAAGTGGTTATCATGCCTACCTGGGAGGGTGCGAAGGACTGCTCTTATGAAGGGTTCACACTGATGATGCTAGGTATAAAGGCTGCTTGATCACGAAAACCCACGCTACACAACGATATACTATGTAGCTCTTTACATATCCATCGAAAATCAAACAGGGGTAGAACCGGGAAAACTGAAAGACAAGGAAAAGGAGTAGGGTGAAGTATCTTGGTAAAGAGTCAGCTCAGCATCACGAGAGGTAAAGAATCCTACCATAGCATCTTGCTTCCTCTTGATATTTTTCATCACAATCTGCACCATGAAGTGGTCGCGTAGCAAGTGAATAAGATGTTTCTCAATGGAAAGACTCTTCGCCAAGAATTTCTTCTAAGTCCCTCCTCGTCTGTTGCCACGTGAGGACGCGTTTCATCGTATCTCGGCCCATTATTTGCAGGACATCCGTATTGAGATAGTCGATGTATCGATGCTGCTTTCCTTCGTAATACTGCACACCCATTATGATGAGCATGTCACTAGCACCGAGAATCGACCATACCGCACCCAACGAATCCATTGCCTCGTGGAAATACCCAATACCCATCTTTAATGTCTCCGTCAATCCTTCGTCCTGCAAATGGTCAAGATGAACCTGCAACCTCGACGTTAAGGGGCCTGTCTGGTTTGCTATAAATAGCGCTGTTAATAAACAGATTGTCGATGGCGAGGAACTATTTTCCGTGAGGAACAAAGATGATGACAGGTTTTGTGGGTTCTTTCATATCGTCATCCCGATAGCTGACACCAACACCATACGTACCGAGACCCAGTGAGCAAAGCGTATTTGCACGAAACTGAGAGGATGAAGTCAATAGAAGAGACATTTTAAATAGAAGATAGCTTACAGACACAGATAGGTGTATCCCAGCCAGTTATCACAATTTCGGATCGTGTTCGAGATAATGTTCATGTTGAAGTTGTCGGCCAACTTGGGTAGAGACTCAAAAGACAGGTGGTCGTTGAGCAAACTCAGGTAGTCCTGGAGCTCGGAGGTAATGGTAACGTCGTACGGATCGTACTGCGGTCGACCTACACGTAGATCTGGGTTCCTTTTATGATGATCGTACAGGCTGGCAGATTGACACCTCAGGCTAGCGTCGCAGTGGCGTGATGGATACCGAAACGAATAGGAAGGAGACCAAGAACTTGACGTCGTTCAACGTGAGCTTCAGTCGGAAATTCCCATGTAACGCCGCCAGCTTTGACGAACTAGGTGATTGTCTCCTTCTCCACCCTCATGTCGCCCAGGAATTTGGCCGTTTTCGCGCGAGTGCATGAAAACCAGGGTTTGATTCTTTCCAGCCTGGTCGATGACTTCTTGTAGCAGACAACATTTGTCCCTCGATATTGTGAGCCAGCGATTGCCTTCTCCCCTGTAACTCTGGTGGACCACTCGTGAGATCGATATGACGCGTCGAAATATAAAAACTCTTTCGATTCGTCTATTCGTCTGCAAGCTCTGGAAGCACAACCTTCTCTGCGAGCTCCAGACACCCACGTCAAACATCCAGGTCAAGGTCCGCCAACTCTGTAGAATCCTTTTCATCAATGTTGTCTGTTGTATCAGCCTCGATGGCCGCGTCTTGTGTACAGTCATGTCCAACAAAGACACCGTCGGACCCTTGGCCTATACCAAAACGTCCCTTCGCCAGTGTTTAGGCAGATGTCTCCACGGATGTCGCAGCAAGACCTTGATTCCGTACTGGAGAGTCCGCCGAGGTCCATAGAAGAGCCTTGTGACCTCATCCTGGGAAAATGTGTCTCGAATGAATACAGGATTCTGATTAGGATTGGCCTTGATTCTTGACACGAGCTCCAATGCGATGTGGACCGTAGAGAAGGTTCAGATGATCGAAAGACAGAAGGGGATTCTCGATATGATGATTGTCGGTAATCCGTTGCTTCGTCATTTGGGAGTCACCCGTAAGTTCACCGACTTCGATAGCATAGGGACATTGGTCTAAGTATCAAGAATTATCAGCGATGAAATCAAGATGCAACATGATAAGCATACCTTTTCATCGCTGGTAGGTGTGCAAATAAGAATGGGCTTACTGATGCCATACGCAGTAGGATAAATCTTGCGCTGAACGCGGTGAAGCTCAGGAACGATGAACAGGTGTGCCTTCGCCTGGTGATCTTCTGCTAGTTCATGAAAAATCCATCGCACAACCATCCCTCGAGTCTCGCAAAGTAACTTCAGCATTGACACTAACATCCGCACAGCTCCACGGTGTGAGCTTCGTGCACTAGATGAGGATATCGAGATATTTAAGGAATCCTCTCCGACTTGAGATGAAAACTCCGATAGTAGAAATGCTCTATGAGCTGATCTTCGTAGTCACGAAGGTCGTACTCGGCTGAACCACGAATGGAGAGTACCAGGAAGGACTTGTTGGTAGCGTCGTCGGGTCAGAGCACACCTCAGTGATCTGTCGCGGGAGGAATGTCTTTATTGGCCTTGGATTTTGCGACTGAGCCTCTTCGCCAACTTCGCCGCCTACTTCAAGTACAGCCTCGCCGTCCCAACCCTCTTCGACGTCGTCTGATTCATCTCTGAGCTCAAAGTCGTCTTCGTCCTCCTCCTCTTGTTCCTCTTCATTGAAACCACGGCGACCAACGACATATTGCATCCTTCCGCTCCACACTGGGATCCACCTAGCCTCGTCTTCAGCGCCAGTCAGTACTCTTCTTCAACAGACTGATGAGTCGAGAAAACTGCTCACCAGTTATAGGCCCAATGTCATCTTGTATCTTCGATTGGTGGTCCGCCGCATTCTGTTTATTCTTTTCCACGTCCTTGGGGATGCTTCAGATGACGCGACTCGAGTGAAGTGGGTGTATCATCCAATTCTTGATCTCTACGAGGGAGTGCAGACGGATCTGTAGTAAGAACCAGAGAGAAATGGCACCGCGGTCTTACTAAAAAGGGCTTGAGCCTGGGTGTAAGTAAGGGGTTGTCGACGCGTCAGAGTGGAGTGATGCGTCGGTGTGCGAGTCGAGTCGGAGTAAGGGGCCGACATCAGCCCGTGCTCAGATGTTCTCACGCTCTAACTATCATCCATGTCATCATCAGAACGGTCGAGATCGCGAACTCAATGGAGGCTACATCGATTCGATGAGCACCTGGAAATCTCTACCCAAATCTTATTCTTCTTCAGTCGTAACAAAGCTGTACACGATAGTCGGACGAATCGCCTGCGAACTGAGTACTGAGCGCGCCTACCTCGCTTCGCTTACAATCGGACTCTCGGTTGCTTCTAACGTACTATCTCATCTACCCTGCCCCGGCACATCCCTCCACTGTGTAGCTGTCTCTCCGCAGACTCAAGGACAAACGCCTGGTATCCTCCGCCAAACCCCAGCTCTTTCACGAAGCGAACGGCGAAACATCCGCGCGCTATCACCGCACAGCGAACTCAGCCTGCAAAAGCCTCTAATGACCCATCGAGCCACCACGAGTGTACGGGCCTCCCGCCTATTTGTCGACATCGAAGGAGCGTCCCTCGGAGCTGCAAATCCACTCGACAGTGCTTAATGAACGCTATTTACTATCAGATCTCCTCCTTCCTATCTTCCACATTTTCTGGTATCCGGTGCACTTGATACAGAAATCTTAACCTCAGCCTAGCGAACGGTGATACTGCCGCCCGTGACCACTTTGTATATCAGTGGCTGTATCCTAAGCAGGCCGTCAAAGCCTGCTGAAGTTGTGGCGAACTGGTACGGTACCCACCAAGCTCGAGCCTCGCGAATTACGAGGACGAGATCGAGGGAACTACTGGGCCGTAGCATGCGAGCAGCAGTTTCGAACATATCTTTCCAGCTCAGCCGGAAGATCCTGGATCGGAAAGTAATCTACAGTCGTCGTGGCCAGGTACCAATCACTTGAAGGTCACGAAACATTGTTGACATCTTGGAGGCATCGATAGACTTCAGCCAAGATTGCAGCGAGGAAACTGGAAGAATTGGAAGGGTTACTGCTTTAACTCTAACAGCACGTATCTTTATTCAGCTTATTCTCTGAATCACAGAGTCACAGTCCGAGCCTTGACTTTTAGAATGAATCCATGTACTGATTTACAAGTCGACGCGGGAATTCCCTGAGAGTTATTTAAAGACTAGATGATGTCCTCCAGATGAGATTTTATCTAATGAATCAATCCAGTTCCTCGAGATGATAGTAAATTTGGATCCACGCGTGCGGTACAAAAAAAAAGACCTCGGCAGCTATATGGAGAGCACAGAACGTATAATTTACTCATCAGGCAACGTGTACGTTACACGTGGCGAAGCACCTTCTATCATACGCCCCGACCATCACTCTTGTTTCACGCCCATACGGACGGCCAGACATGGTAGGCGACTCTCATCTGCAAGAGCAACTCCAAAATTCCCTTTCTAGACCACGAAGAGTTCTCCTCTATGTTCATCCTGAAGGTTTGTAAGGTTTCACCAGAGTCAGTTGCGCCGTCTCTGGGCCCAATCACTGCCCTCCTAGATGCTCGGTCGTCATTCGAAATCGCAACAAATCCTGATGAACGTGTAGGACAACGAGGGTTGATACGATGTTTGTGAGTTGCTAGGATCATGGGCAGGACTAGTACTGATGCAGAGGTCTCTGGTAGAAATGCCGCACTGATCAACCCTTACTCTCCGCTCTCATGCAAGTAGATCCACCCTGCGCCTCTCCATGACGTGTACCAGGTCTTTGGAGTGCAGATACGTGAAGACGAGCATCTCGGAATCCGATACGAAATTATCAAACAGAAGGAACGTACTCGGACGCCAGAAACTGACTGTGAGGCCAACCTCTCAGAGGGCGCTCTGACGATTTTTATATGGCGTATCGGGAGACGCGTTCGGGTGAGGAAGATAGCGAGAGCGGGTGAGGTTGGCAATGGTGTTTCGTAGTGTCTGTATCTCTGAAATCCGCCTCTGCACGTGACTCCTTCGTCACCCACATTTGCGCCTTTTCCACACTCCGCATCAATAATGCCTTGCGGGCCGATATCCAACGCTAGTACGCAGACAATGTCGTCAAGACTCTACAAGGCAGGGTTTAATGCGTTCGATACCAGTGTTCTGAGGGAGGACGCTGTTGGGTAATTCTTACAACAACCCAACCCAACAAAGTCGCGCATGATAGTCCACTACGAACCATGCGCATTTCAGTTCACTGCCCACCAAGCAGACTATAAAACGAGCTATCATTACCAAGAGAACGACGAAATGCTCACGCCTCCTCACCGCAAGCTCTAACATTCCTCCCGCTCCCGACGACTCTCCCGACATTCTCAACTTAAAGGTCAGGATCGCCCACCACATTGGAACGCCTCTCGGAGCTGCAAATCTGCTCGATGCTCTTTTGCACCTTTTCCTTCACACCTCGCACATTTTCTGGCGTCCAGTACATCCGACACGGCAACCTCGACCAACGGTGAAGCTGCCGCCAGCGTGACCAACTCGTATGGTGGTTGTATCCTAGGCGGGCGTCAGAGTCCGCTGATGTGGTGGTGAACTGGTACGGGACCTACCGTGTTCGGGCCTTGCGGGCTATGAGGACGAGACTGAGAGGACTCTGGGTCGCAGTCTCGAAAATCCATCTCTCTGTCGAGCTCGGTCGGAAGATCCTGGATCAAGTACCATGCTATAAACAACGAGGGATGCGAAACACGATGGAGGTATCGATAGACTCCGACTAAGACTATAATGGGAGAGGAAATCGAAATGGTTGGAAGAGAACGTCTTGGCACCGAGCAGTGTCTTTATTCCTTCGATTAGCTACACAGACATACTAACCCTTCTCTCCAATGTATTTTCTCTCGCGTTCATTTCTATTGTAAATTATGCAATGTTTTAAATGCATTTATAAAATTCCTGATATATGTGCTTTACTTACATGTAAGTACAATGTAATGGTTAGCAGAAGGGACTCTTCCCACATCCTCCCGCATCTATATGTACCCCTCACGCGAATCCCGCAAATAATCACGACCTCCTCTGTCTACCTTACTTACATCTCCCCCTTTTGGCTGTGCCTATCCCGAGGCACCCGTCGTCCCAGCGTCGAAACCTATGTAGGTTAGCCAAATTCCACCACTGCCCTTATCATCCTTCTGTCCCTCAAAACACACCTCGGCAAATGTCGATACCTCAAGAGGAGCCAAATGCTCAGAGGACTGGGTTCCGCCTACAAGGTTGCGTTATTTTCTTGTTCTACGAGTGATGCATGTCAAGGCGGCGTAGTGGGTGCTCTTCCAGGGAACTGACATGGGCTACGACAAGAGTGAGCACGGCTGAATGATATGGGGGACGGAAGGGTGACCTATTATTCTGAATATGCTCTCGTCATCTCTTCAGCGCTCTCTTCCCTTTGCTCCAGTTTTCGACAGCGTTGTCTTGACAGAGTTCGTTTGGTTTGTCGTTACCCGAATAAAGGTGTACTGTTTTAGCGCCAAAACCCGTACTTCAACGACGACGTGAGAGTAGAAAATGACGGAATGTCCACTATAAGCACACAAGCCAGAGTTCTCATCCGATCCGTCTTCAAAGTCCAACAATGTCGACGTCTGTTTCTCTCGGTGTGTCCATCGCGGGGAAATCAACCTTGGTATTGAGGATTTAGTAGTCCTAATCAAAGGTCAACTGCAAAAGTGACGACAAAAATTGCTTGCCGTGAATCGTAAATTCGGTGTAGTCGTTGGGAAGGAATCCAAGAAGCCTGACGTCACCAAAAACCAAACATGCCCGAGCTTTCAACACTGCTCCGATCGTTTCCTTCTCACCATTCTGCCTCTGCATCTATCTCGTTTTCTATTCTCTTCTCCTTCTCCCTAAGCGTCGATTAGCCCTACCTCGCAGAAGCAGCAAATGATGAGAGAATGCACTCCGACAAGAACCGGCCTCCGACACTGGAAACCTCACGACAGTGTGCTTATATGAATTTTGGGGGCACGGAAGAAGCAGGGAAGAGCCTGAGCGAGGTGAAGGAGGATGTAGTTTCTGAGGAGATTTATGTGGGCATCCCTTCGAACACTGTTGGAAGACGTATCAGGGATATATCGGCTCGATAACATAGATGACTTCGCCGGTGACGCACTGGACCTACTGTAAAACGATGATTCCCTGCTCCCGTTTCTCTACGCGTTGTCTATCAATCGATTTCGCGATCCCGCCAAGCTATTCACCTTCTACAGGTGGGATTATGGCTGCATTTTAATCTGGATGTTATCCCACCTCCTGGCGCATCCAGTGTTCGTTGCGATGGGTTCGAGAGCTGGCCTGTATGAATAGGGACGGCTTTATGATAGGGTTGTCTGATACTGGAGTCGAAGGTATGTAAAAGTCTTCGGGACTGCGTAGTGCAATGTGATCTGATGCATGCTTAAAAGACTTCCTGTTTCCTCGTCGTTTCATTATCAACTATGAAGACGTACATACATTTGGGAATGATCCAGTGAGCTTATCACGAATGGCCGTTACATTGAAGCTAACAAGCCTATCCAAGTGACTTCCGATGAAGGACGAACACACCATGTGTCGTCTTCATGGATTAATTCCCATTTGGTCTATGTTCCTGCGACTTAGCCGCTGCGTTCGATGTCATTTCAACAGCGCTATCTCCACACTGGTAGATCCAAGACCATGTGCCGTGAACGATCTATCAGACGCGTTGCTCCTCGGCTCTCCAAACTCGCAAGCGACTCTTTCGACCAAAGTTATCCCTCCGTGGTGAGGAAGATATGCCATGTCAATTGACGTTGGCGAAGGACGGTGATATCCTCTCCAAAAAATGTTCCAGCACATCGATCGATGCTATAGTCCCGAAGGTTTACAGCCAGTCTGCGTTGATCAACATGCATATGATCAGGGCGTACCCACTCACGGTCGACTCACGGCTGGCCCTTCACAACACTGAATCTGACTGTACCCTACTCCTTGAACACGTAATCTACTCTTTCTCCCGCTGGTGGCTACTCCCCATCCATGGCGACCGTGATTCCAACTGGGACAACACCCTCTCCTTCTACACTTCTGTACATCATATTTTCCTAATTCTCGAACATGTCTCCATCATTCGTCACTCGGCCGTTTCATCGTGCAACGAGCTTTGCAGAGGAGCATTCTCAAAGAGGGATCGTCGAAGCTCTCGAGCATATGTATTGCACCATTCATCAGTCCTTCATCTCCTACCACCGCCGCAGGCCATCAGCATACTGCATCCAGAGCAGTTTGGAGAATGTACAATGAAATACGTGAGCTTCCGATGGCACATTTTGGGATTCCCGTCGTTGGCGAACGTTCTATCGATCTGTGGCAACTTTGTTGACGGTCGGAGATTTGGATGTTCCTAACCTCCGAACATTGAGGTATGGCCTCTTTCGGACGTATCCTCTCAACTCGTTTTCTGGATCGATTTGCGCTGATGAGAAGACTGGACGTCCACCCGTCCCTTCCCCTGAGATATCGCCAGCCGGCAACAATATAACTCGCGAACCTGAATGAAGAATCTCTGTAACTGTGAGTTTTTCTCTCAAATTGTATGTTCAGCCTACTAATCTTTATTCTTAGGCAAAGCCATTGCAGGAAGGAGAGGCATTGCATGAATTGCTGATCACATGTGACGATCCTGCCGTAGATTTCACTACGACGTCCGCTGAGTCCATCTTTCGGCGGTACCAAGCTGTTGGATATCAGGCATGAGTCTTATGAAATCAAGGGCTATCTTCATATGATTTTGATCTTAGTAGCGCCTGATCATCGTGTATGCTGTACTACACAACTTGTTCTCATTGGTAAAGGCATTCGTGCGACTTTGTATCCTTACCAGTCCAATAGCACGGTTCTCGTTCTGTGTAGATGGACTCAGACTATTTACTGTTTTGAAGGATCGCCGACTTAAAATATGGTTTATTCCTGCTACGTTAGTAGAAGGTCTTAGGGAGGATGGATGGTAGCCGAGTTTTTGACAGCTCCCCGAGCCGTATGTCATCGGACTTTCTATGTGTGGTGAATTTGAACGGCGCGCCACACATAAATTTCTGTTAAAGTCAAATTTTCGGTGTGGCTGTTTCTTTGTTTGTCACTTTGTTTACAGTGACTCCTGTTACTCGTGACAGTACTTCGTACCAGGGAGCAGTCGCGCTTCTATTCCGACGTTCAGCGTCAGCATTTTCATCAAAGTTCTTCATCTTATGGATGGTGTTGATCTTGAGACATTTTCAGTAAGTGTATCGGTCTTTAGTAGTAATTTATCTCTGATCACACATGCAGTCCAGTCGTTCCCTTGGAGTAGCGGCGACAATGCGGGTCAGAGCGGTACTATTTCTCCGATAACATGATGGATGTGGCAAATATTTCTGAATTTCAATGGTTCATTCCTGATTGCCATGACTACTCTCGCCAGTGTCGTTGAACATGCGGTGGAACTCCAAACCTTCGTTATGGTTGGACAAGATGAACTTAGAATGCGAGGTTTGCTTAAGCAAGGCACGAAGCCCAACGATATTGACAAGATCAACGACGCCATCAGGGACTACGTTGAAAAGAGGATGGAACTGGAATCAAATAGATCATCGGTGCAATGGGACTTGGTTACTGCTGCTCAGGTAAAACTTCGACGCTCCGAGACTGGCCATTAACTGAAGCATCATCTCAAGAACACAGTCACAGAGGCAGTACAATGCTTACACTCAGTTCGCGTTGTGGAGGGACATGTGCTCTGGGATGCGCCTCCTCCCAAAGTCGTACAAATCCAAACTCCTAGCGCCAGTACAGACATACAAATTGTTCAAAACACTGAACCCGGCATGGGGAAGAGATCGTCAACAGGATCTACTCCGACAGGAAGCATGAAGAATGGGCAAAGTACCAGATCCAAGGCGGTGAGAAGACAGACGACGACGTCTATGGCGGCCTCTCATACATTGGTGCGAGCTGTCATTTTCAGTTTCGTGTACGGTGTAATGACTACAACTTTTTGAAGGGGATTGGTACTTGTGCGTCAACGCCAAAACCGCCACCAAAACCACAGGAACTGCCGGGAGTGTTGTCGAATGCTGTAGGTTTCATCTCCTTGCTTTTTCGCTGGCATTAAACCACCTATTTGTTTTGTAGGTACCGCTACGCTTTGGCCCTCCTAAAGTCAGAAAGAAAGCGAACGAGGATGACTTATGGAAGAAGGTGAGTCAATAAGTGATCAATGTGATTGAGCTAAACCGTCTACAGTTTTCATTGAACGCTACCCCATCAGAACAGCCGTCTGTCGAATGGCTTACCCAATTACGAGACTTAGTCGTTGACTTGGGCCCAGCTAACAAGGACAAGGTTATATCAAAAATCGGGCTTGAACTTTGGTGCCAACTGGTTTTCTTGAACGTACACCGTGGTAACTCTCGCACGTTATCAAAGACCAAAGTATCAAAAGTCGACATTTCCACTTGGGACTTGATTCCTACAGAAGCAAACATGCCTGTGAGTGTTGGATATTCAAATGAGACATTAAACAACTGATGTTCGCTTTTCTAAGTGCAAAACTTGCAGTCATAAAGTCGCCTGTCATTGGCCAAACTCGGAGGACCATTCGAAATGTCGGGAGTGCCATCTGCAAGCCAAACGGTGCACGTTTAGTGGCAATAGTATGAAAAGGGGGCGAAAACGAAAACGCAGCTCCGAGTCTCCTTCGACCTCACGAAGGCGCGTCAAAGTAGATTTAGAAGCGGATGAAGACGACGAGGTCGATTCACAGGATGAGATGCTAGATCCGCCTGCCGAAGCTTTGAACACGTTGACACGACCTAGACCCACATTAACCCTGCAGAAGATGGACTCACTGAAAACTCCAGCGACGAGATCGAGTACATCGAAATTGTTGTACCCTACCAAAGTCACTCCTCATCAGAACTTGGGTTCGGCTGAGCGGATAGCACAGTTGACACCCAGAATCACGCTTTCCCCTCGCCCGTCATCATCTTCCTTAAACCCTGAAATGCCGACACCGTTCTCAGAAATCCAACAAACGAGGTCAGATAAATCACCACCTGTAACCATGCCCCCTGTTCCTCTAAACGAAAGAGGCGACGACACGACAATAGGAAATGAATCTATAATCACCTGTCCTATGCTCTCTGTACCTGCCAGCAGATCCTTGACCATACACGATTCAAGATCACCAACCCCAACCACAGATAACCCCTCAAAAAACACATTTCCGACACTCGCAAACGAATTTTTCCACTCTGGAAAGACCAATATGAGCCCTACGCGACCTCATGGTCGTCCAGACCACGATGAATATGACAGGCTGTTGGAGGAAATCAAAGATTGGGACGCCGATACATGCAAAAGACACTTAGCAAGGGTGATGGCTGATCTTCATTGCGCCATCGGTAACACACGGGAATTGCAGAAGCAATTAAATGAGTTGTTGAAGAAAGACGAAGCATTGTTGGCATTCGTACTAGAGATCGACGCCGCACACCAAAAGGCACTAAAGGAACTGACGCAACTAAGATCCGATAGACAATCATAGTGTACCATGTATTAAATTAAAATACAATCAGACGTAGCAGGCTTTGCCCCTCAGCGGGCCCTACAGGAGTTATTTTTCAATGTGTAGGGCGGGATGGCCTGAGTTAGCTCTGAAGAGACTGCTGCTACGTTTGCCGATATCAAAACGCCGAAAGCACCTGACAACTACGACCAAAAATGACAAGCGCCGGCACTGCTAATCACGATTTCCCTTAGACGCCGTAGAGGTGTACACCACTCACTCTCCCGACGTATCTAATGGGATCGCGGCCTTACAACCCCAGTCTCTAAGCTAACGTCTTTGGTTTAAGCGAACTAAGTTAATACATGTAGGAATGCATTTAAGAGCTTGAGCGAACGAAGACTTCTATCATGCTATTTATACACAACCAACACACAACAGCCTGGGAGGATTTAGGCTGTGACTTGCAAGTTTTGATGCCTCGAGCAAACAGCTTTTCGTGTGGTACTCCCTTCACCCTCTGAGCTTGGAAAATAAGAAATAGTATGTATCATTGATCCCTCTTGTTTCGAGTACTCAGCACAAGCACCCAAGGTCTTTGCTCCTCAGTGGCGAGATGTTTCGTCGCGAACCATGGCCTCCAAGGGTAAGTCAGTTCAGCAAACAAGCAGAGGGGAAATTGATAACACTTCCAGGATATCTCTCTTCCTGAAGTCACCATCTCCGCCTTCACTGAAACGGGCCGAGAGGAATCGTCGATCATCGTTCCATTGCAACGGGCGTACACTGGTAGAAGGCCTGTGATATCATCCCACCTTGCTGACACTCCCTGCGCTACCCTCGGCATTCAGGGCCTCTTGGATCAACTTAATTCTACACTCGGAACATCACACACCCTGGACACTCCATCCCTCTCCTCCCTTCTTGAAGATTGTATCGCAAACAACTATGACTTTGGCATGGCATATGGCCACCTCCGCCAGATATGGTACACCCGCGACTGGAGCATTATACGAGACACACTGCGCAAATGGGAAGAGGAAGACTGGGAGATGCGACGGACAGCGCTCAATGGTAACCAGATCGTTCAACCAGATTTGCCACCTCGACGTGTGTGGGATCTGTACAGCAATCGAGTGGTACCATGGTGGTGCACAGGGATGCAGAGGCCGCCTCAGCCGATATCGCATGGATGGATGGATGAGAAGGGTCGTGTCGATGTGCAGACACCCATCAATGGATATGAATGGCCTGTTCCCATCCCAAAAGACACCAACCTGAACCTTATCCGCATTGAGATGCTCCATGTTCGAGCCCGGGATAACGATTGTGTTAGAGTGGAGTACGTGTGGTTGGATGTTCTCTGTTTGAGACAGGTGGGTGGACCAGGGGAGCATATGCGGATGGAAGAGTGGAAGCTGGATGTGCCAACCATCGGGGCAGTGTATCATATGACCGAGGTGGTGATTTACTTGAATGGGCTGGGTCGGCCTTTGAGTTTGAAGGAGGGTGACTTGCAGAGTGATCGGTGTTGGTTTAGACGGGCATGGACGCTACAAGAGGTTGGCTGGACTAGGCTGATTGCTGGGAACACACCGGATGGGCCAATGCATACCAAGCCAATAGATGAGGATGGGAAGTATGAGACTGAGCTACTGACCAGGTTTCATGAGCAGCTGGATTTTATAGATGACAGCATGTATCATGATATGTTCAAGGCACTGGAGAGCATGCGGAATCGGGTGTCGACCAACCCGGTGGACAAAGTTATGGGACTGTCATTTCGTTTGCAGTCCAACACAATACCGGCATACTATGAAAGCCAGTCTCTCGAGGACGCATGGACAGCGCTCATGGATTCGATGGGTGCGGAGGTTCGGGGGGGTTTGTTCTTGTTCTATCCTGAACCGGGCAATGCAAGCACAAAATGGAGACCATCGTGGGACCAGCTTATGACGAAGCCTCTGCCCGCATATCATGCCTACACATTCAAAGTTGATCGCAATGAGATGGATGAAGACTGGTGTGAGGCGGAGTGCATTGAAAAGGGGTTGGTGCGGGGGTTGGCTGTTGTGGAAGGGGGTGATCGATGTGGGGAATTGATCGTTGAAGACGCGGATGGGACACAACACGCATTCAACATCACAGCCACCCACAAGTGCCCGATACCTGACGACACATACACACTGATTTGCGCTGATAGAGGGTGGTCCCAATATTGCGTTGTCGGCCGAAGATTGACAGGGAAAAGGTTTGAAAAGGTGTCCGTGTTGGAAATATCTGCTGAAGAATCAAGTCAGCTCCGAGATCTGCATATTACTAAAAAGTGTCGAAATATTCTTATTTGAGTACACATCGTAGTAGCTCTTCTTGAGTGGTTATCATGCTTACATGAGGGGCAAAGGATTGTTCTTATGAAGGGTTCACACAATTGCTGCCCGTCGATTTCAAAAACCTGCGCTATATTACAATGTACTATGTATCTCTTTATATATTCGTCGAAAATCAAACAAGAGCAGAACCGGGAAAACCAAAAGACTAGGAAAAGGAATAAGATGAAAGTATCCTGGTGAGAAGAGTCAGCTCAGCATCACAAGAGGCAAAGCATCCTACCATAGCATCTTCTTTGTTCTTGATAGTTTTCACCACAATCGCCACCAGGAAGTAGTCGTGCAGCAAGTGAGGAAGAAGATGGGAAGACTCTCTGCCAAGAATTTCTGGTAAAAGTCTGTCCTCGTCTGTTGACATATGAGGACATATTTCGTCATCTCTTGACCCAAGTTTTGGAGGACATCCATGATGAGATAGACGATGTATCGATGCTCCTTTTCGTCGTCGTACTGCATGCCCGTGATGATGCCATGCATGCCACTAGCAACTGAAATTGCCCATGCCGCGCCCAACGATCGGAATCCATTCTCAAACAGACGTGGGTCAATGTGCTCATCCTGCCTACCCATAGCTAATACTCGTCTTCAATGTCTCCGTCAATCCTTCATCCCGCGAATAGTCAAGATAAACTTGCGACCTTGACGTTAAGGGTCCTGTCTAGTTTGTCTGTTATCCGCAGCGCAGTTGATAAGCAAGTCGTCAATGTTGAGGCGGCATTGTCTCCATGAGGGGACACAAATGATGGCAGGTTTTGTGCATGCTTCGATATCGTCATCCCGATAATCGACACCAACACTGTACGTACAAACCGGGCGAGCGAAGCATTTGCATGAGACTGAAAGGATGATTAGTCAATAGAAGAGACGTTTGAGATAGAAGATAGTTTACAGATCGGTGTAACCCAGCCAATTATCACAATTTCCATGCTGAAGTTGCTGAACAGATCAGGGCGTACCCACGCACAGTCGACTTACGACTAGCCCTTCCCGACGTTGAATCTGACTGGAGTCTGGACTCTTCTCCTCGATCCCACAATCTACTCTTCCTGCGACCCTCCATCCACGTCGACCGTGATTCTGACTGGGAACAGGACGCTCTCCTTCCGTACGTCATATTTTCCCGACTCTCGAACACGTCTCCATCATCCGTGTCATCTGTCACTCCGACGTTTCATCGTGTAACAAACTATGGGGGGAGCATTTTCATAGAGGGCTTATTGAAGCTCTCGAGCGTATGCTTTGCATCATTCCTCAGTCCTTCATCTCCTTCCACCGCCGCAGGCCATCAGCACACTGCATCTCGAGCAATTCGTAGAATGTCCCATGGAATACGGAGCTTCCGATGACTCATTTTGGGATTGCCATCATTGAGTGATGAGGTGCAACCCGAGGGTAAAGCTATAAAGGGTTGTCGGAATACTTAGTACGCGTCAGACTGAAGGGATGCGATCGAATCGAGCTCTCAGACGGCAGTGCATACTCGGACGTTCTCACGTTCCGACTATCATTACCAGAACGGTCGAAATCGCAGATTTGCTATCTTCAGCAGGCGCTACACTAACAAAATCACCGAAGACATCCGTTCACAATTCAGACGCAGCCTTCATCCCATCGCCTTCCTCGGTCGTACATGATAGTCGGACGAGCCGCCCGCGAGCCCTCACCAGCGCCGAGCACCTTCACTTGCAAGCAGACTCTCAGTTGTTTCCATTGCCCTATCGCATCTACTCTGCTTAGGCACTCTCCTCCTCCACCGCGTAGCTGTCTGTCTTTTCTCCTTTATCCACCAGAGCAGATTCTGGGACGAACGCCCAGTATCCTCCTTCACTGAACCCTAGCTACATTACCACCACCAAGCAAACGAAGAAACGCCACTCTACCACTGCAGAGCAAGCTCACTCTGTAAAAGCCTCTAACGATCCTTGCACCATGAACATACGAGCCTCTCAACTAATCATCAACATCAAAGAAGCTCCAAGTCTACTCGATGCTTAATGAACATTATCTACTATCCAACCTCCTCCTTCCCATCTCACATATTTTCTAGCATCCAGTACTCCCGACACTCGGCGGTGAAACTAGCACTGCTGCCGTGACCATCTTGTAGACCCGTGACTGTATCATCAGAGTCTACTGAAACGGTGGTGGACTGGCATGGTACCTGGGGTCAAATTGCTGGTATCTGTACTACGGGATATGTTCGTGAGTTTTTCTCTCAGATAGTGTGTTCGGCCTACTAATCATTTTCTTAGGCAAAACCATCTCCGGAGGAAAGAAACATATCGTGTGCATTGTTGATCACATGCGACGATTCTGCCATAGGTTTCAGTACCACGTCCGCCGAGTCCATCGTTGGACGGTACCTAGTTTAATATCAGGTTTGGGTCTTATCAGATCCACCGCTCTCTTCATCTGATTTTGATCTCGGTAGCATCTCATCACCGTGTAGTATGATGTACCATACAACTCGTTCTCCATCGGTAAAGGCATTCGGGCGGAACGAGCCTGAGGCATTGTATCTATACCAGTCCCATGTAGATGGACTCGGATTATTTACTCTTTCAATGGAACACCGACTTCAAATATGGTTCATTTCCCGTTGGATATGGCGGGATATTCTTGAGAGACTTTTGCTATGCTCGAGACGAATGCTAAGGATGGTGTCTGCGAGGACCAGGAAGCGCCCAAAGCACCTAACAACTATAGCCAAATATGACAGGTGCCATGACTGTCAAGGCGTAGACGCCGCAGAGGTGTACATCACCCACTCTCCCTCCATATCTTCAGGGATCACGGCCTTGCAAAATGAACTGGGAACGTCCTCGATTCAAGCGAACTAAATTAATCCATGCAGGAAAGCACCTAAGAGATCGATAGAACGAAGATTTCTATCACGTTATTTACACACAACAGCCAGGGAGGATTTGGGCTGTGACGTTGTGATGCCTCGAGCCCAACAGCTTTTCGTTTGGTACTCCCTTGACCTTCTGTGCCTGGAAAATAGTAAATAGTACGTGTCATTTATTCCTCTCGTTTTGAGTATTCGTCATGATGACATTAGCACCATTCAAGGTCTTATTCCGAGTCCAATCCCTTTTCGGCGGCATGGTTTCTGGTGATCGTATATCCTGGCGTCAGCGGGCCAAGTCATTCTGCAAACGAATACAGAGGAAATTCATAACTCCCAAAGTCACCATCTCTGCCTTCACTGAGACGGGCCAAGAGGAATCATCAATTGTCGTTCCATTGCAACGGGCGTACACCGGTAGAAAGCCTGTGATACCATCCCGCCTCGCTGACACTCCCTGTGCTACCCTCGGTGTTCAGGGCCTCTTGGATCAACTCAACATCACACTCAGAACATCACACACCCTGATACCATCTCTCTCCTCCCTTCTTGAAGAGTGCATCAAAAACAACTACGACTTTGGCATGGTATATGGCCGCCTCCGCCAGGTATGGTACACCCGCGACTGGAGCACGATACGAGACACATTGCGCGAATGGGAAGATGCAGACCGGCGGAGGCGGCGAAACGCACTCGGTGGTAACCGGATCGTTCAACCAGATTTGCCGCCTCGACGTGTGTGGGATCTGTGCAGTAATCGGGTGGTGCCATGGTGGTGCACAGGCATCGGCTTTATGAGCGATGAGCTTCGGCCAATATCGCATGCTTGGATGAATGAGAAGGATCGTGTCGATGTGCAGACGCCCATCAACGGATACGAATGGCCCGTTCCCATCCCGAAAGATGCCAGCCTCAACCTTGTCCGCATTGAGATCCTCAATCTTCGAGTGGAGCAACGGCGAGATTATTCTAAAGCGAAGGACCACCGGCAATATTATCCTGCAACGGAGTATGCATGGTTGGACGTTCTCTGTTTGAGACAGGAGGGTGGACCGGGTGAGGATATGCGTGCGGAAGAGTGGAAGCTGGATGTGCCCACCATCGGAGCAGTGTATTCTCAGAACCGTGTGGTGTGGTACTTGAGTGGGCTGGGTCGGCCTCTGAGTTTGAAGGATGGCGACTTGGACAGTGATCGGTGCTGGTTTAGACGTGCATGGACACTACAGGAGCTTGGCTATGAAAGGGTGATTGCTGGGGACACACCAGATGGACCAATGCATGCTGAGTGTAAGTACGGGAAGTATGAGACTGAGCTACTGACCAGGTTTCACAAGCAGCTGCAGTCTATGGAGGACATTTCAAATTCGAGAGTGTTTGATGTGCTGGAGGAGATGCGGAATCGGGTGTCGACCAACCCAGTGGACAAAGTCGCGGGACTGGCATTTGTTCTGCGGTCCAAGACGATACCAGCATACTATGAGACTGAGTCTCTCGAGGACGCATGGACAGCACTCGTGTATTCGATGGATTCGTGGACTCGGAGGATGTTGTTCCTCTCGTATCCTGAACCGGGCAATGCAGGCAGAAAATGGACACCATCGTGGGACCAGCTGATGATGAAGCCTCTGCCTGTGGGTGGTTACTCCCTCATCGACCTTGATCGGAATGAGGAGATGGGTGAAGACTCATGTTATGCGGAGTGTATTGAAAAGGGGTGCGTGCGGGGGTTGGATCAGGTTGCGGAAGGGAGTGATCGACGCGGAGAGTTGATCGTTCAAGGCAAGTATGGGACAGAACATCTCAACATCACAGCCACCCACAAGTACCCGATACCTGACAACACCTACACACTGATTTGCGATTATAAACTGTATTCCACATCTTGCATTGTCGGCCGAAGACTGCCAGGGAAAAGGTTTGAGAAAGTGTCGGTGTTGCAAATTCCCAATAGATATCGATGGAGGCGGGTAGAAAATCTGTATATTACTGAAAAGTGTCGAAATATTCTTGTTTAAGTACACATTGTAGTAGCTATTCTTCAATCAAGTGGTTATCATACCTACCTAAGAGGATGCAAAGGACTGCTCCTATGCAGAAGGGTACACGCAGTCGCTGCTACACCAACCTGGCGAGAGGTCAAGGAGAGGTCAGAACACAGTTTGTTTGAAGAGCTTGTGCCAACATCACTCTGATGTTGCTGCTACTTCATTGCTACTGTTGGAGGCCTATCATTTCTACTTGTTTTTAATGCCCTACATCAAACTAGTAATGTCAACCTTAGGCTTGAACAAACATCAAACCTCCCGTCACAATGATTTTAACAGGACATATATTCGTGTCATGTAGCACATCAATAATACAGGAAAACCGGCAAATGTTGCAGTAACAGGATAAATATCATTGTTATTGACATAGCAAGTTACACATCTATATACATATACAAATACTATAATGAAGAATCACCGTCGCAGTGTTGCCACTCAAGATATGAAAGTGTAACCTTTTAACGCAGCCAGAAGGAGCCTAAAACACAAGTTTAGTTTATCAGATCAACAGCAGCATGGATGCGTACATACCACACGAAATCCTTCAGACACTGAGTACGGCCTCTTCATCAACGCCACCAAATATGGACTAAACCCTTCATTCTTGTGCTTTTGCCTTTCAATCTTGGTGAGCTGTGCTATCTCGACCCTCTGGGCTTGCGTTTGAGCATATATCTAGTATGGGCCTGTCAATAGTAAGGATATGAGGGGAGAAGGAAGAAGGTACAAGTAGTGTGCACGAATTCAATATCAAAAACCAGCTTGCGAATCAGCGACAGGATCACCCGGATTCGCCCCCAACCCCAAACTGATCATGTTGGAATGTCAAGTGTCACGCATCATGGTGCAGTCGACGTCGGGATCTTCAGTAGGAAGCACCGTTCATCTGTTCTCCTCCTCAGCTTTCCTTATTACCTCATATTGCTTCTATTAGTGTACACGGCATGTAGATAAATAGGTAGACGAACGACGATGACCCTCGCCTGTTTGCGAGGGTTCCCTGCTATATCCGGGTGAGCGGCTGGAGAATTACCACTTATCTCAACAGATCATGCCACACTTCAGAAAATCTCGACAAAATCTGGACTATGAGGAGTCAGCCACATAGAGTTACAACAAGACCAGATGTGCTCACTGCTCGATACCAACCTCCAGGTTTCTAAAGCCGCTTTTGTTACGGTTTATTCATTTCTTTTTCTTTTCTTTCCTTTTCCTTACGCATACATGCTTACCCAGTGCTGCGGTTCTGATCGAACAGTGCTGCGGCACTATTTTTAGTCTACTCAACGTGTATTTAAGTAGAGCCTCAGCTGGCTTAAACCCCAGCTTCGGCTAAGGTTTATTCTACCTAACATCGAACTCCGTTCTTCTGACTAAGTGTCCCATCGACTTTCGTCGCCTTTGACCTGTTGGTGTATCGTCTACCGAAGTGCGAGTAGCGATCCTAACACGATCTAAGTCGATTAGAGTTAGTGGCTAACATTTAGCCGAAGCTCGCTCTACGTTGCTCAGCGTCACTTCCGAGAAAGAGCGCTGCCCAACTCTTTTACGAGAAATTACCCCGCTTGACCAGAGAGGTCATCGCCTACGTTCGTGTGGACAACCCGGTGCTTGTCAACGTACAGCGAGTGGACCAACGGAAAAGCACTCACCGTCACCATTCATCCGATACACTACCTCGTTGCGCTAGCCTTGTGGCTAATACCCCCTCGGCTACTCCTTCTGTTGTTAGTAACTCGGTTGATTGTTGAATTCATTACCTACGACGACTTTATCTTCGCAGTCTTCGTGACTGTAACCTTCACCCTTGTTCTCATCAGGCTCGGAATATCAGCAGTGGTACTAGCAGGATTGCTAGCCGCCCTGTATTCGTTATATCCCCGCCTCGTTTAAGGACACCACGTATCCCAACACGAAACCCTTCATCCTCGCCCTCCAGCTCGCCTCTATTTTAACAGTTCTGCTGTTAATAGTAACGAGCACTCCTCCCGACGAGACCTGCGAAATCTCGTTAATGAACGGCTCTAATTACGAGACCGACCTTAGCCTGATCATCGCACTCCTAATCGTTCTCACCATTCTTGCGGTATACCAGCTTGCATGGTCAATCGTCGACCTACGCAAAGGATAGATCTCTACACGGATGCCCTGGTCCGATGCCATTCCTGCAATCTTCGTAACTTTTATCGCCTTTTTCTTGTCCATTTCTTTGTACTACACACTCCGCTGTTGCCGACAACAGAGAAGGGTCCGACCTCAGCTCCCCTTCCACTACGTGCCCAGCGCACCCGCATATCCCCCGCAGGTGATAGATATCCCCGCGGCCTCGCAACAAACTCTACCAGAAACCCCAAGGCCAGAACTACACTCTCTCTATGGAGAGTCCCTCTACGGATCGTCGCGACCCAGCTCGCGATCCTCAGAGTCGAGCACCGACTCCTACAGAAGCGCCACCAACGAGTCAACCGACTCCGTTGACATCACCGATACCAGGAGCATACTCCTCGACGGAGGAGACTCGCCCTTACCAGGTCTCTTCGACCAGCCTTCAGTCGAAGGCGAGTCAAGCCCCGACCGAAGCCGAGGACAAGGCACCAGGCCTCTGGTCGCGGGCGAAGAAAGCCCTGACACCGAGTACGAAGGGGACGAGCTCACCGAGTGGGAAAGAACCCGCCTCGACGACCTCCTCGACGACATCTACCCGAATACGGAGGAGGATGCAACCTATACCGGAGACAACTGGTCCGGAAGGTCATCCACGAAGTGGGTCGAAGCCCAGTGGGGAGATTCCGATATCGGAGCAGAGCGCAGAAGGTATATACAGAGGCAAAAGGACGACTACGACGCCGATTCAGGCGAGCTTGGCCTCGGAGCCTCCGCGGCTTCCACCAGTACAACTCAGCCACAGCCTCTTCCAAGGGCCTGGCCAACCAATAGAGGCCCCCCAGTCGCCTGGCATCCCCAGCACCAGTTGGGTCTACGCCGACGACGGGGAAGAGACTCCTGTGGCCGGAGTCCCGACCAGAGGAGAGCCCGACCCGCTCCCTACGGTCCCCGAGGCCCCAATACTCACTGCCCCCGTCTCCGCGCACGAGCCGACGGATGGGGAGCTTTGGAGCGAGTTCCCAGATCTCAACACCGACGAACTTGGGACAGTTACTGCCGCCGAGCGCGTCGCCGGAGTCTCCGATTGGACGCCCTCTGTCGCGTCGAGAGCCTTCGCCGACCCCCTCCCTCTCGCACAGCGTCCGTGGCCCCTACTCTACCACACGTACGTCGAGTCCCTCGGACTCCCTCGAAATGTCTGGGAGTCCCCAGAGGTTCAGGCCCGAATGGACAGAGGCCGAGCGCATGACGCACGCATCCGACGTGCCGAAGAGGACGCCCTCTACGGGCCCAATGGCTTCTGGGACTTACCCGTCGAGCCCGACGCCACTCCCGCCGAAATTGACAACCGGATACGAGCCGCTGCCGTTCGCTACTCCGGATACGCCCGAAGGGCAGGAACAGACCTCGAGGCCCGAGCTCGAGCTTGGAGAGTCTACCAGGAGGAGATCTCCAATGAGGACTCCGACATCGGAAGGTGGCGGAGAAACAAGGAGATCGACCGACTCGCCCGAGAGAGGAAGGAGGCAGAAAATGCCGACCCGACCCCCAAACCAGGCCCTGGAGCCGACGGTAATGGCGGCGGTCAGGCAGGTCCTTCTTCAGGGCCCCATACCTAGGCCCGGGATCTTCGAATTATTGCCCTGGCACGGGCTGTACGAAATTATGATGGAGGATATGGAGAAAGACCCGCAGTGGCTCTTCTCCGAAGCAGGAGAGGATTATCGACAGGCTAAGCAGATGGGGGACGTATACCTCATGAGAAATATCCTCGAAGTAGAAACCTGGCACAGAGCGGCCATCGTCTGGAACCTGGTAAACCCAGGGGCACCCCAACGGGGGTGCGAACCATATAGACGGCCCCAGCCGATGCCTCATCCGACTGATCCGTCGGACTTCTTCCCCGAGGGGTTCTTCGGTGGAGCAGGAGAAGACGACGACGACATGGATGATCCAGGCGCTGGACCGTCTCGCCTTGACAAGGGGAAGGGGTCCACTGTACCCCCGCTCCCGCCAAAACAGCCGCCATATCCGGACCCCGCGGGATATCCTCCCCCGGGGGAAAATCGAAACTTGCGATCGGTATCGCGACCGCCCAAACCGCCGGTACCGCCACATGTACCATCCCCCCCAGATCCAATTCCTCCCTGGCAGCTCGCGCCGGGAGCTGTTAATAACCCATGGAATGATGTCAAGCCCAAGTTAGTAACTCAGCCCGAGTACTTTACCGGGGTTTCCTCGGACATCACGCGCTTCCTACATCACTGCGAAGTTTACTTCGCGGTGTTCCCCATGTACTACTCCATGAACGATCAGGGGCACAACCCCTATCGTATCACGTTCGCTCAAGGGTATCTACGAGGGGACGCGCAACAGTGGTGGGTCGACCAGTACTACCGGTACCGGGACCCGCAAGGCCATTGGAGATTCCCCACCTGGGCGGAATTCTCCGAGGATCTCAAGCGCGAATTCCGCGAAGTAGCGGAGTTAACCATATGGAAGTCAGAATGGAAGAAGATTCGACAGGCGGACTTCAAGTCCGCAGTAGAATTCTTCGCAAAGTTCGAACGGTTAGCCCACAAATGCGAGGAGTTTGGCGATGAGAAGCAAATGTTCGAAGCGGTGGAGGCAGCAATCAGACCGACGGTGAGGAACACGGTGATGCATGGGGACAACGAGCGCCCCACCACCTATGCGCAATGGAAGGCCCGCATCTTGAGAATAGATGCCAATTATCGGTACGGAGTCGCCCAGGGGATGGGCAGTAAGACCTCCTCGAACCAGACCGGTTCGGGTCGAGGCAATCAACAAAAAGGTGGACAGGGGTCAGGTGGCGATAAGAAAGACGCCACGGGAACCACCTATGGAGGAACCGGGCAGCCGATGGAAATCGACAAGCTGCGGTCCGACAAGCGGTGCTTCAAGTGTGGGAACACTGGGTGGAGCCCAAAGCACAAGTGCCCTGAC